AATATTGTAGATACTAGAAAGCAACTCAAAACCCAGATTTTTCCTTACAAGTACAGGTGCTTTGATGATCTGGTTGACAATCCTACTTGCAAACCAATGGCCTTAAGAAAGGGTCAGAGTCTACTTCCCTTCAGTGATGTTTCCCAGGACTCTCTGGAGTAAATTTTATCACTGTTCTTTTTTCTGAATTTTACTTCTAGCTTTGAAGCATTACCTGTGCTCTAGAAGGCCGTTCTGGAGTCAGCAAGCTCCATTTCCAGTTACACTGGCTGGCTCAGTTGATGGGTTTTGCACTTCATTTAAATCCCACTAGTAGTGCCACAGAGCTGGAAAGACTTTGCTAAGCTGTTGCCACCACAACCACCATGTCCATACTGCTCCCTCTGGTTTTGCAGTAGGCTATTGCTGCTGTTTGAGCCAGAAAAGAAGAGACTCCTGCATGTGCAGTCAAGGGATGTCTCTTCTAAACAACACTTCTGAACCTTTAAACCAGACTAAAGTAGAAGATGGAAGGAGATAGCATGTCTAAAACTTTGCAATAACAGGTGCAGTACTCAGTGAGTAAAGGCCCCTCCTTAATATTTTCTGGCTTCTAACTTTTGCAAAAATTAAAAAAAAGTGTATGTTTTTAATTTAAAAACTACTGACACAGCAATATTTCCTTTTCAGGATTTTAATTATTAAGTTAATTTGTAACTTGTGAACTGTTTATTCCAGATACTGTTTTGATTTTGGTAACTTACATTACAACCAAGACATAGAAGGCTGAGAGAAAACTCTTCATGGTTGGTTAGGACTGTCTTTTATTTTGTTTTGGGTTTTTTTTATAGGGTTTGTTGATGATATCATCCAACCTTCGACCACCCGCATGCGCATCTGCCATGACCTAGATGTGCTGGCTAGCAAAACACAGTCCAGTCCCTGGAAGAAACATGCTAATATCCCACTGTGAGTGTGCAGCGGCACCTGGCCGTGCTGGAAGACACGGCGTTATTCTGAACACAAATACTCTGCTTAAGTAGAGGTCTGCTTTGCAATGGAAATACTTCTTTTCATTTTGATTTTGATGATGAGCATCAATAAATCATAGTACATAGCTCTTTTAATTTGGGGTTTTACCGGTTCATCTCTAGAAACCTTTTTTGGTGGGTTAATGATCAACGCAACCCCCAATGCCTGCTGCAGGTGAGACATTACTGACGGCTCAAGGTCAAATGCTCCCTTGGCTCCTTCCCTCCGCAGGCCCCCGAGGTGGCTCAGGCAGGCAGGGCTGCAGCAGCCTCTCGCTGCTGACAAGTCAGACCCCTGTGGAGTTCAAGTCTAGCCCTGGGACCACCGTTGGAGTCTGACTCTACTTCCTGTACCACAGCCTCGCAGAGAGAAAAATCGTGAGTTTGGATTTCAGTGCACTGAAATCCCAGCTTTGCTGATCTCCAAATAACCTGTTGTGTTCCCGTGCTAGAGGAGGAACTGAGTTGCAGCTTTCACGTGCTGGCTGCAGTGATGCTGGGTCTTGGGTTGGTATTGGTGACCTCCAGGCTGTGGGCACAGGGGGGATAGAGAAGATGGAGCCGGCCTCCTCTTGAAGGACAAGAGACCATGCACTCAAATTGGGAAAAGGGGGCAGTTCTGGTGGGATATAAAAATTCTCTTCCCTGAGCTTTTCTCCCTCGGCAGAGGGTTGAAATGGAGACCTCCAGAGGCCCCTTCCAGCCTAATTTTTTCTGTGATTATTTGCCAGACTTGCAAGGAACCACTGCGGTAGATGTTACTGCTCATCAGCCCTGGGCTTGCTCTGCTCGTTAGAAGCTGCATTTTAACTCCGGCCCCCGAAGGTAGTGAGTAATGGCTACTGTCGTGTTTAGTTAGCACTGCTGCAAACAGCTGCCAAGCACGTGAAGTCCTGTAATGACCTGTCTGTTGTAAGTAACCTCAGTAATTAATGGCACTATATAATAAAACGGAGAACTGCCTTACCTGCACACTGCAGCTGCTCCTGTTCACTCCCCAAGCACGTGCCCGCAGTGGAAGATAGGTCAGACGGTGACTTTGCAGGCAGGATCTCTTCCCAGGGCAGCCGGTGCCCTAGTGCGTACAGACACAGAGCTCGGAGCCTGTCCCTGGAGGGGGAGAAAGCAGCAACTAAAAATCATCTGAAAACACAGTACAGGAGGAGTGTTTCAAGCCCACGGGTTTTTCTAAATAGCCAGAGGCCGTGCATTCAGGTTACGGCTGCGCTGTCTGTCCTGGCTGCGTCTCACAGAGCAGGGGCCCGGACCCACTGCCCCGAGGGAACAGCCGGCTGCAACAAGGGAAGGTCAACTGAAACGTTACCAGGTGGGGGGCCACTGCCATGAATCCAGTTCTTAGTTAATTGTGAGAAAAGGTGTAGTAAGAGTTCGTAAGGACCGAGAGGATTTTTCAAAGGTACTTAGTAACTGAGAGAGTGACTGGTGGCTGTCTCCGGGTTTAGAGGCAAAAGCTGGGTTAAGCGATAGGTGCATAGTTCCTGCAGCCTGCCCAGAGTCAGGAGACACTAAATGAGAAACCCAGTCATCGTCGTCACGAGGCCCAACCTTTCCTAATTGTTTCCTAACCTCATGAGTTCTGTAGACTTCATCCTCTCTTCTATCCCCTGCCAGCACAAGAATTTAGCTTTATATATCCTCTTGATTTCCAAGCAGTCAGTTGCTCTACCAGCACAACACTTACTTTGGAAACACGCTGGAAAGCTGCTCTGGCCACACTAGTCAAGATTCTCTTGAATTCCAGTCACCTGCAGAAAGAACAGATATAAAATAAAATCCTTCCAACAGAGATCAGCCCTTGAACGTTGAAGCATGACAGGTTACTTACAGTGCATCAGGAGTTGAGCAGAACTTACAAGTGTTCAGGCTGTGTCTCGGGGGAGCAGTGCTAGCATGTAGTTCAGACCTTGAATCCTACCCCTGTTCCTCACCTGCTGCATCTTGTTACTGTCTCTGACTCAGATGAGTTTTCTTTAGGAAGTGGGCTAGATGATAAATAACTCAGTTTTCTTTAGCGCTAACAGAGATGAAATCATTCATGGGTTGGAAAAAAAATAGCATCTTTGAGACATGGCAATAACAAGAGGACATTTCGTTTCAGGAATCCGTAAAACTTCATTTAGCTCAGCTGCTGGTCAGCCCATCCAAGCCTTTACCACTTCCCTTTCTTCCTACGTGGTCCAGCTCACTTCAGAGATGCAAGGCAGGCAAGTGAAATTTTTCTCAAAACTTGTGACAGTTCAAACCATTAGAAGTTTTAACAATGCAACTCTCCCAACCTGTGTGATGACGTATCAGATTTACAGCGATTTCACAATGAAACCCCCCAGGTCAACCGAAAACCAAAACCACGCCACAGTGGAGGGAGAAAAAAAAATAAAACCACCAGCAAACCAGAGAGGGGTTTGGTTTGCTCTGGGGCTGAACGGGTAAGGCAGCTGTGCGGGCTCTGGTGGTAAAGCCTGGACTACGTGAGAACTACCTTTCAGTATGTCCTCTGGCTACTAATAAATGAGATGACAAGATGTGATGGTCCAAACGAGCATTTAAAAGAAGGTTATAGTGAAGAGGGTGCTCATCATACTCATGATTTTGAATAGTTTATTAAATGAAAGGTGAAGCATCAGTTTTAAATTGTACAAAAGGAAAAAAAAACCTCATATTGTAAATGTACAATTTACAGAATTACTAGCAAAACCAATCAAGGAGACACTCATAATACAAAAACCTATTGACTGCAAACTGAACTGGAAACCCATTGCAGGTACCGTGATAATGTTTGTTTGTTATACAGTATTCTACAATGTTAAATTAGGAATCAGTTTTCCACACAGAGGACTGTGAAGCACAAGGTTCGTCTGAGACTATGACTCAAACCAGGCAGCATTTATTATGCTACTATGCTCACAGAAGTATTGTGGTGACAATTTAATGCAGCCATTCCTGCCCACCCCTGTGACTTTCAGGGTGGATGGAAGAGGAAGGGAGGTAACAGTATTTTATAAAGTTCCAGCTACTTCTCAGATTTTATACATTACCCAACCACCATCAGAGGAATGGCTGAATTACCTAGTCAAACATTTTTGGCAACCGTGTCTGAGAACTGCACATGTTGTAAGAAACAAACCTCAGCGGAGTGAAATGCTGGTTTGTTTTTAAAATTAGATTCTTTTCCCTCCCAGCAAGCAAGCGCTGGGCATTAAATGTTGTTTTGTTTTTCAATAAGCTCATAACAGAAAAAAGCTCCATGATTATTTTGCAGTTGTTAAAAAAAACAAACAAAAGCACCTCTAAAACTGCTGTGCTCCAAGTGGGTCAATCTGCTTTGTATCTCAAATGCTAATATTAGAATGCAGAAAGGAAGATTAACATTTTGGGGCTGGTTCTTAGAGATACTAGAGTCAGTGCAAGTTGTGGATGGCCAGCACCTCTGATATCAGGCCAGTTTTCACTAAGTAGCAGCTACTAGGCAGAGTCATAAATTCGAAGCATAATGAAATTCCAAATTATTGAAGACATTGAAAAATCTCTTATTACAATGAATTAGCTGAGAATGTTTTGGGTTTTTTGGTTTTTTTTTGATGTTTTTAACTTTTTTGAAAAATCGTGTTTTTTTTTTTTTTCCAAAGAATTACTCTTAATATGCACAGTTAACACTGAAAATGTAGCTGTATTCCATTGTAAGCTTAAGAACTTCACCATCTAAGCACAAATTTCTATGCAGCACGTACAGTACTTCTAACTGGCAAAATTAATTTACAAAAATAGCGCAAAAGGGTATTTACGGCACGGAAAGTAGACTTTTTTTTTTTATGGTACAGTTAAAATTGCTTTTAGTATGCTAAAGTGATTCCTTTCCCCCACCCTTGAATTATTTTTTTTTAATAGGAAAGTTGCTGTTTATGTACCTTGGGTTGGCAGGGCTTGAAGTAGGTAGTAAAAACAGCAAAGTGATTACTTGAGAACCATTTGTGTGTTTTACTGAGAATACTTTATTTGCTGGTATAAGTTGCTAAAAATGCACAGAGCAAGTACCAATAGAAAATTTACTGTTTTTGTGTCCCCATGTGCTATATAAAATGAATGTTACACAGCATCTGTTGGAAAAGTGGCTTCATGGACATCTCTTACTTTATGTCCCATTATAAATAAAAATAAATCTTCTCAAGAGTATAAAATCTGGGTTTATCATATCAGAATCTGAAATTTTTTGGCAGAGATGCACGTCATTAGAATTCTAACCTCTTCTATAAGAGTGTTCTTCTCAATGCCTATGAGAGGATATACGCGTACCATAATGTTAATCAAATCCAGTGTGTTCAAAAACACTTTTCTGTAGCCAGAATGACCTGCTTATAGCATCATTGCTAGTCAATGGCTGATAGGCATAGGTTTAATAAAAATGGCTAGCTTTTAAAACATAAAAAGGCAAATGTTAAAACTGTTTTAAATTGTACAGCAGAAAAATAAAGTTAAAAAGTTCTGTTTTCACTCAATGTTGTTTTCAGAAAACATATGTAGAACAGTGTTTATTTCGACAGCTGTCTTAACAATTTAAAACTTCCTCCTCCTCCAGGAAAAAAAAAAAAAAAAAATCTGTATTAGGACAGTCAAGAACAGGGATACAAATGATTTTTTAGGTCAGCCCTTCTGAGGTGACTGGATTGGCCAACATTCCTTTGTGTCATTAAGAAGTTCCTCTTCTTTCTGTCACTACAAAAAGGGATTGACCTCAATCATTTGGTTAAAAATCAAACCGTATCACATCAAAAATGTGGTTTTCATACAAGCTATCACAGTATATAGGCCTCTAGCTCTAAACAATAGAGTTCCAAATTTGTAAAATGTCTTCACCAGACTTCAGAACATAGGCATTCCAAATCCCTAGAAAAATGATTTAAAAGACAGTAGTTAATTAGGTGTAATGATAATCAGAAAGAACCTCAGATCAAGAGCAAGCAGTACTGGTAAAGCCTTACTGAATCATCCTCAATGATAGCTGCGGAGTCGAAGAAGTCTGGCCTCAGTTCAGCCCGTTCTCGCCGGTTTCTTGACGGTGGCTAAAGAGAGGAGTCAGCCATTTTAGATCATCTCCCCGTCACCCGGGGCTCTACCGCTAATGGCTGCTAACGGGGTTACCTGCTCCCGCCCAGCGCGGCTTTGCGTGGAGTTTCATGTAGAGCTCTGATACGAATGCAGGCCTTGCCACAGGAGAGGACTTCTTAAAGTCACATTTTATTTAAGGAATGGGGTAAAAGCTGATGCTTTCTAGAGGAATTTTAAGTCTGTGCTCATAGCTGAGGACTTGCTTGAGGCTCTTGCTGACTTAGCGATGTTCTCTAGGCCAGACTGCATTAAAACTGTCTTTTAACTGTCTTTATGCTTTTAAGTTTACGGCAAAACTTCAACTCTGGCATGGTCAAAAAGGGGATTTAGAAAAAAACGGCACTTAAGATTTCATAATATTTCTGAGGATTAAACCCTTTGTGTTGTTCTTCCCTAGGAACGTAAAAGTAAGTGTGAGCTTCACTGCCTTGATGGATTCCCTCATTTCCTTGCCTTGGATTACCAATAAAAGAGATTTTACTTACTTGGTAATCATCTGAATGCTAGTAATAACCTCAGTATTCCACAGCAGCAACTGAATTATTGCCTAATTTTTCTTTCCAAGACATATCTCAGTCCTAAAGTAACCTATGCCTTATTGTTCAGATATGAAAGGAGAAATACGAAAGCATAAAAACGGTGAAGTGTCTAATGCAAACTGATCCTTTTGCTCATTTTACAAGGAAAGTATTAATTCTGAACGGAAAGGCTAGTGAGGTTAGAATCTCCACAAAGGAACTCCTGCCTGTAGTCAGTACACTACCCTGGGAGGCCTGAGGTTGCCAGCTGACGCTATAACCTGTTGGGGAGCAGCATCACCTCACGCTCACCCACTACCACCCCCCTCTCTCTTCTGCTGTGCCAGCACAACTCTGCGTGTGGCTCTAAACTAGCCAGACCTTGATTAAGGATCGCCTGTCCACCCCACCTGCCAGGAAACAGAAAAAGAAACAAGGTGGCTGGATCAGTTTGACCCCAGGGTGGCTGCATAAAGAGCCGCGTCAGCAGAAGAATTAGTGATGGCTGCGACCGTGGCATCGGGAAGGCAACGCCACCTGGAATAGCTTTAGATGACACTATCGTTGCCAAACTCTTCATATTGTCAACTAACAGCCGGAATCAAACATTGTTAGTGGATTTTAGGGCCCGGCAGCTTCAAGCAGCTGGGGTGAGCTGGTCTCCCCTCTGCCCCCCCCAGCACCCCTCCTGCCCCTGGCTGACTGGAGGTGAGTCAGATCAGCTCCCCCAGCGCTGTTCTGAGGGGGCTGCGCGGATACGCCTGACGTGTTACGTGAGTCACAACCTGATCCTCACGGGGTGACAACTCCCAGGTGCATGATGGTGCTTCAGGCACTCCCTACTGCCCGAGTCCAGAATATTTAAGAGAAAAAGCGCTGCGCAACGCTCCTTGTGTTTATCTGAAAAAAAATCAATTGGGCCCGAGTCTGCAGTTGTAGGCTCTAAGGGAGTATTCGAATCATTTCTGCTCTAACGTTCAGACAACAGGAACTCAGGCTCAAAATTCTGGAAATTTTTGTTTGTTCTTCTAAAATTCTCTCTAAATTACCTTTCATCCATTTTAAACTTGCTATTAATAAGATTTACTGACCAGATCAATGACCATTGTGTCCTCAAATTCTTCGTTCATATCCTCTAGCTGACCTCGTGAGGACATCATTACATCTTCGAAGATGGGCTCAGCGTCATCTTCCATTAGACCTCGTCTGATTAAATAAAGAGAAGAAAAAAGTCATTTCCAGTCATTTAAATTTCAAACCCATGATCTTTGTCATTAAAAAGAATGCACAAATCCTATCCCTTAATGCCTTCACATAAAACCTGATGCTGAGAATAAAGCCAGCATGCTTTCTGTAATATTAACTAGAAGAAAATCTTACTTAAAAACAAACCTAGCACTTGCAGAGGCTAAAGCAGGAAGTCCTGTGTAATAGCATTATAAACAGTAATTAAATTTGTTCCTAACAAGAAAAGGGCAATAACCTCACTGTGTTTGCTTGCCTTTTTCCAAAAAGGAGTTGCAGCGTTTGCCAGGATCGCTGGTAAATCCCTGGGAATCCAGCAGGGAATCCAAGACCAGTGTCTAACACTGTAAGGGCCTGATCTCCCCCCGGGGGCTGGATCGGCACCAGAGCACCAGCACCTTGTGCAACAGACCGCTGCAGCCTGCGCCCTCCACGAGCCGCTCAGCGGGCCACCTCGGCAAGAGGTGAGGTGAATGAAAGAAGCGTAATAAACAGGTTCGTGGGAGGACTGGGCAACACCTCGGAAGAGCTCATGGGGAATTATTTAGCAGACAAATCACGGAACCCCCCTGCAGTGGAAATGGTTGAAGGCTGGGCGAGAACAGCGGGGAATCGTGCCGTGCCTGCGTGCCCCGTTCACTAGGCACCCGCTTAGGGCCGTGGTGGGAGGCAGAACGCTGGGCGTGAGGGCCACGCGGCCCCACGTCCGTTCCAACATTACAAAGCTGTTACTCTGCCTTCGTTAACAAGAATTAAAATGTCACAGAAATTACTGGCAACAAACCAGAAAAGGTAACATTTAAAACGCGGCGTTGTCATCTAAAATGGTTCTGATCTGGAGATGAGGATGCTCTGAACACTTACACTGCATGCCTTACACCAGTTCTCCCTTTCATGTAGTTCATTCCTGTCCTGTCCTTTCGACTTAAATCTTCTAGCTTCTGTTGGCCCAACCAAGATATCTGCATCTGGGGACTAACAAACAAAGCAGCATTATGACCGAGAACGCTAACAATTCTGCGTTGGCTATTTTTAGACAATATCTATGTCCTCAAGTTTTGTGTCTGGCCATGCTTCAGATTAAGATATTTAAATCACATCTGTCATTGTACACATCTTCTGGATTCCCTTCCACAACTTGTCTCCTCTCACTGTATGTGCACAAAAAAAAAATCCATTAATTGTTGCAATAAAAAAAGCTACATAAAGTTCTGACATTACTCATTCATTCATGTGACATGCATCTGAAGTGGGAGCACTTCAAAAAATCATTTTATTAAATCCTACTTCACTGTCTCAAATCGGGCAAAAAATGAACACGAATAGATCCAAATGAATAACTGACACACATTCTAAAACAAAAATGTCACAGAACATAAAAGACAAATTGCTTTTAAGTATATACCCTGATCAATTTAAGCATCCAGTAACTTACCCACATGTAAATACCTTAAAGGCTGTACTTTTAATACCATCTGAAACCAGTAGTAGACAGCAATGCATTTGATATGATTTGGTATTGCAGCACAAGGAAATAGTAGTATACCAAGCGCAGCTCTTCAAGAGCAACACCAGTTTTTATTTTATTACGCAGTCTTGTACCCTAATAAGACCGACATCACAAACTGAGATAATTCATGTAAGAACAACCTAGAAGAAAATATTATTCTGGACATAATTAATGGCTCTGGTTTTATGTGATGTTTCAGCTTTTCTATGCTGACCTGTAGGAAGTGCGTGTGGCAGCTAACTCCAGGCTGAAAGGAAAGGATTCTCCAGTCAGTTCACACCGTGAACTTCTGTGTGGAATCCAACTCTTTGAAAGCACCGGCGAGCAGAGCGATGCTGCCTGCCTTTGCTCAACGGGCCCCTGCTCACAGCAGTCACCCAGGACAGGACAGACGGAGGGTCGAGCCCAGGGTGAAGAGCCTGGTTCATCTTCCTCAGCCCAGAAACGGGGAAGGCTCTTCCACAGCTTAAGCCAGCACCTGCTCGTCAGGCTCAGGAGTAAAACCCAGTGAGTGGAAGCTGTCCCGCTTTCCATAACTAATTAAATGTTCACAGAGAGATTTAGTTTTGTGACAGGTGAGATCAGAGAGGGGGTCAGAAAGAAAGTTCTGCTTCAGCAATTTGTTTTGTTTTGTTTTGTTTTGTTTTTTTCTGCAGAGTAGAAACATTTCAAGGAGAAACTGAGAGCCGCAACATCTTCCTTATAATCTAGAAGTTACGGCAACATGTGGGGAGGCAGGAGACTGGGAGGCAAATCCTTGACCTCGGAAAGGCGAGTGAGAGCCACGAGCCCAGACCTCACATGCCGTGGGATTAGCGAGCAGATGCTGTGGGACCGACGTGGAGAGTGGCTCTTCGCCGGTCCCTGCCCGCGCTGGGCACACGCCAGCGCTCCTCCCTCGCCCAGGGGCCGTGGGAGCCCGCCGGCCTCGCACACCCATGGCACGGGGCCGGCACCGGGAAAGAAAGTTGCCTGAACTCATTTACAGAAAGGTGAAATACTGTGTGCTCCAAAAACTAAAGGGTGCTTGTAGCCAGCTGAGCTGCAGCTGTCTCTCCTGGCGGGCACTGGTTAATGGGTGGTGTCATCTGTTGCGCCGCTGATGCCCGTGCACATTACACGCACAAGCGAGGGAGAAGAACAGGTTGTGCTTCCAAGAGAGCATGTTTCTCTAGAAGTTGCTTCTATGTTTTTGAGAACCTATGGCCACAAATTGGCAAACTTTAATAGTTTATATGTACAACATGGCAGTGTACATATACCCTTGTCATTTGAGCCTGGAGAACATTTTACCTTCCCAGGCAAAACAGCCATTATTATTTATTTCTACTGAGAAAATACTATGATTAAAGAATACAGGATGAAGCAGTAAAGTTTAGGATTGAGCAGCATGAGTGCACATTCAGGAAGGGTTGGGAAACTGGGGAACAAGAGTGTATCAAGAAACACACGATGGACAAAAGCTGGAGAAAACCCAAGAGGCATAATCTGGCTATTTTATACTATACTACATTGGTGGAAAACCAATTCATCTGGCCAGCGTAATATGACTTTTTTATACAGATAGATCAGTACATTTGATTATAGAAGTTATAAAAATAGTCTCCAAAATAGGTATTGTTATTCTCTATCTTCAAATTAATAGAAATAGCACATAATAGAATTCTCTGTTCTTAAACAAACTACTGACAGATAACCAGTACTTTTTCCCCTTTAAATGGAGGTGATAAAATGGGAGTTGAGTGACAAAAAGTGTATGTAATTTAGGGCAAAATAAAATTGGCTGCAGGCAATTACCCCAGAAACGAGAATTACGAGCCAGAATTGGATTGAAGAGTTAATTTACAAGAAATCAGTGAGGATGTCTGGAAAGCTTTAACTGTACTGTGACACAGGGCAGAGGGAAAGAGAACATCTAACAGGTCTTTTAGAGAAACAGTTCAACTCAACCCAGGGGCATAAACACCTGGAAGATTTAACCATAATCGCATGGATGCGGTAGGAGATAATTTTAACAGAAGAGATTTCTACCCTGATTTCATTACAATGTATTTTTCTCAGGAACTTAAAATAATTAAAACATTGCTGAGCTATAGCCAAGACATTTCCAGTTGGTTTTGCAAATAAACACTGCATATATGGAGCCACAGACTATCTGTATATATAATATGCAACTCCTTTGCCTGGCTCACTGTATTTGATACTGAAATTCCAACACTTACTTGTGTAAAAAATCTTGTTCCGATCCCTGCTCCGACTCGTGCTCCTGGATCTGCTCTCCCATTTGTCTAGTGTTCTCTCTCAAGACAGTCGAGGTGAGCTGTGGTGCTTGCAGTGTCCCTGGAGTATGTATGCTTTCATTCCTGTTCAGCCATGAGCCTTCTAGACTCTCATCTAGAAAAAGAACGTTCAAAATTACTGACACATTTCTGATCACACGCAGTGCAGCGTTACCGCCTTCAGAATTCATTCAGCCAGCCCACTGAACGAATACCTCACATCAGTAACCAGAGCCTTCCATCTGCTGACACACTTCGATACAGTTAATTTTAGCTGCAGCACCTTCTGCAAATTTGATTTCCAACAGTTTAGTGTCTTTTAAAACCAGTGTGCCTTTCAGAGATCAACTTGATAAATACTCAAAATGATAAAATTTTCAGCTCTGATTTTGTGTTCTTTTAAGGAAGGATTACTACCAGCTATTCCCAGCAATAACAACAACTTAAGTAAAAATATTTAACAAACAAACAAAACATTTGCAAACAAATATTGCATTGCAGAACTACCTAAATTGTTGCGTGTCTGCCACAGATATAACAAGGATAATCCCAGTTACTGAGTTTACAATCTAAAACTGTTAATCTCATATGCACACAGCAAACAAGGTACAGTTAAACACTGAGGTGAGGGTGGAGGATAAACCCCAAAATCTGGTCAGCGTAGATCTTCAGAAACTTCACTAAGGACCGTTTCAGTGGAGCACAGAGGGGGCATTTTAAATAAGAGCAGCGGTCTGGCTGGTGTGAGCTCTCACCAGTGACTCAGCGTGTTTGGAGCTCAGAGCAGCGGGAGGGCGGGAGCTGGGCAGGTGACCGGGGGTGTCGGTGGGAAGCTCTGCTCATGCTGTGAAGGGAGCAAAGCAGAGGGGAAGGGAGAGGGGAGACTTGAGGAGAATGAGACAGAGCAGACAAGTGCATAGGCAAGGGGCATGTGGAAACAAAATGTAAGTTGCTGGAGCGAGTGAAAGACAGGGGAGATGACAAGAGAAAAGACAACACAATCACAGATTTACTGACGGCAAGAAATGTGGGGTGAGAAAGTAGATGGGGATCTCAATGGATCTTTTCATTTTTCCTCCGCCTTTTGTTATGCCTTTTGAGCATAAATGTTGTCTAAAAAGTTGCCTATTCTTGAATTTACCTTTGAACCTTTGTTTATATTAGGGATTTTTAAAAAAAATCCTATTTATGTTTGATTTCCTTAAGACGTTATGAAGAAATGCCACAGAGCAGATTTACTTTCAGTAACAGCAGTGAATGTTCTCCAACCTGGACAGTCTGCTGAACCTGATATACCCTGGATTTAGGTGAGAAAGGAACCACAAGGAACTAGTTATGGTTCTTTGATGCAAGGATAGTTTCTGCAGCGACGCTGCCCTTGTTTTAGTTCCTTTAGAGTGGAATTTAAAGAAAAAAATCTTAGCAGCGTTTAAAGAAAGGTCCAAATTTCTAACTCTACTGCCAGATTAAGATTAGAGCTAGGATTTTTGGAAGAGTTATAAAAATATGTCAAGATAAAAACCCACAAAGACTTGTGTACATACGACATACAGACCATCAGTTAATTTGTTCCTAAGACTGGTTCTTCATAGCTCAAGCTATACAGACGAGTGAACAGTTAATTCTTATTTCTGAGGATGAAATCTGATTATGTCATGAGTTCATTATTGGTGCAGACAAAATAACACCTTGCTTGTGCAGAGATCTGTGTCTTCCTGTGAAGAATACAGACAACCTAGCTCCAGGTCTTCTTAGCTTTCCTTTTACCAGGATTCAAAAGGAAGTGCACGAAGGGCAGAACACAATCAGCAATGCCTAGTGCGCATCAAGAAGGATCCAAAAATTAAGTATGTGGTGTCCTTCAACTGCTTATATAATTGTGGGGGTTTTAAACATACGATATCAAATGCCCTGTATCAACACAGGTCTAAACCAAGACTTCTGGTGCTTGTGTTGCATACCCTTTGCTGTAAGGAGAAGCCACAGAGCTTGTTTTGCTGCTGTCATTAGAGAGCACTTGCTGGTAACATTTCAGTTCTATCGTTCAGCAGGGAGTCAAATTCTGCGATGAGGCATCTATCAAGGAAAAGCCTGTTGTGCTGTTATGGGCTAAGACATCCTTCCCAGACCTGTATACTGAGGCTGTATTGCAAAGCTTTTATGAGTAACGATGGTCTGTGTAGTGATCTAGGAATTTAAGGAAGAAAGGAGAAGGGAATCACCTCCTACCCAGCATGCTTCAAAATGCATGGTCCTTGATTGTTATCTGTAGTATTGAAAGGACGTGCACATTCCTCACCCGCAGAGCACCCCATGAGAGGCAGTGTCCACCCGTCTTTTTTCTGATTACTAATGGGGGAACGTGGGGTTACTGTAGTCAACAGTGACATTACACCACTCTGCCTAAGGTAAGATAAATCCTGGGTGTCTTCCTGGGTGCTGGTAGAATGGGAACGGATGCTTGTGCCCTCTGTGGATGTCAGAGTCCCGTCAGCCCCACAGCGAGTCCTGGCACACTCTGCACGGCAGCTGGATCATCTCCCGGCAGAACCTGCTGTACAGTCAGGTCTTTCAGGAACAGAACAACCATGGATTCAGCCTACATCGTTTTAAGTGTGTGATGTTTGTGGAAAATTCAGGACTGCAGCCATTGCAAAGGGAATATTCAACACGGAAAATGCTGCAAATCAGTTCTCCCTTCTACTGATCATTGAAGGAGGAGGACATGAAAGAGCATGAGGGAAACAGTGCCTGAAAAACTACATCATAAGACTGAGATTTGCCTTACAGGGAAGCAAAGACATTACCACATTTCCCAGGGGAAAAAAAAAAAAAATATCAGTAGAATACAATAAAATAGAATGAAAATAGTAACAAGAGGACAGAAAAAAACCTCAACAGTTGAATTCTGTGCAAATCACGGCATCCTGAGGGAAGCAAAACAGTACCTGAAGAAAAGAATCAGTAGTTTATGTAGGTTGGTTAGCCAACTCTAGGTTGGCTATAACAAACTGAAGGACTTGACACACTTACTGCTCGACATAAACTGTAGCGGAGAATGGACTTCATTGTAGAAATGCATACAGACAAACTTTTGAAGATTATTTTGGGAAGCTGCTGTATATTCAGGCAAATTTGCATTAGACTCCTGACTGAGGAGTTACTATCGTAGATACTAACCTTGGAAAAATCCCTGAAGTTTAAAGTTCCCACTTACACCTACTCTGTAGTGAAACAGTAAATTTATATTCACAAAAGTACACACAAAACTACATCATACATATAAACCAGGCACAGATGCAATCTTGTAAGAAATGTGCTATCATAGCCAAATTCCTGATGACCATGCAGAAAGAGTAAACACAGACACTGGCTATCAATACCATTGTAAACAAAAAAATGTGGGTTTTTTTAGTGTTCTTCAGTGGTCTTGCAAAAATACAGATCTATATCAGAATTCCTGCCTTGGGATTGCTCTAGCGCCCTGTTAATTAACGACTCCAGACTGAAGCACAGGCAGAAAACCAGAAGTCCATGACTGAGACAGGTGTAGAGCAGGTAACTCCACAAACACCCCATTTCCAACTTCAGTAACAGCTTTTAATAGTTCTGAATCTGCAAATCTCAGTGAAGACACAAAAGAACAGGGACTCGCGGTGGTATTTCTCATAAAGACATGTTCCAGCTTGACAGAAATTTGCAGAACAGATACCTTGTTTTTACTACATCCAGAATGTATCATATATTTCAGCATATATAAGGGCTCCTAAGAAGGAAATCTGTGATATATGTACAAAATGAGAAATACCTCTACCAGGCAACCTAAAACCATACAAACCTTCTACTCTCTTTTTGTGGAGCGGTGGTCGTCCTTTCTTATTCCTCACCGAAGAGGCTTTGCTGCTGCTGCTTCCACTGTTAACGGACATTCTGTCGTCTTCACCACCCGTAACTAGTGAGTTTCTATAGGAAATGAGTGGAAGCCATACATCCTCTCTTCTTTCCATCATCTGTTCTGTCAGAAACTTCTCTAAGTAGGAGTGACTGAAAAGAAAAGAGAATGAGTACAGAGGCGCAGCACACTGTTGCCTCTTTAATTAATCTGCAACCCCTCTTCATATTGTTGAGAGCTTAACACAAATCCTGCATGATGTTTCCTTATTTTATTTTCGTATCGTACCCTGATAGGGCATTGTATCTCTGACTGAATAAGTATAGATGTAATTTCCTCAAAACAAAGTAACACAGTTAATCATGCACAGGTTACGCACAGATAAACAACACAGAACGTTCTCTCCCCAACATCTCCCTCCCACATTTGTCTGCGATCATTCACAGTACACTCTATGTGAATTCCTTTCCTATTTTGCACAACAAGGAAGCCACCTCTATATAGTGCTGCTGTGTCAATGGACAGACTGGGTTAGAACCACTATTGGCAGGACGTAAGATATCCTTTTGCATCTTGGAACAAGAAAAATGGTTTCTTCAAATGCAAGTGGTTATTGTTCAATAAAAAAAAGTTGAAGATCTAACCCACTGCCATGAAGTCCAATGCACACTAGTTAACTCAAAGGAGGAACCGAACAACCTCTCTCCTGTACGTGGTCTGGAGGGCATTTGAGTTGTTTTCTTCTTCCATTGATTATTTAACGATGGTATTACAAGTACTCCTAAAACTGAATATGCAAATCTACATAAAAGTGATTTGAATGAGATGCAAGCTGCAGAACCAAGCATTCAGAAATTAGGTAAGAGAACTCAGGATACTTCAGCATCACTTCCTGCACCTTTCAGTTATGATTTCCTTTAACACCATACTGCCAGGTTGTCATCAGTGGGAGTCAAACCTGCAGATCCTTCATGGAAATGCAGAATTCTCCTCTGTCAGCTCATGCCAACTCCAACTTGTTACACAGTCTGGCTTTCAGAACAGGACAAGGAGCTGGCCGCTGTATATGCCTGGGTAACAACCACACCCAAGTTTTAATGGGATTTGGGTTTGATTCAGTGAATGGGATGACTTTGCTCAAGAAACAGCAGGTTTTCTGTCTACTGTTTTATTCAAGATTTTGAATGCTTCTTCCTTCCCCTTTTCATGTGTATGCTGAGTAACACCCAAACCTTGCACTGAATGGAAGTTCTGGGTTTATTCTCTCTCTCTTGTACACTACCAAACAGCGCAACACTTGAGTGCCTCATGACTTCAGAGAATCTATCTGTTGAATAGTCTTGGAAAGTGAGAATTTTTTCCACATCCAATTTATATCTATAGAACTAGAGTGCACAGGTTATGCCCAAATTGTGAAGATGGAAAAACTACACCACTCGGGAGTTCTTTACTAATGAGATGCCAACCTCGAGACACCTTTTGCTCAGTGTTTTAGAGGAGCTTCATACTGGCAGTTCCTACCAGCTTCAACAAGGATAGAAACCCTGAATTTCTAGAAGAACACCGCACTGAGGTTCTGTCTCATCTGACTTCAGACGCCCAACAGTCAGTTTTCTAGTCTAAGCTAACGGTGGCTATTTGAAGAGAAATAAATGGAAATAAATGTGTCCGCAAGGCAATTCACCTCTTAAGTGAGTTCCTCAGGATTTCCCTGCCTGCATCCGTCTTCTGTCTTTGTAACTGTGTTAGTATAAATCCTTTTTGGCTAACTGTAAGAATCTGACACCTCAAATGTATAGTTTTATAGTAAATCCATAGATTTTAATAAATCCATAAATGGCTATCACTAATTCTGGAGGCCACTCGTAAAATGAGAAGCTGGATAAATAAATAGGATAGGAAAACTACATTAAACCAGTGTTGATGCTCCATTCCCAAACTGAAGACATCTTCTTCTCCCCCCAAATAAAAAATCCGGCAGTAAACCAGAAGGGAAGTAGGAGCCCTGCAAAAGAGCAGTGTTTGCTGAAATGGGACAGGAATGGTATTTTGTACCAGGGGCAGGTGACATATGCAGACGTATCAGGTAGACGATTCCTTTTTTTGAGGTAGGGAAGCTGAGCTGGATGGCTTCTGGGAGACAGGCAGCCACACGCTCATGAGACTTTCAGGGTTACTGTAGAGCACTGTTGCCTCCAGACTAACAGCCCGTTGCTGAGTTGAGGGCCAGTCCGTCCCTCGGCAGGACGAGATCAGGCCAGGCAGGGAGGCAAACGATCCTGTACACAGGACTTCTCCACCAGATGGTGGTCACGTACCTTCCTGATGGTAGGCAACCCCTTCGGAGGGCGGGGGAGAGGTCCCTGTGGGTTGGAGGAGTCATGCTGCTACACAGAAGGGCAAATCCACTAGCCCCAGCACCACCAGTATGTGCTGTCAGAGAAGCACTGTGGGCAATGCTGCCTCTGCCTGACGCGGTGCAAACAGAACAGATCTCTCAAGGGAAGAAATGTAGGTACCTTCAGGAGAAATCTTTACATATAAGCAAGTTACCTCGACTCTTTTCATAGTCACCACAGCCAGTGGAATGTAGGGCACGTCTGAACTCAAAGCAGTAATTTAGCACAGATCAGATAAATCATGCCCTAAAGGACCTACTTCTTTCCACTGATCTTCAAATTCAGCTGAAGTAAATAGCTCACATACAGATGACTACAACAAAGACAGATAAAATCAGGAGAAATGGATTCCACCACCACCACCACCACCACCGCCACCACCACCGCAATCTTTACGGTCCTGTGAAAGAAGCCCGGGGCTGTGCATGTGGGCACCAATGATTGGGAGAACCTTCAAGAAAAAATTTTAAATGGCAACATAGAAGGTGAAGGAATGAGACCTCCTGAAGTACTGGATTTCATGCAGAGAATCAGGTCAAATTAAGCTGTCACCTAAACTATACAGGGTGATGTAACTTCAAATTTTAGACACTGGAGAAACTTGTGGAAGGGATGATGACTGTACAGGAAGGACAAGCTTCACTGAATTAGAGGAATCAGGCTAATGGCACTTAAACTGATGCAGAAGAATCTATGGTTCAGCCAGGAAGATAATAACAAAATCCTATTATCCTTAAGTCCTGTCATGAAGAATAGCATGGAGGTTGACAAGATTCAAGGGTGTAACAATGAAGTGCGGTTTCAAAATTGAGTGCTGAGCTAGCCCAACAGGATCATCCAGTTCTCAAGCTCGTTTAACTATTTCTTCTCCTGTGTTTGCTGTATTGACAAATTATTGATACCATAAACAAAATGGTTCAAGTGTGTATATGTTAAAAATTATACAAAGTTAACCAAGACATATTTCTTATAACACACATGAAGGTATAATATTCATAATTGTTAACCCTAATAAAAAAGGTGCTTTAAAGCAAATGTCTTCACAGAAGAACTACAGAAACATTTGACAAAGTCAGCTGAGGCAGTTAGAGTAGATATATATGACTTACACTCACTGCAGTCAGAAATTTGACTAGCAAGATATCTATAACCATAAACCAGAAGATTTGGCAATTGCACTTTTTAATATGCATAAAGTTATTCAAAGAATTCAGTTCTCCACTGGGCACACAGTGCTTGGCGGACTTCTGACTGGAGTCCTCTTCCTTTTTCCCTTACTACTTCTGCACTGTGACCAAATCCTGGATATGTGTTACATAACGTATTGAAAATGTAGAGCATCATCTCCGCAGTGATGCTGACATGTCTTTAGTACGAACTTGTCCTTAATCACACAGTTTTCTCTTTGTCAATTCTGTTGGTATCTGCAGCCCTTCTTGACAGTCTGTTCAAATCTTGCTCGTAAGACAGTATTTCTTGCTCTTTATTGAGATCTGATCAAAACCACTTCTGATTTATTTAATTTCCAGTACTTCATCTGCAGTAATTACCTGCCATATCAAATCCAGGCTGCTTGTTTTAGCCTGCCAGGTCTCTACCACCCTATTCTGTCCTAACCAACAGCAGTGTCCTCCCTCCGCCGCCTTCTCTATCCTATTGTGCCAGTAACAGAAGCCTCAACAAACCTTTAGTTCCCAGTTTAACTCAATATATTGAAATAAACAACAAATATATTTTTACATTTTATGTAAATATCTAACAGAAACAGATGGTTCTGCAGTGTTTATGGGCCTGTAAATTTCCTGCACTGATAACATTTAATTTTCTTTTTTCTTCTAGCTTAAAAAAGAGATTGTTTTTTATTTTCAGTGTCTCATGGGAAATTTTAAGGAACATTGTTTTGTGAGGTATCCAACTCACTTCATCAGTGGATCTGATTCTCCTTTTCTTCATTTATTTTTATTACTTTAAACTATAAAACAATGAATAAATATGTATGTGAAATGTCTCACTGGGACTTTCTATAGCCCCCATTAGATTGTGAAAACCTCAAAGCAGAGAGCTTAAATACACACTACAGTGATTAACAGAGCCCAGCAAAAGCCACAGAAGAAAGTGGAGCATTACTTACACAGTCTTTTTGTCCTGTCGCAAGAGTTTAGAAGAAAATTCACTAAGCACTTCAAGGAAAGCAAGGTTGGGAGGTGGATAGTCTTGTCCTTTTTGATTCTGATATTTGAAGGCAAACTCTATGCCATCTCTACAGTAAAGAAATATTGAAATTTTCAGACATTGTAAAGAAATTTTAAAAATGTTGTCCAAAATCTGAACTGTGATGAAATTCTTTATTTCTTTATATCCCATCATAACTTTTTTTGTTTTCATTACTAGCAAACAGCCGCTTCTGGACAAAGGGGAATCGAACGTTCCCTCTCAAATTCAGAGGGTGCAATCTCAAAGACATACTGTCAGTCACATGGTAAGAAGGAACTTACCACAACCCCAGAACCTCGGCAGGTGCTGAAAGCCACTGCCTCAGCAGGAATAGCATAGCAGCTTGCTCTTGTTTCTGCACGAAGCAGAAGCTTGCAATGAGAATAATTTGTAAGGTATAACAAGATACAACTTTTGCAACAAGAGTCAGAGAATTTACTTACCAGTACACTGATACATGAATCTCTGCCTTATCTTTGCTTTACCATTTGAGACTAAAGAAAACAATTCACTATCTCATTATCCAGTCAGGGCACATGCATATCCTGACTCTCCTTTTGCTTGGCACAGGAAACAGACAGCATTTTGATCATGCTTTGCTAATCTTAATGATTTAGTCTCTGAGATAGCAAACTTCAATATTTTGAGCTTTTCATGGCATGGGAAAGTTGCAATTTAAATGTAGTGGCACACTTCTACACTTTCCTATGCAGCAGTTACATAAAAAGCTTGAATCCACCTTAAAAAAAAAAAAAAAACCAAACACTTCCAAAATATTTTTGGAATATCTTTTTATAAAAGCCCTTGGTGCCTACAGAATCCACAGTGGTGTGGTACAAAGAACTATCTACGGTTGTTAGATACAGTCCACACAAATATGCATAATACCAGTGCCTTTACCTGAGATGAACAAACATGGCCCTTCCTCAAAAATTCCAACAAATAATTACGTAGCAGCTAATTTTTCTTCCTTTCTTCAATACATACACATACACCCCTCACCATGTTTCTACATAAACTAGAAAAAGTCTATCATTATTCTAGGATCTGTTAAGATTACGTACCTTTAGAAAAGGTATGCTGAGCAAAAGTTGTAATCTGAAGTAATATGAAAACCTAGTTTATTTACCACCACTCACTTGTGTAGTGTGGCCACAGCCTCTCTTGTCTTGATCTGATCCAAGCCAAAAGTGAGGGCAAACCGACGGGCCAGTTCCTTAATTCCGCTGACATGGGCAGATGTCCTGTCCAAGTTGGGACCTTGCTCCTGAACAAGCTCATTAAACAGCTAGAGAAAGAATTCACTTGTTAAAATCGGTGAGCAAGAAAACACTTTTCTTGAGAAAGACTTGTTCTTAACCTGTCACAGCTAACAGCAGACAGTGCGATGACTTTTTTTTCAGAGACATGTAACAGAGTTCTCTCATATTCTACTTCTAAGCCACTTCAGTTCCCAGACTTGCTCCTGTGTAACTGCAGTTTGCCAGTTGTCCCCCATCTTGTACTTGTGCGGATCATAACTCTTAAACAGAATTTTGCACTTACCTTCATTGAATTGAGTCTATGATTCTCCCAACTCATCAAAATGGTTCTGCATTCTTATGGTGTTTTCTGAAATACCTACATCACCCAGAAGGTCAGAATCTTCTCTGAATTTGGGAAGCAAAATGGCTATTCTATCACTCAAGTCTTAATGAATATCTGAACAGCACTACTGGGTAGATGCCTTCCAAGCCTGCCTGATAATGCCCTTTCTGTACAATAATGAACTGCTCCGTAGCTTTCCAATCAGTTCTGTATCTTCTCCTGGTATTGCCATTTAGACCACATTTTCCTAACTTGCTAATGAGAATATCAAGGGAGACACTGTCAGTGACAATATTAAATCAAGTTGCATTAAATCAACTGTTTCTCTGATATCCACAAGTTCTGTTACCATATAATTAATGAAAGCAGCCTAATTTGACATCATTTCTCCTTGACAATTTCATACTAGCTGTTACCTACCACTTAGGCACTTGCAAATAGCTTGTCTCTTTTTTTTTTTTTTAATATTAAATTATATTAGCCTGACTGATCTATGGCACCCGGCTTCTTCCTCTCTCCAAGTTTTAAAGACAAGAACTACACTGACAGTCACTGATTCTTCTGGAAGTACATCTGTTTTTCTCAAGTTTTCAGGTATCTCTCAGCTTCCAAATTGCTACAGGAAATCCCTTAGTACTCTGGGATGAATTTTGGGAGGCTCAGCTGATTTGAAAACAGCTAATTTATAACAGCAATTTTTCTACGTAATGGATATAGCTGGTACTTCAGGAGCCTAAATGGTATTTAGTAAAGCACACACTTCATGCTTGTTGGCAGAACAAGGATGGATTTCATCATCAAGCTAGTAATTTATGGTTGATGTAAAGCAATTTTTTTTCCAGGAAAAAACACGTTTAACAATATTGGAAGACTTAAACTAATTAGCTTGAAGTTTGAAAAATCAATCAGTATTTAGACAAAAAGTAAAGAAGATGCATTACTTCCAGCTAAGTATAAGAAGAAAAAATCATCCTAATTCTTCTTGTTCTCTAGGTACCAGTAAACAAATGCTATAAATCAGCTTGACCAAATTGCCTTCAAGGCTCTTCTCTCCCTTTCTTTCATTTTAATCTGACCAAGACTTTGCCAGTGTGGGCTTAAGGAGGCAGAGATTACTGAGACAAATGAACAGTGACAGCCTGAATTGAGGAGCAAGATAATCTCTTAACAGAAGTGTAGTATTTTTGCTTCATTGAAAAGGGCACCAGAGAAGATCCTGCCCAGTATTTTTTGCAGTGAGGCATTGCTGACAAAAATCAATATTCTTACCTGTTGCAAACTGAGAATGAGTGTCTTTGCACATTGGATTTTATCAATTTGCCTTGTTTTGCTCAGGGTTTCCTTAATGATATCTCCATAGTCATTGTAGTACTAGGAAAAAATGTGGAAAAAACCCTCTTTAAATTTTTAAATTGAACCTCTTATACAATTTCTTACAGTTTTCCTGATAGAAAGATTGCTTGTTATTCTTGTTTTGAAAAGGCAGCAGTTGCCAAAAAACCTAGTTTCAAATCCAGATGTTTTGTGTGAGTGGGAGGCAATGTTCCAATATCAAAATTCAAACTGATTGGTAGCCTGCACCCAGTGATGAGGTAAGAACTTCTCTATTTGTTATTATCTTTTGTAACAAATAAGTTGAAAAACAAACAGGAGAGTATTTCCTACCCCAAACTAAATATCTGATGCAAGTGACCCAGGGCTGCAAATTCTAAGGAACAACATTACATTGAACCAACACACCCTTCAACAAGTAGGTGTGAACAGGCCCTCCCACACAGCTGAGAAGCTCCATATGCAGTGCAAGGTGAGTTAGATGGCCACGAAAGGAATTTACTGAGTAAGATACTCAGTATGAAGGGCTGATTTTATGTTGGAAGAATGGCTGCTAAAAACCACAGCCTATGGTACTGACCATTTGGGTAGAAAAACCTGTATAATCATTACAACTTCCAGGCTGAGAATATAAATTATTTTTTTTCCAAATGGTATTCTCTCAGCCTCGTTAGTATTTCTGCATTTGCAACCACTTTCGTTCCCTCTAAAATACTGCTTCTGCCTTCTTTGGTACAGAGATCCTTCTAGTTTGTATTCTAATTTAAATTCAATTTCTCTCACTCTCCCCCGATTTCAAGAGAAGCAGGACTGTGAGGAGAGAAGAAGACCCACCTAGAGCAGCAGGTAGGAGACTAACCTGGATTGTGTCAGCTTCAGTTTGAAACCCCTGCTCTGGAAAAAAAGCCCTAAGCAAGACTAACCCCGAGCAGCAGCCTGGCTGATGGTTGGAGTGTGCACTGGGGATTGTATTGTACTGTGTGCTCCTAATGAACAGGACAAGAAAGACTTAAAGTTAAATCCTTTATATTTCACATCAACATCTCAAGCACTGACTACAGTGGGGACCTGCTCCCCACTCTATCTTCCAGTTTCTCCTCCTTGATTGTCACTTTGTGCTGACTAATCCCTTACAGAGAGACAGGTGAGGTATAGCCTGCAATCTGATGTAACCTAAGGGGCAGGCTTCCGTGGCTTGGCACTGTCAGGACTGCTAATGTGCCTGTTTTCTGGCAGGTAAGCTCACAAGTACAGGGTGCAGTGGCAGCTGAGCAGCAAGCCTTTCTGAATTTCATTTGGTCTAAATACTGTATGGAAGCAGCATTAGTTGGTAATGCAACCCCCTTACAGCAGTACTATACAGAGCTTTTTTTTTTTTTTTTTTAACTGCTTTCCTGCTTAAAACAAACTTTTCTCACAGAAAAACCTGCTTCCTTATGGCAAGCACCAAAGATTGGGAGAGTCTCAGTGAAATATGACATTGAACAGATAACTGTTATTGTGGATTCTAGGAATGAATCTGAGGAGCAGGATAAGAAATTCCCTGTAGAGGGGAGCCTCTCTGGAAATACTGAGCACCTTGTCAGACCAACTGTTGGTGCTGCCTTTAATAAGGCACTCCTGCTACACAGGACAGGAAGTTCAGTGCTTCTCAGTGGCAGGTGTAATCTAAGAAAGGAAAAACTACTGCAAAAAAATCAAATTAGGTTTAAAAAGCTTTCAAAAATGTTCAACCTTTAACTACTGCACTGGAGGGGAGAGAAAGAGGGGCCCTGACACTACTGTCTGTTCAGTTAGGGAGAGGAGAATACACAGAGCTGTACCTTCATATAGTGTTTGAAGATATCTGCTGCTGCGTGCATGTCCACAATGTCATAAATTATCAGCTTGCTAAAGGCAGCCAAAAGGTTTCTTCTCTTATGCAAAGCTTCTATTTTGTTAGCTTCGTCTTCTTCATCTCCCTCTGAAAGCATCAAGAACAATAAAATGTTTCTAAGTAACTGCTATATTCTAAAGCAACATTACTGAAGAGCAGCTTTTAGAAAAAATCAATTCTTTAAAATGAAGCAAGGATTGTTACAGGAGAAGCTAAAATGAAAGGTGATAAATCTCGAGTCCTGCCTATGTTAGGACTTGCAGGGAAGTTCAGGACCATGACACACTGCTGACCAAGGATGCTATCTACAGTCCTGAGTAGGTACTCAACATAATCCACATGGAACTGAACCTCTTATGTTCTTTACTCTGTGAAAGGCCACAGTGAAGACCTGTTGAATGCTTTTTGCTCAGCTTCTGAAACACAGGACATCTGGAGATGCTTCGTTAACACGACTAAGCTATCAATTTTTTACATAAGGAAAAGGAAAAGCAGCAATACTACTACTGCATGCCTTGGATTTTCAGATATTAAATTGATTGCTCTAAAGCATCAAGAACAACAGGAAATAAAATTCAGCTGTAAGAAATGCTAACATTGAATGGCAACCCCATGTAAGACTACTCTGTGAATGAAAATGAAACTATACACACAAGATGTTAAATATAATATCATATAATGAAAGCATATCCCACAACTTTTATAAGAAAATGAAATCAGCTATAATGGTTGTGATAAAAGTAAATATTCTGTGGTATTTAGAAGAGCTTGTTCTTGGAGGGAATCTTCCAGCCAGTTTGAAGAAGTTCAGAGCTGTGGGAAGGGGAGGAGGGACAGTGTCACTGAGACTCTCTTGCTGCACTCTATTACTAGTGTCTCCACAGAACCACAGTACTTAAGGTCATGTATTTGGTCACAGGAAATCTCTTACGAGCAGTGGAGTTGACTGTGAATATGCACACACATTTTAATCTTGAGATGCTTTAACCAACAGAATTGAAGCTCATTAGCGCACTTCCCCCCCCCACCCCCCTTCTTAATTTCTTTTTATCATTACTGATGTGTTCTGAATACCAAAAGTTATAAATGGTCAGACTGAATTCATGGAGTCAGAGTAGCATTAGGGAGTGGAGATTATACACAAAGATCTTCATCCATCTTTTGCTGTCTTCACAGTCCAACCACAGGATGTTAAGATCAGCTATTTTGCTAAAGAGCAAAGGAAATTAGACACTGTCCTCCTAAAATCTATCCTTCATGTATTATTCTGAACGTTGAACTCACAAAGTATGACTAACTGCACATAGATCTCTGGTGAAGGTGTGTTTCAAAGCGCATTCTTCCCAGGAATCCTTAAAGAGATGCTCAAAGACGTTAGCTACTGAGGAGCTAGAAAACTGAAAGCACCTTCAGAGCAAGAATACATTCTTCGAGACCTTAGTTCTAGATGCTGCTGTCTTAAAAGATCTAAAATAGCACCTATGTGTCATGCTAACATACAAGTAACTGAGTACAGCGGAAATTCAGAAAATGTGCCAAAAAGAGCACTACAGTATGCACTCAGCAGCTCTTCCACACAGTTTGACTATCTGGGAATCCATCTCTTGTCCAAAGCTATTTAGGATTCAGAAACTGGATACCTCTGTACTTGCATTTTAGGCATTTATAACACACACCAGAAGCACCGAGTTAATTAAAACCAGACCGAAATGACAAATCTGCCTCTCCCTGACTGAAAGCCAAAAATCTGAAGTCATCCTTACAAGGAGGCAGAGATGGGGTCAAACTCTGGCCTCTCAAAGCGTGGCCATGCACAGGTGCCTAGGAAAGAGCAAGGAAGCAAGCAAGCACACATGGTACTTTCCTAGTCTCCAATCAAATCAATGATGCCCTAAGCTTGATCTGATTATTTTGGGGGAGGAGCAGAAGGGGTGCTTATTTAGTAACTTCAGAGTTTCTTAAGGCCTTCTTTGCCTAGAGCTTTGCTGGTAAGGTTTGTCTTCATGAGCCTGTAAGTCTATTTCAGTAACTCTAAAGGATTTCTCTTCTATGTACTGTTCCATCGTACTTCCTCCCTTGAGGCCATATTAAATGAAGTCTGCTGCTGAACTAAGGCTGTATAGTTTTGGAAATAAATATTAAGAAAAATTTCAATCTATAAAGGAGGGATAATTTCGTCCAGATTTATAGCACGTAGTTACAGGCCACTCCCATGTCTTCTGAAAACATTTTTTTTTATGAAGTGAACTTTATAAGTACTTATTCTTTTTTAATACAAATAGTACTGAATATTCAGTATTTCATATTCACATCTCCCAAAACCAAAGAAGGAATAATTCTGAAAACATATGAGCAAACTGATCTGATAATGCTATTTTCTTCTTTCTTCTGCGTCTGTTATGAAAAAAAGTTAAGTAGAAAACATGAAAGCTAAACATACCCATGCTCTGGTTTTCATCATCTTGGTCAATAAAGACATGGTCCATCACAAAACTGAGAAGTTCTGACTGGAGGCCTGAATCTGGATTAAACACCAAAGGCTGAAGACCTTCTCGACCTCCAGTCATCAGCTGATGACTAAAAATCATCAACAGATCACAGAGCAACATGAAAGCCTGAAAGGCAAAAGAGAATGAATGCAGCAAGAAGCATAAGTAAATAAAAAATAAAGTATCATTTATCTATTTTCCAGATATCCCCCACTATCCTAAAATGTCCTTCTTTAACTGTGATCAGCTGTAGATGTTTGTGTGCTGTGAAAAGTGTTCACAAGTGTTTCCCCTAGCTTTAAAAAGTTACACCTTCGATTCCTATGTAAGGAACTGTGTGTTTACTTACTACCTCTTCCACGTCCAGGATGATCCATATTAAACTTCCATTTTTTCTCTGTGAAAAGAACTCTAAATCTACCTCTGATCCAACGACCGCAGCCAAATTAACAGTAAAGAAAAAACACCTCTTTTGATAAACATTTAGAAAATTTAAACACAAGCTAAAAAATTAAGAACATTATGAGAGAAAACCCAAGCTGAGTCACTGTCAGATCCCAAAAATGCAGACAAGCAGCTGTAAACAAAGAAATTCTTGCAGAATTTCATCAGCAATTCTCTGCAGAAAGAATCAAGTAATGCTGCACAGCTTTCAAATCTAGATAAAAGCTGACCAGGGGAGAATTTTCAATGATTTATGCTTGTCACTACTATACCCTCATTACCTGGGAACAGAGAAAGGCAGCAGCTATTACTAACTTTATTTCTTTCAAAGGCTTATCTGTAGACTCTCACGCACGAGTAACACTATTTCCCCCCTGGCTTATGTGGGTGTGTCACAGCCAGCTGCATTCACTTGCATTACACACAACACCTGAGCACCTCTCAGAAAGTACATTTTAGTCATCCTAGTTTCTCTATCTTTAACCCCAGGTTCTGAAAACCGTGAGGAGGGTCCAGAGTACGAATGTGTAAAGAGACCCCTGGAAGACCTACGCTGGGTGTGCTGTCCCTTGCCCAGCAGCCCGCCAGAGTCCCACTCGGGGCAGAGCCCGCCAGGATTCCCAGGTAGGCAGCGGGCCAGAGGGACTGCAGAAGAGCTCTGACAGAGTCATGAAATCCAGTGTAGGCTTTAAGTCAGTCCTATATTCCCCCTCTAGAAACATCTGGACAGAAAAACAGTTAAATATGTGTTTAAACACATCTTTGAACCGAGCCTACGTAAAAGCAATGAGCGAGAGCAATCTGCTTTACAAACTTCCAAAACGAAATCTTTGTGAACGCTGAACGTCACAGCAGCTCGCTTATTTCTTGTAGTATGCTATAAAATCTAAATGAGCTCTACTGAGGCAAGAACAAAATGCAAATCATTATAAACCGTGTTCTACTTAGACTTTGGAAACAGATGCCACTATCTGGGATTTTTCTCCAGTGGATCCAAAAAATTGTGATTCATTTCAGTGATGTTCTCACCTGTTCTAAACTCCTTTGATACTCGGTAGAATTTAAGCTCATCCTAATGTAGACCTCTAAAAAAGAGCATATGAATAATGCACTGAAAGTGCTTATTTCTGTCCAATATAAAGACAGCAGTGGGCTCAGATACAGATGTCTATATACTGTAGACACGTCTGGTCACAGGAGATTTATTTCACTCAAATAGTCTATGAAAATTTGAAATGTTTGAATCCTCTTTCCTTCCTCTGATATGTACATTAATCTTCTCTGGAAAGAATGTACAGATTAAGAATCAAATATGGTAGGGAGACAATATAATTTACAGAGAATTCTCAAAAAAATCCAGTAAAACAAAAGGATTAAGAGGCAGTCTTGCACTCGCAGAAATATACTTTTTAAGGAAGAAAATTAGAAAGATCACAGAAGTGTTGGTTGAAAGGGACCTCTGAGTCTCCAGTCCAAGCTACTCTGACTGGGACGCTTGCAGTCTACAGGTCTGGCTGGCCGTGGCTTTTTCTAGCCGAGTCTTTAAAGCTTTCACAGAATTGTGAACTGCAAAGGAGCTTTTGAGAAAAGTTTACATTACCAATGGGGGGAAAAAAAATGTGGCCACTAATAATAAGGGAATAAAAACATGTTAATATACATCAAGAACAAAAACATTACTGTAATGGGAAGGATCATTTACCATTTGTTGATGCAGACAAGACATTAGTGCTAGCTTAAGCCAGAATGGTTGGTATTTTCATGAAGCTAGATGATATTTTCACATTATATAATACTAATAAAATATGCCAAGAGTAACTACTCAGAATATTAAAAAACAATTACTAAAGTTAAATCTGCTGGAAGACAATGACATATCAGAGTCTTTTAGAAATACATAAACTAGCAACATGTCTGAGGTTTTAATATTCATATTTATCAACTTGCAGAACACAGTGTAAATGCCAAGCAGATCTATCTTTCAAAAAAAAATACAACTGTCTTTTAAGAAGTATTTTCTTTTGAAAAACACAGGCAAAAACCACAGGCCAGTTAGTTACAGTCTTTGCAAAATCTTGGGAGGTCTGACAGAAATGCAATTTGAAGACAACTAAAAGACGTCAACAGACTCGACATAACTCACCATATATTCATAAAATCTCAGCAAACAAACCAGCTATTGTTTTTTGCTTTGTTTTGTTTTTTTTTTTTCCAGAGACTGTGAATTATTTCAACGAGCTCTTCAATTTAACTTATTTCAATTTCTAAAGAGATATAGCAGAAGCTTCCCATTCCATGCATGCATGGCTTTCCAAAAATCTAAACCAGAGAATTGGAAAACTACACTGAACTATAAAAAAATCCGATACTTTATTATGCAATCATATTTCACATATATACTTTTGGCATATATGTGCACACACATACACATGCAGAGAGATGCATGCACTTAAGTTTTCAGTGAGCCTATTAAACAGGGAAACAGAGCAACCTAAACCATAATGGTTATATTGATGAGAATCTAAAAAACCCTCCAGATCTTTATATTTCTATAATGAAGACACTGTTTAAGTAGATATTTTATTCTGATTTCTCAAGGAGATGTAATAATTTGTAAAGTGACAATTTTTGCATAGTGTGAGAGGACACTACATTGTCAGTGTTACTCACAGTATTTTTGTAAAACGAATTAACTTTTTTTTTCTGCTAGAAAATATGCAGTAGTATGACCTGTACTGGTAGAAGCCTCAATTTTCTCCCATTAGCTGCAACGGGAAAGAGATACAATAATTAGTATTCAACACTACACTTAACTGAATTATTAGGATAACAAAATAATGAAATGTCATTGAGGCTTCAGGCATTTGCCTTTGGCAGGAAAGCAGTTATTCTAGACTCCCTATTAGTCAAGAACAGGGGGGAAAAAAAATCCAGAAATATGAAGAGAAAGATTCAGCGCATTTGAGGTCTCAATCACCCTCTAAAAGTGCTTACTTCCACCTATTAATACAGTAAGTGTCTAAAGGAATAGGATTTTATTTTAGGTGACTGAGTTAGATGCCTAAAGTTATAACAGCTGAACATAAGCCTAAGCATCCAGGTAAGTCTTAACTGTTATATCAAAAATTACTTTGACATTAGCTGTGTTTTGAGGCTGCTTTTTAAGACACCTCCTCTTATGGAGTGTTTGTTCAGTTTTATTTAGGCAGAAGGCATGGATGATTTTACTTTAGGTTTGATTGAGTGTCGTCTTGAGCTTTACTACTGTCTATTATTCACACTTTTCTAGTAGCATGTGACAGACATTTCCTTTACCTGTTCTTTGACTGGCGTGTTGACATTTGATAGACACTGCTGGCAGACAGCCAGAAAGGATTTCACAGTTTTCCTCAATACCAACAAGTCCTCCTAGAATAAACATTAAAAAGGGGTAATATATAAGTATTAATAAAAGGTTGCTAGGAAAAAGTAAAATAAAAATATGGTGATAATTTCATACATTTAAATCCTATAAACTAGACAAACCAAAAAAGGCTGTGAAAAAATATGCTATTCATAGAGTAAACCAAGTCATTAATTTTCAGAGGAATGACACAAAGTTTCCCTATAATAAATAATAATGATAATGAAACACTAAATTCCTGAGTTAAATTGTCTGTATTTTATATTGAATGTAAATTATAAATATTTCACAACAAAAAAGCTTAATGTATCAAGGTTAGCCTACCTGGTGGTTTATAAAGAATTCTGTACTCGGATAAATCCACATAAACAAAAAAGTTAAATATCAACGAACGTCTCAAATTCAAGAAAAACAATATCCTTACTGCTCACAGACATGGGAAATGTGAAGGCAAATCACAGAAATCTGATGAGTTATGGAAGAAGGAGGGAGGTTTGTTGATCTGGAGAGAAAAGGATTTGTGGGTGGAAAAGATAAATGAATTCCTGTTCTTGATCACCTGGATCTAGAGACCACTGACATGTATTTTAAATGTGGGTACCAGAAGTGGCAGGTTCTAGAGGAAAGCTGTGTACTTTGACCTGGGAGAATTAATGCTGTACCCTGATGAATACTTATTTTTTATGGATAACAAAATAAACTAGTTAAATCAAAACAAAACGTAAGACACTGGAGCATAATTGCAAGAACACAGCCAAACAGCCACGTGGAAACAGCAAATCAATTACGACAGACTCCGCCGTAACCAAGACGTGTGCTGACCTGGCACGTACTTAACTAGTTACTCTGTTTTACAGCGCTGATAAACCAAGACGAAAACAAGAACCAGAAGCCACTAGGACTCTGGGTTCGCTTCACGTTTTGTGAAAAGGCCCAGCTTTGTCAGCTGGATTCCCAGGCTCTGCCCCGCCACACCACGGCACCGGCCGCGCGGCCGGCAGTCCTGCCAGGGCCCCACGGCCCACACCTGGGACCACTGCCGGAAAGGCCTTTCCTTGCCCAGTTTTCACTGGTTCCGTGGAAAGAAGGGATCACGACAGCCGTTAATTCACCCCGAGACCGCTGGCCTGCCGCTCCAGCAGGACCTTCCTCCGCCACGCCTCTGTCAGCCTTCAGATGGAAGGCAGTGTGCCCCACAGAACAACATCCAACCCAATCTAAACAATCTACACGCAACATTTGCCTCGCTAAAAATTCCCATTTTTAATTATGCTGGCTGTTCAGTCCGTGTGTCTCAGTTCTAGTTTTAGCTTTTCTTACTGCTTCCTCTCATGCGATCTTGTTATTCTTTGTTTACTGGAAAGCCTTTTTGTGGCCCATATGTTCTTCCTGTACTGGTTCACAACAGAAGGCAGGTCTGCAAGCGTGACGAAGCACCCCAAGTGCTCCTGAATCTCTGAACCTCCTATAATTTTCAGCAGAGTCCGTGTGATTTTCTGATATGGCTACTGCAGGTCTATAAGCTGCCCCTCATTCTTATTTCTAATAAATTTTTCTCTGATAATATAGCCAAGGATCCCTTGAGCCACAGCGTTACCCTGCCATTACATGATCTGTAAGACAGCTCTGCTCTATTCCAAGTCACAACTTTCCATTGATCAGCCTTCTTGTTTCCAGATATGGCTTCCATTTGGCAGCATTTTTTTCTAATATAGCTTTGACCTATTGAATATGAGTTACATTAAATTCACATATTCACCTGAAATGCAATGGGGTACTAATGTCTTACAGAAACTGGTATTTCAACTGGTTTCCTTATCAGACAAAAATACAATCTTCTCGAGAGCAAATTTATTTGTTCCTTACAGCCTTATCTCTTGGTCATGTTCATTCTGCCCTTCAGCCATGTACTGACGGTGTTTTCTATCAGCCAGTCCAAGATTTTATCTAGGACTGATGCCAGGCTTATCAGTTCACTGTTATATAATCATCTGATTTACACCTTTAAACACTGGGATTACAATCACTTTAATAACTTCCTACCTTCTATCACAATTATCTTCCATTTAGATGTTAACATCTAACAACAGAGAAACTAAAACCTATGAAAAATCCTATATGAAGGTTAAAAAGTGAATAAGTATGTCTCCCATTTTTCTTTCTGTCAAAGAACAAATAAGGTGTAGGTACACATTATTTATTATCCTCTCTCTTGATAGCATGACGAAGATTCATTCTGAACAGTTACAGACAGCAAAAGAAAGCCCGACTGAACACTGCAACACAGCCATCTGGAACTTTTCTAAATTTGGAGAAATCCCCAGACTACTACAGTGTGGTAAATTTTTTTAAAAAAGAGAAAATGGGAAAAAAAAATAATTACATTTTCAAGTCTATTACCATTCTCAGGCGCACAGCCAAGGCTCTAGAGGTGTGATTACCTGATATGCTGGCTTCAGCAGAAAAACTGGTATGAAAAAATGTTACTGTCCTCTTGGTTGCTAGGGTAAAAGCATGGGGTCACAGTGTGAACTGGATCACTAAAGTGACCCAGGATAAAAACAACCCTTTCTTGAACTATACAGCATAGTATCTTCAAATTTAACTAGTCCATGGCAGGAACAAGAATGAGCCCCTAAGAGCAAGGACTTGTATTGGCTTTGCCACCACCTGTAGCCCAACAACTGTGTTCACAAAACTGCTAACTGAAGTAAATTGAAGTATGTAAAAATTGAAGAATGTAAATTGAAGCTTGTTTTTTTCCACTGAAGCTATTTAGAAATGCTGTGCTTTTGCTAGGTTCACCCACCAAAAGTCATGCTTTTCTTCCCCTTTGCCCACTACCTTTCCTCCGCACTACTTATCTGCCACATTAACTTCCTTCTTGCAACTCCAACTCTTCGATAAACTTTAGTGTTCAAGAGCCATTAGCTTTCAACTCAGCTGTGGAACGGGATCCAACCTTTCGCACCTTGTGACTTTTCTTCCTTTCAGCATTTTGTGCTTTCTTTCATTGTGCCCATATAAATATGAAAAGTCACCAAGTCACTATGTTGTTCTTTAAATCCCTCTTTAAATCCCTTTTACTAATTCCTCTGCCTACTAATCACTTTGTAATAGCTATGAGCTATGCATTTCGCTAGTGTGGCTGCTGCTCATTCAGAGCCGTTTTGCCTTTGTCTCACCTCTGAGTGTTTGCTCTATTCATGCCTTTTATTGTTGTAAGATTTTGAACTCTATTCTTCTGCAAATATTTCCTTTTCATTAGATACACGTACAGTGTATATAGTACAATGGTCTCAGGTACTTGGTTTATTGAACACATGAAGAAATCTGGATGGAAACAACAACTGTATAATCTAATCCCCATGTCTGCTACCTCAAGACTGTACTTGCTCCCCAAGATCTACAGACAAGAGAACTCTTGCTGAGAAATTACCAGCTTCCTTTGAAACCATCCTCAAACTCCTTTTCACATGCAGAACAGTTCTTCTCCAGGCTACAACAGACAAACTACACAAACTACACAGTACAAACCTCTTCCCCCAGTACCCCCCTGTTCAGCACCAGCCTGCTTACCGACAGCCCCGCAGCCCTGGCCGCAGCCTCCTCTGAACACGGATGGGAGGAAGATCAAAGATGAGAGCAGTAAACTATATTTCAAGGCTTCCACATGTCATTCATACCTGCTGCAACCTTCCTTTTAGTGATAAGTTTTTCCTTTCAGATTTTAGACACCAAGATGACACCACAGTAAGCCCTATTTTTCACAGGCTACCTCTAAAAAAGTTTTAAAATAACTCTTCCCCACCTCTATGCTATATTTAAGTTAACTGGTGGAATCTTTGTTATTGGGCAGAGAATTTGGACTTTCTTAATAATTCAAATAATCAGTAATTGCCACCCTTCTGTTAAAAGGTCTTTGAAACATTTTTATGCTGATATTACTTCTTTAAGGTCTATGATCGAATCTGTAATCTACAATATTACACACAGCGTGGGGAAAATGCTGAGCACCCTCCTGGTAACAGCCTGGATAAACAACAACTGATATGATGAGAATACGAGTGCCAAGCTGCCTGGGAACACCCAAAACTACCTGTTTGGAGCGGGTGTTTGCCTAAACACTGACTATGCTAAGAAGAAAGTTAACAATGAACTTCCTTAAAATGACCAGATCAAATAGTAACCAGGAGACTACCAAGAAATGTTTGGGGAAAGGAGGAGTCACCTTGTATATAAAAAAACCTTACAAAAGCAGCAAGAAGAGTTGTAATCATGGAGAGGAACCTTGGGGTGGAACAGAGCAGCAGTCAAACCAAGTCAGACACCCCAAAATCGAAGCCCGCTTCCCCCGCAGGGCTGGCAGCTCGGGGTGCGACAGGCAGAGCCCGCGCCTCAAGCGCCCGTATGTCACTGTGGGTACACATGAAGCTGGAGCACCCACGTGTCCAACTGCAGCCACGTACAAGCAGGGGACCTCCTTGTGATAAGTAATAGAAGAATTTTGCTTTTGCTAAAAGTAATTAAACAATTACTTCTTAGGCTAAAGCTATTATTAGTACAATGATCCAAATTTTAAGAAAAGTAAAAGACTTTACTACTGGGAAAAGAAAAGGGGGGAATTGATCTGAGGAAACACCAACCCAACAGCCCCCCCTCCTTGGGATGCTCACCACATGGTCCCTATCAAAGGGTGGTAACTCCTTTGCAGTGGAATGAGAAAGAACAGAATGGGCCATCTCTGGTATCCCTTGTCCCATAAAAGACAAAGGAGCTGCAAATTGGCCCAGACTTGAAGGACAAGGTGTAAGGGACCACAGGACTGAAGAAAGAAGAAGATAAGATTGTAGAAGAAGCCAGGAGGCTTGCCGAAGGTGTTGAAATCAGCAGCTGTGTGGATAAAAGGGGGTTTGAAACTTAAACAATTTGGTGAGCCTGGACGGAGCTGCGACTCCTGGGCCACCCCAGCACTGCATTTGCTCTCTTACCTTAATAAAGATTCATTAATCCATATTTGGATGTGATTGGCCTTAATCATCCTGGTGCCCAGAGATGGGCAATGGGCTCTCACCCCGCATTTCCTGTGATAGTGGGGGTGTGCGTAACTACATCGTGGGTGTGTCCTGGGGAGGGGATTAGAGCAGCTTCTGAGCAGTTACAGAAGGGTAGTTTGAAATTTGTAGGTGTTCATTAGCATTATAAAAGCATCTAGTGTTCCAGTTTACCTGCTGTACAGCTGATACTTACCCTGGAGATGTGCTGCACTGACTGCAGGTTAATTAAGTGTTGTTAATAAATCAGTGAACTAACTTGATTCTAATTTGATTTAAACCACAAGAGTCAAACGGTTTTTCTCTGCCACACATATAAAGCCTACAGACCCACACCCAGCCTCACACAGTCAGCCATAATCCAAAACATACCCAACAGCTGTGATATAAAGTCTCTCTCAGAAAGCAATAAACGTGTCCTGGGCATGGGCATAATGCCCAGGACACTTTCCGAACAAGGGCAATCCTCTTAGGAGAGAGGCTGTATTTTTGGAAAAGTCAGCTGAACACCAGATAAAGAATAACTGCATTCCAAAAAGATTCTGTTCCCAATCGTACATGCCTGGTTGTCATGTATAACCCTACCTTAGAACCAATACACAAAATTATTAAGCAATTTTGAAAACTACTTGAACTCACTTTGAAAGAAATCTTACCAGAACCACCCATCCCACCTGCAAACTCCCTCCAATAAAATGTACACCTAATGGATGCAGAGCATACCTGATTAAGAAGTGCATAAACCTGCCAGTATATGCCTCCTACTACCAAACTAAACACTTCCTCCCACATTAACACCCTTGAATCCTCTACTTACAGTTCCAAAATGTTAATATACTTTATCCTGTGCATTGAATGCCTACATGGTAGCTAACTAGGTGAAACAGAGCAGCTACTATTTGCCAGCATGAACTCACACAAATGACCCAGCTGGCAGCAGGTGAACATTTCTTAGAAATCAATCCCTCCACCTCTGATGTCTCAGTCTGGATGCTCAAGAGAAATCTAAAAAAATCATCTTCTAAACACGAGCCTGGGAACAAAAAGTCACAAGTCTAAGGGACACAGAAAAACAAGGACTCAAGATTAGTTTTATGACACATCATAAATTCCCTTTTCTTCATTAGCTTTATCATCTTTTACCTTCCTTCTCTTCCCCACTATCCAGCTCCTACTTCCCTCCTACTAACTGTCTTACCACCTCGCCTTCCCCCTGCTCCCACTCCCTTAGCAGGTACCAATGACCTTTCCTTTCAGTGACAGTTTACCAGATCAGTATTGGAACAGAAACCAAATGTTTGTCCTCAGCTAATATTTTGCTTTATAATCTGCTTTTATTTCAAACCTGAAAGGCTTGTGTGCACAAGCCTTTCTAATTTTTACAGCTATATCCATTGGTCTGCTAAAGATACCACTTCAGCCTACAAACCATCACCTCCCTCTGTCCTTAGATCATTACAGCTACAGCAAAGTAACACTAGAAAGCTGGATGGACCTACGTATTAAAATACTGTGGCAGAAATGTTCTTGTAAAAGCCTGAATACTCAAAAAATGCTCATGAAATACACTATTTTTCATTTTGAGATGCTCGTGTTAATCTTTTTGTCTTCCCATACATCATCATTTAGAAGCAATCCCCTTTAATGTCTGCTAATTTAGAAGCCTAAATCATGGCTTATAAAACAACCATGTGCAAAACGATCTCCTAATGGATTAAATGACAGATATAGTGCACATCAGATTTACTTTCACAGTGAACAAACTACAATGGAAAGTTTGATAGAAAAAACCCACACAGAACCAAATGCTACAACCACATCGGGTTTGAGGATTTGTCTTTATCCCGCTTCTGTTGTGAGCACAGCTGAGGTTGCTGGCCAGGGACGAAGAGCTGAAGGGCATTAATGCAGTGCTCCTCTTGAACTAAGCATGCAGAACACTCATTATTTTTGTATGGGGGGGGGGTGTGTGTGGAATGCCACACAATAAGTTAATAACAGCTCTCTAGGTTAGAGTAATTATGATTTTCACAGAAGCAGAATTGACTTGGACTTCGAACAGTCTTTCTCAGTGGAGCTTTCATAGTTCCCTCCATTCCTATGAACTACATTATGACTAATATGAATCAGAATAGTATTAGAAATACACAAAAGACCAAGGCTATTCTGCATGCATCTCAAAAAACAATGTCTTATGGAAACATATCCTGTTTTGAAAAAGTAGGCGAAGCCATACAATTGCACTAAGCTTGTCCGCAAGAAAACCCCAATCCCTGAAATAAATAAAGGTCTTTTTCAGTTTAACTGGACCACCATGGTAATACTGCAAACAACAGCCCACATGGTTACTTTGACACCAAAATGCAAAGCTTGTGACCAGGTCCTGGCAGACAGATGCTCTATGTATTAGTCACTAGCTGTGGTTTATGGTAAGTATGTCTCTTTTGCTGTAATTTAGACACAAGAAAACATGAAACTTTTTTTCCAGCGATGCTGACAGCTATCACTCTGCACCATCTATGTTACACTGAAGTAATTTTAACAAAACTGGAGAAATGCAGTGAAGGGAGATGAGAATCTTACTAAACACACTGTGTCTCAGCATTTGCACCCAGAGCAAGGCAAGACCGGGCACTGCTGCCCAAGGGGCCCAGCAAGTAGGAGGACAGAGTGGTTGGGTAAGACACCTAGCAAGTCCCAACAGTCAAGAGCACAGGGAAAAATTTAATAATGGTGTTGAAGACAGTGTCCAGGCTTGGATAGTCGCCTGGGTTCCTAAGTGCTGGGTTCCTCAAACCCACCATCACTCGCTACACCATAACCAGCAGTCCAGTTTTCCTTACTAGGGAGCGTTAGAATGAGACTCGGCGTGTTGGTTTTGTGGACTCAAGGGCTGAAGCAATCCAGGGCCTCCCAGATCGACTTTTAGTTACTTAGCTCTTTCCGTCAGAGTGAGATTTCACCCAGAGGGTAAGAATGCTGCTACCTAGGAGGACTTCAGATGCTTTATTGTGATGAGATTCTGAGTTCATTTAAAACAAACGGGATGCATTCAGTTTTTTCAGTTATAAGAAGTCAAGATGTAATAATTATATACTACCAGCATGCTAAAGAAGCTGAGAGGGGAAAATTGGAACAAAAGCCAGAATAAAGAATACCAATTATTCTTTTTCTCTAGTAGCTATTTTAAAATGTCAATACATGTCAGTATTCAAAACAACTCAAAGAATTTTTAGTGTATTTTTATCATTCTTATGTGCATAAAATGGTTATTTCATTAGTACTTTAGTATAGCATCTTTTTCTTTTTGATGCTGATGAGGAAGTACACTTTTCATACCATTTTAATTTGATGTATTAGTTTTGAAAAGGCACTAAAAAGACAGGACGTTGGCCTCTGCTTGAGAAAAGAGCTAAGGAAAGGTCCTGGAAAAGCCAAACCATAACAAACAAATTACACGTAACATTGTTCTTACTGTGTTACACTTGTGTGCGCTTACTTTTTATTAGCAACCGTCAGTGCCAGTATCCTTACACTTACATTTAGCAACGTAAAAGATGTAAGTAAAGGGTAAGCAAGGTAAATACACATGAATATTAAGCTATCTGTGGTGTACAGATCAACAGTATTGCTTACAACTATTAGGTAAGCAATGTCACCATCACTTAGCTGTTCATGCAAACTGCTGTACTCATAATAAAGTGCACTAAGCATCTTCAGCAATAAAAATATGAAAATCAGCTAGTATAAAATCCTGATAAAGACAAGCCTCCACTGTTTGTATAGCCTCTTTACAGATGCATGATGTCAGATAGATCCTGAAGTATCAAATAAATCAAAACGCTAACATTTTGAATCTGTTTCACAACAACATAAAATGACAGTACAGTGGGTGAAGTAACAGAGAATCAGGTCTAACTCCTTTTTAGGCAAGTTGTGTTTCTTCAGTAAAATCTGCACGATCAAATGCCTACTTACTTTGGAAGGGGAGCCTTCAGTGATTTTCACCAGCTGCCAGAGAATAGAGTAATGGGAACACTGCAGTGCCTGAACAACTATCTGTAACAGAGGGAACACAAAGAATCCCAGCACACTGGAAATATCAAGCATATCAGTAAAGTGTACGTAAAATTTATCATCTGTCTTTTGTAATGGGTGAGTCACCCCTCCCTGTCCTTATCTCGATCCCAGAGCCTTTTGCTTTATTTTCTCTTTCCTCAGGGAGAAGGGGTGAGTGAGAGGCTGATGGTGCTCAGTTGCCCTCTGGGCTCAAACCAGGACAATCATGATTTATGCATTGCTTTTCACAACCAGGAACCTTAGTTATTCCTTACGCTACAGATGAGATTACCTTTGCTCAAAAAACACTGAATCCAAGATTTTTCACCTCCTGAACAGTGCCTAACTACAATATATATTTTATTCAAAACTCCACTTTTTTCCTAAATAACTGAAGTCCAGCGCATTAATCTTCTGAATGTCTCTATGACGAGACCCTATGGAACTCTGACTCCCCAGACGATGCAGCGCAGGTGTTGCTAACTGTACCTGTTCTGGCATAGCTCCGTGTTCAATTCCAGTTCTTAGTAATCTGTAGCAGTTACTGAACAGATCCCATTTTGTGAGATCATGCGCACTAGAACGAGAGGTAATAAAGAGAGATTAGTTGTGTTCCTCAAAACTCTACATCACAGCGAGAATATCGTCTGACCTGGCAGCTCAGTGAGCTTTGGTATTTTTGCAAAGCTGAGACAATACAGCCTGCTGACAAAGCAGCTGCACAGTTAGTTCACTCCATGCTAAAAGCAGAAGTTAGGCTTTCTGATAATCGAGGAGAAATGGTTTACTACATTGGATTTTTGTAGGGAGGAGATAAACTCTCTGCATACCATACATCTCTAAAGGCTACTTAAGAGTAGCTACAAGCTCATTCTCAGTGTTGCCTCTAAATCATCTTTCCTTTTTGGTTCTAAGCACTGATAGAACTCAAAAAGGCACTTCTCTGGCATTGCAGCAGAAATTACGGCCAAATTCTAGCAATATATACTGAATGAAAAGTGGCTTTAAGCAAAATAAAATTAGATGTTTTTCTGTTGTATCATTTGGTGAAAAATAACATCCATTATCATTAGATATTAAATATCCTGAAATATCTGAAGGCATCATGATGTACATGAGACAGAGATGGTAGTTGCCATCCCCCATTCATTGTTTCACATTTCAGGTGTACCAACCCGATTTGTTAGCAAGGGGAATGCAAATGAGAATAGAACTACATATTCTACAGCCTTACAGACCTCAAGAGCTTATGATACAGCTTTTTTTAATACAGAACTGAGAAATACAGAAGAAATTACAAAACATCAGGTTGCCTGAAAGACAAAAAATATCTCTCACAAAAAAAATATTTAGATTTAACGCATTTTTCTGCAGTGGAATTAAACTGAGATAATTTGAAGCAGTTTATAATATGTAAATAAAAGAGAAAGCCACCTCAGAATAATTAGAAAGTTGGTGGTTAAAATACTCACCTGGAAGAAGGGACACTCAGACTGAATTGGCAAGTCTAAATTAGCTAACGCAGTCTCTTGCATCTGGCTCCCTTTTATCCCAGCACCTTGATCACCAAGACATACTCACTTTTCTCATCCCTTTGTGTTCGCCCTGCTCTGGAGCTGCCTGACTTTGTTTAAATAATTAACTACTCAGCTCAGCCAGAAAGAATAATTCTCTAGTTCCAAAACAGACAGAGGTTGAACTCAAGACTGGGAATGCCTAGATCCCCTTGAAACCCCTAGGACAAAACACTTCTCAGTCTGGAGCATGTTAGCCCTGGAAAACCTCACTGATAAAAAGTTTCACAGAAAACATAACAATTAACGTCCTTGTGCTGAGTGCAAGTGAAGCATGCAGTCTAGGCTTATGTCATCAAGCCAAAGCGCATCTTGATTTCTAATTCAAATCCATGAACAGAACAATAGGAAGACTTAAAAAAAGGAAACAAAAATGTAAAAATACTCCCGCTGCCTTAGATTCTGGATGGTCTTCGAAGTATGAAAAGAAAATGCTTCATAGATAAATTATAGATTGCCACAGAATTGTCTCTGTGTAGCGATATTAAGCACATAGATGCTGCTTCAGCAAATCACAGGGTTGCTAGCGAGGCAGAGTTGTACCTCCTTAATTACAGTGCTGTAATTAAAGCAGTAAAATCTCCTTGGTGTGCAGAGGCACATATCAGCATAGATTATCCTACAGAGAATATGAAAGGAAAAACTGTCTCATTTCTGCCTTTCCATCTGAGAGCCCTCTGTGTCAGGCGGCTGGCACAGGGGGCGAGCCCCGCTGCCCTGACAGCTGGGGGCACCTCAGCTCTTTGCTCTGAGCCTGGACTGACAGCCGAGCTCAGAAAGAGCTTTTCAGCTTCCCAAGCTGAAAAATTCGAACTATATACAAGTTGCATTGGGCTTTTCAATATAAACTTCCTTAAAGAAGAGCCTCCACATTAAATTTAGGCATATTTGGGTACACTCTTGTTTCTTTTGAACTACTTAGCAATCAGAACGACAGTTATAAAGGTTGTATTGGACACAATACAATTCTCCGCAGAGGTTCTAATTGACACAGAGACTCCTAGAATGAAAATTCACACAACACGGAATTTTTCCTTAGTCCCTTCCATATCAGAGAGTCTTCATGGATTACAGAAAACAAGGCCATCAAAGGTTTCTTTTCATCCCGATAGAAAGCACTGTCTGCTGGGGCACGTTTCTGCCAGAAAGGAGTCAGATGAAGAAAGGGTACCCGTTCCACAATGTCTCTGAAAGCGTGTCAAGAAGCACCTTAGAAAATTTAGTTTTCAAAGAGGTGATGTCTCCACCCACAGAACTGCTTCTCTTTTTAAAGAGGCACGAGGTGGGAGAATCTCTACCGTGGGCTTTCAACAGCTGTGCTAATAGTCTAATTTATCTACTGATTCATTTATCATAACTTCTTCTATGTCTGGATATAACAAACTTCTGAGTAACTCAGCCTGAAGGAAGTACAAGTCAACTACTGGAAAAAAGGTGAAGCAAAGGGTTTCTATAACAGGAAGAGAAGATCTGCTGGCCTGACCATGAATATACCTATCTGGGATGTGTCTTGACTGATGAGGCTTATACTGATAAAAATATAACGCGTCTCTGATAACGCGTATCTGGAGAGTTACTACAGCCACTGCCAGCTTATGAATTCAGTGTGGAGGCAGGAAGGAATCAAACTCTGTATCATATTTGAGGACTACTGGACAGTGATACCAACAATCCTCATCTCTAAATGTGAATCAATGCTCCGTATACAAGACAGCATCAAAGGGCCCATCCAGTGTAATGGAGGCGATGATTGAGATTCATGTGCCTGGCATAGAATTAACTGCAGTAATTAGCTAAGAAATGCTGCTATCTTGCAGCATACAAACCGCTACAGCACTGATGTGTTACATGTGAAAGCTCAGTTGAATTGGACTGGAGTCACTAGAGAAAAATTGTCTCCCTGTACTTAAGGACAGAAAAAAATTGCTATAAATATCAGTGAGACCCTGGCAAAAAAAGAAGCCCAAGCATATACTCCAGGTGTTCTATTCAGAAGACTGCAAGAAAATTTATTACTATGTTCTGAAATCTTGGAAGGAAACATTGTAATGATTAATTTAATTTCTACTGGAATACTGATATCCTTGTTCGATGAGAAGACGTGAATTAAAAAGAGTGCTGTGAGCCCTCTGTTGCCATGACCCTCTCGGAAAAACAATTAGCTCAGGCTTGGGAAAATCTCAGTATGGAAGCTTTTTCTGATAATCCCTGACCATGGTTTTTTTCCACTTTGCTGGGCTTCTTTTTCCTAAAAGATGAAGAAGCAGCAACTACCAAGGACACACAAGCAGATAAGGTACAGTGGAGTTTCTCTCACTGTTAGAATAGAGAGACTTGTTTCTTTTTGAAGCCTCAGCAACTACTTTATCTGTGCACTTTTAGAAGACCTGAAAGGTATCAGTTGTTAGCCTGCAATTTCAACTTCTTCCATTGATTCAATTTCTTTTGGCTTGCAGTTGATGACAGACAATGACAGTATCAGACCACAGCCACCATTCTCTGAGATGAGACCGCTCAATGTGAGCTTCGAATTGAAGATCCCAATCTCATAGCCAAAGGGTCGGCAAAAATTCCGTCTTGGATGGTACGATTGTTCCCTTTCACAAAGAAATCACATCAGATGTAACATTCAGTAGAGTAATGAAAAGATTTAATTACTTCTTTATAGGCAAGCAGATATTAATTAGAAATTCCCATTGAGCTATATAATCATAAATAACAAACCAGCTGAGCAATTACACACAGCTGCTCTTCAGCTTTCTTTACTCTTTCCTATTTTTTGAAGGTGAAGGTATATGTCCCTGACCCTGCTTTGTGTGTTATTCTACAACGCTTTCTTTATAGTCTGAATAAACTCTCTAGAGATTTGGAACCCTAAAGGAAAAAAATATATATGGGAGTCTCTCAGAAAAGCCTTAAGACTCATGCTCCTTTCTTGGATGTGAACTACAGCTTTCACCAGTCCTCTCAGGAAAGGCAGAAGTGGCTCCAGCATGTTACCAGGGAGACTGAAAACCTAATTTGCATGTGTCAGCCTGCTGCACTACAGAAATTAGTAACGATTTAATGATCTCTGTGGGACTCTTGTTGAATGGAAACAAAGAGTAGATACTTCATAACCGTTTCATAGTATGATCCAAAGCAGAATTCAGGATAAGTGAAGACTAAGCACAGAAGGAAAAGAGAAATTAAATCACTAAAACCGATTTGTATAAACGAGGTGGCAGAAGCAAGGCCCTCTTACATCTTGTGATAAGGAAGAAATGATTTGTGGCTCTTGGCCATCTGCGTATGAAGCTTTCTTACATGCCAATCAGGAACAATTACTTCCCGCAGCTGATAGGAGGGGAAGACTAGTTCTTTGTGCTTATGCTCCAAAATTCACAGTTCAAGTGAGATTTTCCAGGTTGCTCTACAAGTTATGAGGGTGCCCGTAGGTCTGAAAGCAGCAGGACCCTGAAAATCTGCTGCCTGGTTCCACTGAGCTGGTCCATTCACGCTTAGCGAAGGAATTTCTGTGCAATCCACACAGTTAGATTGCACCAACAATTCAACTAGAAATTATTCCTGGCATTTCTGCAGGAAGAGAACGCATCTTCCAGACTCTCACCATAAACTATTATCATTACTACTACTACTTATTTCTATAATTTTGGGGAGAAATATCTCAAAGGCATTGAGAAAATGAGAGAAACAACTTCCTCCAGGGCTCTCCTAAACTGAGGCTCAAAGCAGATTTGGCCTGCACCTGCTAGTGCCAGAGATATGAAATGTTCCTTGTGCACTGACTGTCATGCAGGGGAGTATGACTTTTAGTAAGACACTCATAGGTGTAAAAACATTCAGTGCAAGGGACAGTATGTCACTTGCAAATCAAATCTGTAAAAGTAATGGCATTAATTAAGCAAGGATCCAGATTAATCCGAACAGTTACACTGACAAATACCACTAATCATTCATCAAATTCTATTTCATATTTCAGGCCATATATTTTCTCATTTCTTAATACTAGACATCAACTGATACTCACTGAAATGAGAAAATTAACATAGTAAATTTTTGAGGAAAAAAAAAAATCACCTACTTGTGAAAAGAGGTTAACCTCTTTAATGTGGACAGCACATTGTAGATGTCATCATCATCAGCTTCTTCTCCCTGAAAATTAAAGGAAATCCATTGAGTTCAGCAATCCAGCAGAGTACATTACTGCATGGGGAGGAGCAGATTTCTTTGAGGGTTCATGTTGACACCAAAACTGACTCCAGATCTTCCAGTGACTTTTATCTAGATTCCATAATACTACTATTTAAATGACCACTGCATAGCACTAGGAAATAAGCCAGATCATCTGACAATATTCAGCGGTATCACTGTGTTAATACTCAAATCACTGTTCTGTAGCAGTAGTAATCATTTCCAAGGATAAAATCTGAGTTCTACCTTATTTTACAAAAAGGACTGAACCACCAGCTTTGACCATCAGCTACAAGAATACAAGAACTAGCTACAAGAATAAAGCCAAATCCTTGACTTGCTCCACACCAGACACCTGAAGATGTCAACAGCAAGTTTTTTAAAATGATCAGTGGGAAAATTTGTTCTCATATCCTTCATTGCTGTTCACTGTGTTATACACCGTAATGCATGACAATCACACTATATGCACAGACCAACATGCATTCAGAACTGGAAGGAAGGGTTTGGTTTTTTTAATTTAGATCTTACAAATCTGGGGAAACAACAGTTCAAGAATAAATATTGCACAATTCAATCAAAACTCTTAATTTAATTTTTTTCTTTCTGACATTTAAAAATATCATTATCATAATATCTTAGGTAAACTCAGCAGCAAATTCTCTTAGTGAAACAAGACACTTTCAAAACAATTTTTCTAGCAACTTTCTGAAACAGGAATCCCACTTACAACAATTCTCCATTTCATTTTGATATTTTTTTTTCCATCTAAATGCCTAACAATTAAGCCAATTTTCTGCCCTCAGATCCAAATGTTAATCAACGTTTCTCTCACTATCAACCTAGTAGGAATCCACAAAGCAGTGGCATACTTGCTTGGGTACAAGCATGCACATTTTTGAATGTAAAATCTCTTTAAAATTATGAAATACACTTATTAAAATTAATTATTTTACCAAGTAACACCCAGCAAAAATATCACAAAGGTGAAAATTTTAAATCCTTGCTACCACTGTTCCCTTTCTTGCTTTCTCCTACTTCTGTCTTGGTTTTGTCTCCACACCCTTCTCTACATGGATGACCTTCGCACTCCCTTTTCCTTAGGGATTTAAACCTCAATTCTTCATTTCTAATATGACTTTCAGACACAGCTTTTCTCTGGAATCCCCAGTCCTCATCCCTCTCTCATGCAAGCGAATATATACAAAGATTATAAGCTCTTGCTTGCGTTTCTCTACTCTTTGCCTGGCTGGGTAAAGGAAAGGGACACATCAGAAATATTTTGGTATCACTGGCCCACGTTCTTTCGTGAGCCTGGTCTTTTGTTCTCTGCCCAGTAGTCTCAGGGCATCCTTCAGGCCTTTCTCACTGGAGTGCTACATAAAGGGAAGTCGCCTGCAAAGAGAAGCGAGGCACAATTGAGTGGGAAAAAGCAGTTCCTGGCTTCCTGATTCAACAGCAGTTAATAATAAAGGAAAACTGGAGGAAGAAGTTTCCCTCTCCTAGTTCATTTCTTCTCAGAAGACTGGTGGGAAGTAGTTTATGAATCCCAGCTTCCCATTGCTCTCACCTCACAAAGTTCAACAAGGCCAAGTGCAGGGTCCTGCCCATGGGCCAGGGCCATCCCAAGCACAAACCCAGGCTGGGCAATGAGTGGCTGGAGAGCAGCCCCAAGGAGAGGGACACTGGCCCAGGGTGCCCAGAGCAGCTGTAGCTGCCCCCTCCCTGGAAGGGTTCAAGGCCAGGTTGGACGGGGCTGGGAGCCCCCTGGGCTGGGGGAAGGGGGCCCTGCCTGGGGCAGGGGGGTTGGGACTAAATGGTCTTTAAGGTCCCTTCCAACCCAAACCATTCTGTGATTCCCCTTGGGTCCAAGGCGAGGCTGGAGGGACCTTTCAAGCAGTGTCAGAAAGGGAGTGGACAGGACTGCAGACCCGTACAGCGTACCTAAAATATGGAGTGTGCTTCCTGAACTCTCTCAACATTCATATCTCTCTAGTCTAAAACAGCTGGACCTAAATGCTGGCATAACTGATCTGAAATGTTGGGATGGCAGTGGAAGAGAGGCAGATTTCCAATCTCCTTTTATCTTCACTGCTTGTAGTGTTGGAACATGGTTCTTTGAGGCCCAGAGACCGCGCTGCTGGTGAAGGAGGACTCCCTAAGAAGGGCTTCTGAGAAAATACAGCTGGGGACTGAAAGGTAGCAAAGGGAAGGACAGCACTGGATCTCCTCGGATCAGAGAATCCAAGAACAACAGGACTGATGCTACAGTAAACCAAACTCAACAGTAACTGGAGTGCTGGCTTCCAGAGGGTATGTGGATGACAGAAAAGTTGCTGATAACTAGGAGATTAGTTCTTGTCTTGAATCCTCTTCAAAGCTGCTGTGTGGAGGAGAATGGGTAAGTCAGAGAAACAGCAGCTGCTGTACAGCAGGAGGATTCTAAGAGTTCCTGTATTTACTAACTGAATTTCAGATTATGGTTGAAAAAATTATCTGTGGGTGTCTCAGCTATACTGATAAAATGGTGAGTGGATCTTTTCTTGGCTGAAACTATCCGGGGAACAGAATGCCACCTGTGAATCCCTAAACAGATCCATGGATGATTAACGTCTATACAGTTGAACAGTGTGGAAACTTCAAGGGGACTCTTCCAAAAAAGCTGCATGTCCTCAGACAGACCTAATTTCTGTTTGTTACACAACTGTCTCCAGAGAGAACAAACATGGCATTTGCTTTGGAGAGGCTCCAAGATAAAACTATGAGAAAAAGCTGAAAGGAGGTATTTTCATAATGTCTTACAAGACAGTATAACAGAAATGGCAAGTCAGTGCCAAAGAACTGGTATTCCACTTGCTTCTTGGTCTGATTCTTGAAAAAAACCTATAGGCACTTTCCTCCATCTCAAGACAAGACAGAGTGATTGAGATGCTTTTTGCTGATCTGAGCTTGGCTGTGGAGACATAAGCTAAAGATTCTCTCAAAGCCAGGTCTGGAGAAGCATCACACTCCCTGCATACAGAGCCAGACTGAACCTTGGTGTTGGATGTGTGGACCGTGAAAAATGTGAGGACCTCACCAGAATTCCTAAACCTCTGTTAGTGGGTACCGATGGAAAGAGTGAAAGCCACTATTTACAGTGATCGGTTGCTGGTGTGGAGAACTCAGCTGGGTCTGAAGCTGGATCTTTGTGCTGGCAGTGCAGCTTTACCCCCTTTTGCTACATAAGTCAGCAACAGATTCCACCCAAAGTTTTTGTCTCAGAGTTTTTGGTCCTGTTGGACACAGGTGAGGAACTTCAAAAATCCACAGCTATTAAAACAGATGGATAAGTCATGCAATCGGGCATTAGCTAAAAGAACTCCCTTGCCACACACAGATAGGAAGAGATGTAGCACAAATTCTGGAACGTCTTTTCAGGTTCTGCTCAGAAGCTTCTAAGAAAGTACATATAAAATGGCAGACAGGTAGACAGCAAAGTAAATGTATTCTACCAAAGAATGCACAGTGGCGCACGAATTCATCTGGGTTCTGGAGTGCCTGCTTCCTGCATGCACTGCCTTTTTCACTCATGTACATTCCTACAGCGACAGAAAATTGTTTATTTACTCTGCAATGTGACAAGGCATATATACAGTATGCCTGTATGTGGCATACTACTTAAAAGATAGAAAAAAGCTTATTTTCTTTAATATGCAATTTTAAAATTCTGTAGCTTAACTTTCTATAAATGTACATCAAAAATGAAATGTATCTGCCACAGTGCAGTGAATGGCTAGAAGAAGTGAAGAAAAAGATCTATGTAGACCTTAAATTATGTTTAAAAAGCATTAGAATTACAACAAATTAAGTAGTGCTACACAAAGGTAAATTGATGTAAAGCAAGAAAAAAATGAGTGAGGTTTCTGTTCTTATTTAATGTATTCCGTCTTATGCATTCTGAAGAATAAATTCTTACCAGTAAATCCCAGGTACCTCCAGATTTCAGACCTGTATCTTTAATTCTTTTCAGAGCTCTTTCAAAATGCCATTATAAATATTTTACTAAATCCTCTCTTCCATTCAAGACATAATCCAATCTTGATTCTGCTGCCTGCATATCCATTTGGGACTACTGTAATCACCACAAGCATTAATGTAAATGCACCTTTCTCTGCATTTTTCATCAGCTTTCATGCATTCATCCATTTAATTTCTTATGTGGACTATTTAAATACTAGACTAAATTTTCAGGAGCAGAATTGTCCCATGGTCTTTGTTTTACAGCACCAATGCCTTGCAAGGCTTAATGGCTAGTCCAAGGGATTTTCTACATGGAAAAATAGCTCCAAATAATTATGAAATAGTTGCTGCTGTACCACATCTTCAGATGGATAATTTAATGACTTGGTAAGAATGTTTTTCTGCTGTTTATCATAGCATATTTCAGGTAGTCTAACTAAATTCATTTTAAGAAAACAAACCTCCTGCAGTAGATCTTCTACGGAATGGTTGAATCGATCCACAAATTCGTCAATAAGTTGGCTGTGGGCTATGTCAACTCTGTTCTGGATTGTATATTCTTCACTGCAGAGTATACTGTAGGTTTTGCTGCAGGCTTCGAGAACATCTGATTCCACATGCTTTTCCACAACAAACTTAATCTGTTTCAGTAAGGCATCCAGATGCTGTAGACCAGAAAAGAAGTTCAGCTTTCACCTTACCAGAACAATGAAACTCATAGAAAAAAAACACTCAAAGAATACACCAAATCAAGGTTAGAGTACTCATATGCCAAACGAAAGCACAGTACTGTGTGACTAGAATAGTGATCAGATACTTGAAAGCAACCAGACTTCTTGCCCAACGTACTATACCTTTTCCATTCTGCCCGTGCTATAGATTTCCAGATCAAAATACTGAGGGATTTGCAGGAGATTTGCAACCTTCTCGGCATCAGCGGAATACTAGAACATCATTGAAACAAAACAAAAACATAGTTAAGTAAAAATAAAAACCTACACTACAGAAAGAAAAAGTTTAAAGACAGTTGTAAATACCAGCAGGAGATTTATTTTGTTGAAAAACGTACCTTTGATAGCAACATAGGAAGTGCAATAATGAAATGCTCAGTCAATTTATTTCTGTCATCTATTTGAGTTTTTCTTTCTTTTGCTGTCAAGACCTGCATGTGATCAAAAATAACTAAAGTAAATACAATTTATGTGTACAGTATTTGTTAATTTTTCTAAAGTTTGTATTGCAAAGAAAAACCCATGCAAGTGTACTTTTAATAAATCAAAAGAGGAGGGAATAAAAGACTCAAACACATTTGGACTGAAGAGTGACTAAATGGGAGGACCATGTGTCCTCAGAAGCCATGATTGAAAAGGAAAATATCATATCATCCAGCATGATATTGTCTTGACACATCAACATTTTTTTAGGATTGAAATTCAAATATAACCCAAGTCAGTGGAAGTTTTGCTATTGCTTCCAAGTGAATTGAGCTCTGGCTTTCACACATTAAACAAAGTGTTAATGTAAGACCTCAGGGCGGAACTGAAGTATAATTAAGAAAACCAAAACCAAACCACACTGTAACAGTGATTTTCATTAGCAGATTCACGGCCTTGTCTCTAAACTGGTACGTAATTCTCAGCGAGAACATACATCCAAATTCACAGAACTCATTTACAAATTTCAGTGACAGATACACTGAAGCTACTAATGCTGTCATAGCAAAACCACCTTGAAACAGTGAACAGAGAGACAATAATCAAAACAGCATGCTTCATAAAAGCTTAGATCTGGCTTCTTGGCTTCAGAAAAGGAGAGAATACTTTTGAAAACAAATAATGATAATAAAATACTCCACTTAGCTAGTGATTTATGTATCGCAAAGCTGCCAGACTGCACAATAGGGGTTACAAGCTAAAGTCAGAGAAGAAACTATTTCACAAGAAGCTGAGTGTATCATTAGAAATCTGCTCCCATTTCAACTCAGAGAATATGCTAGTGAGATCATGAGAACGTGACAAACCTCTACTGACAAGTCAGAGATCCCTGCAGTTACCATCCCACAACTCATGATCTAACTGAAAAGAAGCAAAAGCTAAATGTCATACCTACACCTCTCTGTAAGTGAGGAGGAACAGCTAGAAACAAAACATGTGCTTGGATGACAGGTTAACTATTGTGTCAGCAGGAATGCGGAACAACCACGGAAGCGAAGGGGAACAGATTTGTAACCAGGGTGAGAAACCACTTCCACAGTACCTGGCAGGCAGCTCCCCGTACCAACGCGCGCTGCCAGCTCATCGGAGGCAACACAAATGCAGCTGGCGAGGCCGGCTGCCACCCCCCAACCACCCCATCACATCCTGGTGACCAAATATTGCTATTCAGTGGTGCTGTGAATTAATCTGGCTCCCTGGGATGATCTCGAGGCTCTTTTGATCACCCTTCAGAAGGTGAAATTCATTTCACTGAAGTGTTTTCTTTAGCTTTGAAGAAATACAGACATTGAAAATCTAAGAATAATCAATTTGAGGATCTTAAGTGAGCTGCACACCGCTTGAGACAGAAAAAATACCCAGAAAGCTATCAGTTACATTACTTGGTGCTCCAAACAGAAAATACAAACATGAAAATTTTTGTTAAATTTAAAGGTTGCTTTGTCTGCTAAAATGGTTTGCAGCTAGACAAAACACAGTTAAGTTGTGCTTACAATACAGTTTTGGTAACACAGGACAATACATGCTTGTGCAAATCTGAGTAAGTGCGTTCACAGATTCCACCCTCACCCTGAAATGTTCTAATAAATTACGAATTTCTTAGAATATGCTGTCTAAATTCAGGTACAAAAAGCATGTTTAAATTGATGTTTTCTTGGAGCTTTTCCTGAGATGATGTTTCTGGACGTGAGACTAATCTGCTTTTGGCACATAAAAATTAAGAAGCTAAGTAACTGCATTTAGTTTAGCAATAAAGAATGCTAAGCTAACTCCAGATTTCACCTTCATTAAGTCTGTGGCTTTCTTTAATAAACTACTTATGATTATTCAGAACAGAAGGTAACAGAAGTACCAAATGTTCACATGGGTTTATTTCATTTTAGCCTAACCCTAATAAGAGGGGGACCACAAAAAATCAGGGCAATACGTCTGGGAAGCTGAGATTCTTAGAACACAGATGCTGTATTATGGAGAATACAGCTGTGAGCCTGTTGATCACCCTGACCTTGTGACTTACACTGAGATGCTTAAAAGTGCACGCCCAGCCTTAGGAATGGACTTCCACTGATCCCCAAACAGTCACTATAAAATAAATGAAAGAGGCAGCTAGATTGCAATATGGCCAGAATGTCAAATTCTTAAATTTTTAGGGCACTCGGTGGAAGAGGCCAAAGAGGATGCATCCATAAAACCACAGGTACATTCAGGTTGGCCCCAGTCCCACCTCTCCTGCTGAAAGCTGAACCAGCTCAGGGGTCAGACTGGGGTGCTCAGGGCTTTGTCTAGTCAGGTCTTGAAAACTGCCAAGGATTCAAACTCTCACGAGGAAGATACTGTTGGCTTTTTCTGCAAATATTACATCCATATTAGCAGCATGTTCCTTTTTATGGAAAACAGTTAGAGGTAATCTTGTTCTGCTCCTGAGGTCTACACTTTCAATTCTAATCTAGATTTAACATTAAGGGCTGTAGGTGTGGGTACGTTACAAGTGTAAGCCAGGGGTATGACAAAAAGAACATCTAAAAAACTCATAAAAAAGCATTTTCATGATGTAAATTTACATTACTTAACTTGGCAATGCAAAACCCAAAACCAAACAAACAAAACCCAAACCTGTCCAGAATTAGAATTTCAACTATTTTTCTTCAAAAATACTAACGTGAAACAGGAAACACCAATTACAAAAAACTAATTTAAAAGTGTCAAAATGTGTCACTGTAGGCAAATATTTTACGTTCCTATAGTAACACACACAGGACTGAGCTACCCACTGCAGTACCACTTACTCTCTTGCCAGTGCCTCTGCCTACTGGAGGGTGTGCTTCAGCAGCTTGTCGGATTGTACACACCATCAACTCAATAAGAGCACTCTCCTGCCGGTCAGACATCGCTATGGAGGGAAAAAAACGAGTAACATCAGTTCTGATTTGTGTGCAAGACATCCTGAAGAAGACAAATCTGTGAGTGCAGCTGTAAAACACAGGGACTAGAGAACAACAGAGACAATGTAATTTTGTCCCATTTATAAACACAAGGCTTTCTTGCTTGCTCTTTGAATTGCCATTCACATAATCTCAAAATGAATATGGCAGAACTGAAAGAAGTCCAGAGAAATGTAGTGTGGAAAAAGGATGAATGAAGGGGAATATAATGAAGATGTACAAAATAAAGAGTGTCGTGGAGGACAGAGAGTGACTGAATGATGACTGTCTTCCTGATAAAATATTCTCACCATCATGAAGTATTATTTCTGTTCTTTGGGAAGTACTTCTGGTCACATCTAGAGGATCAAAGCCCACTAGGCTATGCAGAAACAAAGAACCAAAGTGCCTAATTTCCTAAGGAAATTACCATATAAATACCACAGCTGTAGCAGGTGGATACCAAATGGTCAGATTTTGAAACACTGAGATCATGAGCACATCATGCCAGGAAGCAGTAAGAGTACATGTGTTTTTCAACCACCCCACGAAGGTCCCTGAAGCAGAAGAATCCTAAAAGATTATAAAGGATCTTGACTGATGCTCATTACCACTGGGGACTCCCTTGCCACCAACCCCCCTGGCCACCTTGTGCACACAGATCTATTATTAGGAAAAGGAGATTCAAAACTAATGGTGAAAGAATCTTCTTATTTTTTTTTCCTCTTGAGAATTCATTAGGGTTTAACATTGTCTGGAAAAGTCCCATATTTACTTAACAGCATCTGAAGTGCTTGTTTATTCAAAATTGTATTAGCTATTTGATTTATTGAAATGTTCATTATATACTAGTTATTTAAACACTCAGACAAGACAACAACCTAGCCTTTAATATTAGGGAACTTTAGTACAGCAGACTTCACAGGATGAAAAATAGAGTATAAAAATGCTTCTTACAAAGCAAAGCACATTAAAAATGGATTAAACTAAAATCCTCTTCAAATACGCTTTCTAAACAAACTACAACATAAATACTTCTACCACCCACAGCGAAACATCTTTTTAAAGAATAATTAGCAATATTATGCAATAGAGGTTAAACAAATACCTTCTTCTCCTTGGACTGGTTCCTCCAAGAGTAATTCTGTCATACATTCCCAGTCTTTCAACAGTTCTTGAGAGCTCTCCCACAAACTGTCCACCAAATAGGCTGCGTGTTCGTGCAACTAGAAAATCCAAAGCAACCATCAGTCCAATGTTCTAGTACGAGCAGCAGTTCTTCAACTTTCACAATCATTTGGCCACAGAAAGTGCCTTGGGCATGCACTCTTACATTAGTTGGAAAGAAAATTCAGTTTCAAACTACCTCTGGAAGGTCTTCTGCCAACTGAATGATACTGACAGCACATGAATGACAGCACAACAACAAGGATACGTTTTAATAGAAAGCGGAGTAAACCCAATTTGAGATTCTTTTCCATAAAGGAGTTTGTTTGTGAAAAATCTTTCTCAGGGTTTTGACCTAGTAGCTATAAAATTACCTTTCTTCACCTTCTTACTGCATTATAAAAAGAAGAGATGGTGAGACATGAGACTAAGAGAGAGTTGTAATATATTTGTTTTGAACAAGCAATTATCTTTCATACATGCTGCTACATGCCCAGAAATCAATAGCAGAAATCCTACTGATTTCAGGAGGTACAGAATTAACACTAACTTTAATTCACATAAAAACGTTTTTTGCAGTTAACAGAACTGTTGTAAAGTGAGAAAAATAATCCATAGGCTTCTACTGTTTCATAAACTGATCTTTAACCGCTATCAAAAAGCAACAAGCACACTATGCAGTTCTGATTTGCTTGCCAGATATGTGACTGATTCCTTAACTGTAAAACACCTGAGAGTGTAGGGAAGGAGGTGTCAGTACATTTACCTACTCTTCTGTTTCTGACAGCTCTGGGCAAAATGTCATGTGTCACAGAGCTTACTGATGCTCATCACAGGTTCACCTGTTCCCTCCTCTGAACGCACCCTCTCAGATGGCAGTGCTTACACCTTCTAGTCCTACTGCAGATAGGAACTCCCAATTCTCTAACTCAATTAAAAATGAAGTCATAATATTCTACTCAGTTTCTAACAACTCTCTCAAAAACAGAAATAGCAAAAACTGGCCCAGAGAGAGAAGCAATCTCAGTGAGCAGCATATGGCTTGCATGGGAAGGCACTTTGCTGATCACAGCTTTGGGAGCAAAGCCGAGTACCTCTTCTCCTCAGGACAGACAAGCTTAACGCTGGGTAACTCTCAATCACACACACTCAGATTTAAGGTATTTGCACCAGAAAATACAGTGATCTATTACAGTCTAAGTTTTTAAGAAGCTGGAACTAAAAATACATTCAGATAGAAGACTGAAGGCTCACACAAGTAGTGGCATTTCATCCAGACTTAATTTGTAGGTTTATAAGATGTTTCTAAAAAATGTTAACATTAACACTGTACTTAAGTGTTATTATCCCTACTTCTCAGCATCTCTGTGTTTCTTTTCATTCTCACGGTCAAGTCTCTTGTTCAAGGCTTTGTAACAATTAAAATACTCGACTGCAATACCTTATCTTTTGCTTTTTACACAAAATATATTACCCTCCCTTCTGTAGAGAAACATTACTGTCACTCCTTTCTTTCAGTCTTCCTTTGCCACATATTTATTGCCAAATCAAATGTATAATTTTCAAACCTTTCCCCCTCTACCTTCAGAGCATCCTGTACCTGACAGTTTACCCTCTGAGGTTCTCCTCCACTCCACTGCCATTCCCCACCTGAATTACTATGTCTACCATAAAACTTCCCATATATGCTCTCTCTATAGACATAAACTATGACACAAGCCCATCCTGAACATGTCCATCAAACACTTAATGTCATCGTACGTAGGCTTGCAGTCTCCATCTCTGATGTTTTCAAGATGCAATTGCATAAAGCCCTCATCAACCTCACCTAATTTCACAGCTGACCCTGCTTTGAGCTCATGCCCCTCAGGTCCTTTCTGCTCTGAATTATTCAATGATTCTAGTAATAATTTGAGATATTATGTAATTTTTGTTCCCTTCTGGTTCAAATGATTTTACTCCATGAAGAGTAGCCTTCAGAGGTATACTCCTTACATGGTTATCTTAAAAAAACCCCAGTTACATTTCTACATAGCAATGAATTCTGGTAGCCACCATACTACCAGCAATGCAGTACTGAATAGAGTGGGGACATGCAAGAGCAAAATAAACCATGAAGAAGATTTTGAGTTGAGTTGGGTTGATAGACAAGGAAATCAGAGGCAGCATAAAGGGCATACAGTATTTCTGAAATGATGAAAAAAAAAAAAGGAAAAAAAAGACAATTTAATACTGTACGTTGATAAATCACTACTTAAGTTTCCGGTTTTATTAAACATGTAAAGGTTGAAAATTATTTTTTTACCTCACTTTCAAGAAAGAAAAGAACCAACATTCTAATAAGGTTTCCATTTGGACTATTTCGCCCCCTCCTCTTTGCTAGAGCCTCTTCAGCTTGGGGATCATGTCTGCTGAACAGTCTAAAAATAAGCAAAAGGAGCTATCATGTTTATCAAAACAAATCTCATTTCCGCAATAATATGACAAGAACTCATTCCTGATATAGTAGGTTTGTTCATATAACACAGTGAAAGTATCTCAAGCTATTTCTTTCAAGAGAAACAGGACATGGCCTCTGCCTGTCTGAAGAGATGAATTTATCTTCAGTCTTCAAGTTCACATGGCTGGAAGAATTTCACACAGGAAAAAGCTCTCCAAAACATATTTATGTTGAATGATTTTGCACAGTTTTATATATTTGCATAATTTGTGTAGTTTTGCATTTTTAACTTATCAAGTCTTACAATGGCGGTACCACTTATACCACTAGTGCCTTAAGAGCTAAGGTTGTATCTTCGCTGTTGTCACACTGGCTGGGATATGGTATAAACAAACTTGACATCCCATTAAACAACCAACATCAGGTACCAGTAGCAGCATAAAGGATCAAGCAAGCTACCAGTCAATTATTTGTTTTTTTTTTTCAGGTAAACTATACATTCTGCATTGAGTTCCCTGATGCATGGCTAATTCAAAACTACTCTCAATGCTCAAATTTGCTATCTTAAAGAGATCTCAGATGTGCCTACATGACAGTTACAGCAATGATTGCTTTACTTCGAGAAGGTTGAAAACTGTTCCTTGCTTTGACAGTGAAACCACAGTCACAAAGTGAATTAGGAATGTGAAACACAGTATTCTGATTTCGCTGCTGTAATTCACTGGACAGAGAAGGATGAGTTACACACAAATGTATTTTAAATACATCACCTTTCCCCTCCTGCCTATCTTAATAGGTAAGAAATGAGCACCTCTACAGGTGCAGAAATATCTTAAAACATCCACCTCAGGGCTGAGTCAGTGATCCTCCCTATTATTTGCTTTCCTTTGCTAACTACAGAGAGAAAGCCTAATGACTACCTTACACACAGAAAGTGCTACTTAAATGTATAAAATTAGGCACGATAAATCCCACCTCAAATGCCTCAAGCAGATTACAAATTATTTCAAATGGAGCACCAGCTTTTATGTGTTAGTAGATAATGAGAGAAAATGAGTGTTAGAAATGGGACAAACTTCTCTCAATGCTGTTTACCTTGAAAGACATTTATAGAATGCAGCATAGTATCTCATTGTAAAGAAAAATTAGGATAAAGTTTTGTCTTTATACTAAGTGCATTAAGGTGCAGATATGTCTTCATTTACCTTCAAGGCATTTTTCAAAATTATTTTGTCACATGCTGATTAACAAAGGAGTTTTGGTGTATATTTTTAAAAACCTAACCCTTTCTTACAACTTGTAAAATGTCATGCAGGAAACTAAATGTAACTGAATTTTGTAAATTAATTCCTTGAAACAGATAATGCCTGATCACAAAGATGAAATTACAGAAATCCACTCATGAAAGCTTACAGTTACAATGTGGACTTCTAAATCACTAATAAAACACAGAAAATTAGAACTCTGGCAAATAAAAATTGATGCTTTTATATAATTTTTTCTATCATGTATCTTGGCATGAACAACTAGCTAACCTGGATTCTCATATAAATACTCTATAAATGTGTTAAAGAACTCTAATGTCACAACCCATGAGGGGGTAAAATAAAATTACTGCTAAAAGACTTCTAACTGTAAACACTAAATGAAAAGGTTAACTTCTGTGGTGTGGCAATGTCCTGGTCATAGTTACTGATGCAGTATGATTCACATGCATGGAAAAGCTAGCTCACTTCCTTTGGTATTGTGGGTACAGGAAAAATGTAACCATGCTGTCATGTATTTTTAGGGGAAGTGACTGAGTTTAGAAACAAATTACTACATAAAATCTCTCAAGTTCACAATTTTGAAATAAATCAGTATAAAACTTTGTAAAAATGATGACTGCCTATCAGGTAGTCGATCAGGAATGTACAGGCCCTATACATATTATCACAAGAGTAATTCAGAAAGAGCTGCAGGACTTAAAAAAACTTCAGAGGTTTATGCAGCTTTTGTATATTTAGCCCTTGAGGAGTGAGGAAAAGTTATCCAAATTCTAGAGCAAGAAAAATGTAAATTCAGTTTCTTCAAGTCTTTAGGTCTTGAATTTAAACAAAAGAATCAGCTCCTGTTTTAAATTAAATACCTGATTTGCTAAATTGGGATATTTCACTTTATTGCTTCTTTGTCTTTTGATCGTACTTCTACTAGGAAGCATTCACAAATCTGGCCTTATCCCAGGGCAACTGATAACTTACTTTTTGTGAAGGAATTCTCCAGCTGCTACTGCAACAGGTCGGTGTGCTGAATACACCAAGTGATAAACATTCTCACAGTCTTCATTTGACAGAGCTTCTTCACTTCCACTGAAAGAGTCAGAAAGTAACACCTGAACTAAAACCGATGTTTAATTTTGATCCTCTTGCCTCTCCTGACTTAGTTTTGACAGCTACAAGACTGATTTCCTTCATACAAAATCCTAAATGGTTGAACACTGAATTCAAGGATCTTTAGTTCAATGTCCAAGTACAGAAATATTTAAAAGGGCCAGTAAATCTGAAAGTCTGTCTGATTTCCTTCTTCTAGTTGTATCAATATATGTATGTATATAAAAAATAATATTATGAAAAAAATGTCTTCATTGCTTACAAATCTCACCCTGCTTAAATGATGAGACCATCATCCTAACTACAAACACTCACTATCAAACATTATTAAATTAAAAACCTAGAATGTTCAACAAGGAAAATGTAATCGCTTGCTTAAACTTATTTACTTCTGTAGCAATGTCTGTTTGCTTTCAAAGCTTTTAATTTTTAAAGTGTTCAGGTCCAGGACTGGGAAAACCTGCTTCAGCCTCCTGGTGCCTTCCATTCTCAGGAGTGAAGTCTTTCCACATGGCAGCCCACGTGCTCTTGTGTGCTGTGGGGCAGGAGCTGCCTTTTTGCTGGCCTGGGAAGTAGGAAGGAATATTCCCAATTCCAGCAGCTGAAAGGGCCAGGCCAGGTGGATAAAACTGCCTCAGCAATGGGAGAAAGCCCAGAAATGCTCTGGATAGGGGCAGCAGAAAGCTAAACCAGATTATGCCACAAAGTGGGGACACAGAACTGGCACTGTGCATCCACCGATCAAGTGAACACAGAACCACTTCATGATTGAATCTTGGTGTGCATTTAGAATTACTCTAATGCTGATACAATAAATTGTCCGTCACTTTTACTGTAGTTATTGTGCTGACTAGATTTAGACCACACCAAGGAACTGAATCTGAACATACCCTGCTGTGCTGGATGAAAGATGATGAAAAGTTTATTTTCTATAACTATTTATTGATAAGAACAAGCCACCTTTTACCCTGGTCTTGGGTAAATGACATAATTGAGGCTTCTGTAGTTTCTGAGCTCAGGGTAGATTTTGTGTGTGAGTTTTCTGAAACTCATAAAAACTTAAATTTTTCAGCAGTATTACTGAAAAATGCTATGAGCCATGGAACAATTACATTCTGTCAATGATATCAAAGTATCACCACTGTCACATACAGGAATATTACCTCCCTCCTTGTTTAGTCAAAATTCATCAGAAACATTTATATATCAGCACTCTATACATCATTTGGCTTGATACTACTAATAATTTTTAATTGCTCATTCCCCATCATGGTTGTTCTCATTTTTTTGGAGTTCCTACCTGCCAGAATATTGCCATGTGCTGTTCAGTGTGACCTATGTTCTTCTGGTGCTAAATACATCTAACTATGTTTTCATCACGCAACCAAAGAGAAAACAGGGCAGGAAAAAAAAAAGGTACACTGGGTAATTTTTGACCTAAAATCTTATTGTGTTGCCAAATGTTGCTAATAATGTAGGGAATAGATGTGTTCTACGTCTCATTTGCGATCATATTTGTTCAATTTGCTTTAAAAATATAACAGCACATAAAAGATTTCCTTTCTTCCTAATATTGCAAGTCTAGTATCTGTAAAGCAGTGACCCACAAATAAAAAAAAAAAATTAAGTCCAGACTTCTTTACTAGGAGGAAAAGCTGGTCTAATTTTTCATCCAAATACTGCATGTCCAAAACTATCTTCAAAGTGGAGCCACCGGGTGTAAAATACAATGAAGAAGTTCTATGTGGCTGTTTGTACAACAGATTTTTTTTTACCATAGGTTTTAATGAATATATAATAAAAGCTTAGCAGTGCTTCTCCAGCAGCACGCCCGTGAGGCTGCAGTGGGCAGGCTGGTTCCAACAGCCAGCGTGTGGGATGGTCTTTGGACTGGATCATTGCCCCAGGGAAGCCACAGCATCCCTAAGAAGAAGTTGGGGGCCTGGATGCATGTCTCCTCCTGCATGGCCAAGTGTTTAAAATTGCAAGCTACTACTGCCACTTCCACAGACCCCCAACAAGGGGGCCGAAGCTACCATCTTCTCCCTGTCAGCTTATTTACCAGATGACTCTTCTCAGCTGTGTCAGGTAATCAAATCTCCTAACACCGGATCTTTGCTCAGTCACTGCTAGAGTTATTTTAGCAAATGCAGGCCTTGTTTTAGGGAGGACAATCATTTTGCCTTTGGCAAGAGCTATAAATGCCCTTTGGCATTCTTCCACAACAATGGATACACTAATAGTCTAAATACATCAATACATTTTTATACTTTGCCTATCGTACTTCCATGAGATGCAGTATCTTATTTTAGCTTCATAACCATATTACTACATATTCAATTCAATTTCATATTAAGTGCAAAGTTACAGATTCACTTCATTACACAAGCAAAGAAATCAAGTCAATTAAACATTACTGGCTTAGGTAACTTCCAAAGGGAATATACTAGTTTTGAAAAATACTCACTGAAGTATTAGCGTGACTAATCGAATGGCTTCCACAGCAACATCATATTCCTTATCAAGTGTCATTGATACAATGCGATCCTGAAAAGGAATTTTATTACAGTGACAAAAAAGAAACAGACAAACAGCTATGAGATGAAGAACTCTACAGATTACAAACTAAATACTCTCGGGGAGAAAGACTGTTCAATTAGACACATGACAGCCCTTCAATATTATTCAACTATTTAATGTACATCTCAGGAAGCCTGTATGTGCTATGTGTGCGAAGGAACAATAGGAGGGTACACAGGCATGAGAACAAGTGTTTAACAATAGAGTCCTCATCCTTGGGTGTTTTCCAGAAAACAAGAAAGCAGACTTTGGAGTCGAAGCACTGTTCTGGACTGGTCTTATTTAACAGTTCTTTCCTGAAAAGGAATCTACTTGGGTTGGATGACAGCAGAAAAATTGCCCTGCTTCATCCCCCTGAAAAAAAATAAATTTAGAGCAATGAATGCTGCATATATGCATATTTGGAAATACTGTGAGGAAAATCACACTTGAACATATGCATCTGCATATTGCCTATAAAGTCGTGGCCTTTATACCTGGCTACATCTTAAGGTTTGAAGCTGATATTAAGAATTACACCACAGACCTTCCACAAGAAAGGAGGAAATTCTGTGGTGTTTTCCTATATTCTTTCATGTGGAGACAAGCACACCACTTCCCAATCTCATGTCATGATTTTGTAACTTCTAAGGACTCTGTAGTTATGAGAAGTCTCCTAAGGGTTTCTTTCTCCTTAGTTTCAGTTTACTTACTGGCAATCAAAAATAGATGCGATTAGTGTATGTTGTCCTCCCTATCTGGGGAGAACTTCTATCCATCCATAAAAAAGCAGTATGTCTTGATGTTCTTTGCTCGACTGATCAAGTTAATGAAAAGAAATTGGGTCATCTGAAAAAAAAACTTGAATTCTCTGGCTTGACCTGCTTCAGGAAGGACTAGGTACTACATGACATTTTGGGATGTGAAAATATAGAAGTCGGGGACTGGAAAAGAAATAAGGGGAGTGTTAGGAAACAACAGTGAAAGTCACCAAGAACAAATCAGGACAAAATAAAGGTGTTCACCTCTTTCCTCTGCTATTCCAGGCATATAAAGGCTGAAGGTGAATATCAAGCAACTGAAGCTTATTTCAATATTGAAATTCAGGAATAGTATGCAAAGAATGCATCGTGGCTGTCTCAAGTGTTATCTCTCAACAAAACCAGGTATGTAGAGATACTTTAGGCCACTGTGACTGAAGGCACCTCTATCAAATCACCATTAAGTTCCTGGGAAATCTGATGCATTTAACTGTTTTATCTAGACAGTTTTAGAGACTGTGAGAAGTTCATGAAGAGACCCAAACAGTGAAATAATTTTCCAAAGAGGAAATTCTGTGTATGGACAAGACAAAAAAAATTGCTGTCAATTTTTCCTGAGGTCCTGGCCAAGGAACAATAACTAATAACACCACCACCAAGAGAAAGAACAGCCAGAGATATTAATCTTAAAAGTTTCAGTGGAATTTCATGCACTCCCTCAAAGTGTGTCTTGAACCCCAAGACACCACAGGGACCATACATGAAGGAGTGAGCACACAAATATAAAACTCCTTCTACAACTCTGAAAAAAGCCTGGAAGGGAAGGGACCTTCTCTCCTGCCTTCAGAGCAAGAGTTACTCTCTGAATTTGGAGTCCTTTTGGACTTTGAAACCAAATGATGCAACAACGCTTTCCTATCCAAAAAGACTTCTCTCATTTTTTTCCCAGAAACATCAGGCTTAACATAAACAGTGTGGATGCATCATTTCTTATTTTCTGCCTTGGTGCCAGCATCTCTGTGTGATGGCATCTGCCAGCCAGGCACCAAGAGCCTTGAAAATGAGATCAGAACACCTAATGTGCCTCTAGAAGGTGTACCTTTTGTGGTTTAGCAAGGGACAAACCCCAGCTGCTCAACCTGCTTTGACAGAAATTTTCTGTACCACTGTACAGCAGTAGAATAGGGAGGACACAGGCCTGTATTTATAACTTGAAATATTAATTTGCACTGTCTATGAAAATCAGTTTGTAATCGTGTATTAGGCTGTGAACAAGGCTGGCTAAAGAGCAAACCTATCTCCTTTTGCCTCTCAGGCCATGGAGAGTGCACTCTCCTGCAAAGGGTAAGGGATAAGGGACAGGAATTAAATGGCTGCATCTACATCTGCCAGTGTCTTGACTTCGGCACTTGCTGCAAAAAAGCTAATTCACCCCTCTTCCATGTGGCTTCAGCTAACGTTTGTATGAGACAGGACTCCTTGGTGGAAAACAAAAGCCTCCTCTTTGATGGATAAATTTTTTTTTGATGGACAAAGCTTATTTTCTAGCATATCACGCTACTCCTAGAAACACAAACGCTGGAAAGAACACAGATCCTTCCTTTGGAGAAGTGACATTATCAGATCCTTGTCACAGCTATCTGGAAGGTGGTGAAATATTAACATCACCATACAAGTCATTCTGGATCGAAGTAATTTATAGTTTAAACAGCTAGAAGATCTCTAGAGAGAGTTCTCTTGACAGTTTGAATGGATTGAGCTGAATACCAGCTGAACTGTGCAGGTCGATTAAAGTCTGATGAGGAAATACAAATAAGCAGCCATGGAACTGAGAATGGCATTTAGGTCAATTATTTTACAGGGGGTGGTGGCAGAGTTTGTGGTGGCAGGACATTTAAGTAATGTATCACAGGTTGAAAAAGCATTAATTTGAAACTTTGTTCCATCCTGGTGCCAAAGGCCGCATCCCTGTCAGCACAGCTGTAAATCCAAGCACAGGCATTTGGGCAATGCCAGCTTTTTGTTCTCTTGATGTGGCTGGAAACTGAAACTGATAAATCATCATGTTAAACAGATTTGTTCTCTAGGCTCACAGAGACTTTGAACTCACCTTTTCTCTAATTTATTTCATTATACAGATTTCTGTAGTAAAAACAGCTTTAATGGAACAGAAGACAGACGAGGATTCCTAACAGGGTTCCCTTTCACCTGAATCCTTCTGAACCTAAACCAAGAAGCAATGCACAGGGTAACCTAGCTGCTTCTAACAATGAAAATTGTCTATACTGTGGAAAAGCCAGGAGGAATTATTTAGAGGTTTCATGTTCCTGTAGTTTTTTGAAGTGCATTACTGAGTAACTACTGGTCAAAGTGCCTCCAGTCGTCTTGAAAAGTTTTGCTGGTTGATGGGACAGGTTCAGACTCCAAGCAGCATTTTCTCTTATAAATTATAGAAGGCTAGGAGAGAAGCATCCAGCAAATTTTCTACTAAAGAGAAGCAGATACAGAGACCATGAGAGTTATTTTGAAATAAATTGAATTGAAATAAATTGAATTACAGAAGGAGCAAATATAAACAAATCTCTAAATCTGCACATGGGGAAGAAGAGAAGCAGCAGAGTTGGAGGGCTCATTTTTCCAAAGAGTTAACTAGTATTTCTCGCTGTCCAGAGATGATAACCAAACCAGACTTATGGAGGCACTACAGAAGTAGTCTGAGGTCTGAACCTGTTTGCCAGGTACTCTTCTAGACAGGAAACTTTGTCTTTACTGATATAGTTCCAGAAACTGACTTTACAAAATTAGAAGAATACAGGCCCTCAAGAGATCTCACAAAATGATCTAGTTTCATCTCCTATGTTAAAGTCAACTATATCTAGTTCATTCCTGGCAAATATTTATTTAATCTACCCCTAAAAGTCTCAACTGAATGAGGTTATTAATAAAGAGTCTGTTCTATTATATAACTACCACTTTGGACAAAAAGCCTTCCTTAACATCTACGCTTTACTGCAGTTTAACCATCTTTTTTCTCCATTTCAAGTGAATGTGGTAAAAGGCTGATTACCATTATGTTTTTATGAATCATTTCATAAACGGAAGATATGACAAGTTTTCTATATTTTGTGCTTTCCTAGATCAAACTGGAGGAGTTAATAGTAACCTCAATGGCAGACAAAACCAGTGAGACAGTATAAAATCTACAGTGGGAAGTTTAAGTCTCATGCACAGTAGTTATTGACAAGTATTTAAAATCTCCACTTCTTTTCTAAACAGAATTTTGCATCAACATTATAATAATGATTTACACTAAAATAAATGAAATCAGTCTATCCTCGGGGTGCAGCCACTACCATAGTTCTGTGTTCTCCAGAACACAAAAGCAATGGTAGAAGGTGCCAACCATCGTGGTGACAGTGCCTGAGAGGTTTCTTTGCAGAGCATCCAAACAGAAGCAATGACAGTATTGCTACACTCATCTCTTCCCGACACTTCACTTGTGAAATTATGCAGTCATGCCACAAAATGAATTAACGGCCAAGTTCTCATCAAGATATTAAATAAAAACTCAGTGTGTTTGTGCTGGTAAAAAAACCCCATGGAATATTCCTCCAGTACTTATCTCCTAAACAGGACAGTCATGCGCAAGGGTCTGTCAAAAAGTACAATGTATAACCCTGTTCTGCAGCAAGGCATTTCACTGTGTAGAATATTGTGATGCAGATTAAAGAATCTCTTCCTCCAAACACAAGCATATAACTCAGCTAAAAAGCTGTCTTATGAACAATCTCTTGGTACAGGCTGTTACTTCCAAGTGTATTGTAGATTGTATGAAACACCCAGCACACATCCTTAAAATTCAATAAATCTAAAATTATATTTGTACAAATAGATTGAATAATGACAATATATAAACTATAAATAATACAAACAGATAAATAATCATCCTGGTCAAGCCTGACAAAAACTTACAAGATAAACACTGTAAAATGAATTTGGCTTAATGTCAGCATTCAGTAATACAGTTTTACTACTGCAGTTACAAGCCCTGTCACAAACAAATGAGTTTATTTTCGCATTTAATATACATGACTCAAAGACCGCAACAGGATGAGACAGATGATACTTTTATTTTCTGTACTCCTTCCAAAAATTTTATTTCCTCTTACCTTGAATCTATTAGTGAACAGCTCCAGTTTTGGAAATAACTCTCTGTTGGTATACAGACTCTGAAGAGCTTTCAAACACTTCAACCTCACTTCACCTTGCTAAATAAAACACACTAAGATTAGCTGATAGAATACCCTAATCAAATGCACATGAATATTAAATAATATCATATTGTAATTTGTTTAATGTACATTTAAAATTTTATGCAAATGAGTTACCAAAGCCAATTTGCAATTCAGCTAAAAATCAAAAACCACATGCAGCTGCCTACAAACAATGTTAAATTTTCTCCCTATTTGCATATATAAAGAATTTAATGTGCCATCACTTATATGTCTGTTACCGTTTCCCTTTCAAGTAACTCCACAAAAAGATAAAGAATGTAGCAACTAAATACAAAATAAAGGCATACGACCTCTAGGTGGTTGGTGAGGGCGGCGTGGCTATTTGTCTTTAGGAAATGAAACTACAGGTAACTTCTGCCTGACATCTGGTGTTTACAATCAGTGCCCAAGTGTTCAGAATGACTGAGCATGGGCTGCATGTAGCCCACTCGAGCAACACAGCCACCTCCGACCGTTGTCTTTCCTTTTCCCAGGGACAGAAGGAGCACACGCTGCATTTATCATTCTGCAGTTGTCTACATCTCATCTCTCAGCATAGCACAGACACAAGTTGAAGGATGCAAAAGGCCTGAGAGACCCTCCCAGGCTGCTGCCACAAGAACAACGTGCTTAAGCCACAGCCCTCGGAGCCCTCGGGAAGAAGAGCAGCTTGTGTCTGTCCAAGTTGTTCTGGTGGCAGCAGCTCACTCCCAGCTACTCTTTAGGTGGGGAATGCTTTGATCTGGTAAGCTGCAGGCAGGAAATGTGGGCATCACGAGGCAGCACCTATGGACCAAGGTTTGTTGCCTATAGGAACATCAATGATGAAGAGAAAGGCTGGATCCCCTGAGCACACGCACATCATCCGGCCGGCTGCAGATGTGAAACTCAGCTCAACATCGTAGTCTCGGCAAACTACGGATTCTTGTTGAGAAATATTTGTAGACAGAAAGAAGGTTATAAACACAAATCTGTTCAAATATAATCCGTAGAGTTCACTGCAGAGTTAACTTACTTTTATGGAAGTAAGTACACTACCAAGTCTAAAGCCTTTAGAACTAATACAAATTACTGAACTTCATAAATAAAACTCCATTCCCAGACAGCTTAATTTCTGAGCCTATCTACTCTATAATCAAGTCTGTATTTAAAAAACTGCTCAAGCTAAAAACTGAAAGAACATACAGAGACTGACATAAATACAGAAGCTAAAAATCCTTATTTTTAAGTTTCTTTCGTCCTTCCTATCTATTTCAAAAATTGAAATAGAAGATAAAAGAAGGACAGAAGTTGAAAGGAGGATTTTCAGAACAACTTTTCCTTGAAGAACTATTGTTCCTGAGAAATCACCTTTCTATCTGTGAGGAGTCTCTGAGCACTCATGCTCTCTTCTAGGGGTCTTTCTGACTACCATTGCAGAGAAAGTCCATGAGATGAAAGTACATTTAAAGGATCTATCGTAAGATCTTTCAAGGTACAGAAAAGAATTTCTTGAAGAAAAAATGTTATATGGATGTGATCAACTGCTAAAAAAGCAGAGAGAAATGCTGAACGTCATTCTTCTTTTAATGGTACCTGTGTTGCAGTACCAGAAATGGTGTTTCCTCTGCTGTGTGGCATTCAGAAAGGCTGGAGTCATCACTGGTCATTATCAGAGGATGTAAGCCTCTTGCGGCCTTGGCTTATTTAGCCGCAGAGCATCAGGATCAGTTTTGGCATGTGATGAACACTACGGAGCAACAGTGAGGTAGCAGGTTTAGTCACAACTCCACTGAAAACTGTCCTGCTTGTGAGCAGATGGCTTGTTATTCAGTCAGGACTGTAGTCGCAAAATGCAAAACTCTAAATTGGTTAGGTACATAAAAAAAATCACTGCCAACAGCAACAGGACTTGAGACCTGTGTAGATAAAGGTGTGGATGCCCCATGGAGTCCAAAGCCTTCGCGGACTTCACCAAACGCAGGGGATCAATGGCCCCAGAGTTAAGTTCAGGCCTGATACTGACGGTCTCTATAAACCTTAAGTGAGCACATCACGCAAGGTAGATAGGAAGTGCCCCTGTGAACTTCTGGTACTTGCATGGCCTGCCAGGAGACTGAAGGCAGATGCTAACAAGAAAGAGCGTACCGAACCAGGCCGCTGCCCTCCTGCCGCTCACCAGCCCTGGGGCAGAAGAGAAGTGACTGCAGGAGCAGATGAGGAAGAGAGAAAGGTTGTGTTACACTGGGTCCCTCGAGCTGGAGCAAAGGCCCGGGAGGTACGGAGGCAACCCCTGGACACAACTGCCTTTCTTGGCAGACAAATGATAGGAGGAGGACTTCCTCTGACAGCAAAAAGGTCTGGTTTGTAAACTGTCTGTCAAGGATGGAATTCATCTCTTTGGAGGGGGAAGAGCCCCTGCCACGTCCGTTTGCTAATCCTGTTAAGAAGGTTTTAAAATAGAGTCACTGGAGATTAATGACAGGAACCCCCGGGGAAGCATAAACAGCAGTGACCTGGACAAGAACCTAAGGCAGGCAGAAGTGAAGGTGTACAGAGATGCCCTGCACTGAAATCCAGACCGGAGGAGCAGCAATATGCCACAGACCATCAACATGCCAGACATGAGATGCTTCTTGAGTAAATATGAGCATCATCCAGGTAACACAGGCTTTTAACATCCCAAACACTTTTGGGGGAAAGAAACACAGGAGAAATTTCCTATCTAGCGAGAAAATAAGTGGGTTGGAATGCTGAAGTTAGGGTAATTCCTAAGAAACTTATGCCAGGGTAACAACTGCAAACAGTGATGGAGAGCAAGGACTGGAAGAGACTTACTAAACTAAGAGATAAACTTATTTAACTAATAAAATAATTAGGAGGTCAAGCACAAGATGAATACCAAAACCAGAAGGAAGATGAAATAAAAAAGGTGCGGGCACAGTATGGAATGGACACGAGGTAATAAAGAAGACTTTCTGTAAATATCTCTGTAGCACAACAAAGAAAAGTTAGTTTGCTATGAAGGAAGAGGAAAAAAGCAATTGTCACTTTTCATGTGCACAGTGGGTAGGAAAACAAATAATAAATTAAAATTACAACACAGACTGTTTAGCTTATGCAAGGAAGAACTTTTTAGTAGCAAACATTTGTAAGCACTCAAACTGCTACAGAAAGCTGTGGAATAACTAACACTACTTTTTTTTTTTTTTTTTTTTTTTTTTTTTTTTTTAGAAAATATGACTGTCTGTGAGAATCACTGCAGATATACAGTGAACTCAACCTTAAACAGGAAAGGAATAAGCAAAAATATTTCCCAGACTAGATTTTAGCCAGATTTCCTGCAATTCTGAGCTGAAGTTCATAGTGAGTATGAGCCAACCTAAGGCAGCAAATATTTGCAGCTATGCAATACCTTTAATTCTTTAATTAAAGAAAACGAGCTTCTCTTCCCAGCTGTTTTTGTGTAGTCACATCTATACTTTATAGACAGAAAGAACATATCTGAAAGGAAAGGCTTGCCATTTTCTAAGTAAATAATGGACAAAATATTTGCATTATCAGCATTCTAAAACTAAGACTTTCCATTCTCCTCAGTTTCCTCTTCCAGAGAAATATACTTAATTGGGGTTTTGTCCAATTTATAAGTGTGACACTTGATTATAGCAGAATCCTGAATTCATCCACACAGTCATCAGCATTCTATGCATGCCTCTTTCTCCAGTCTAATTATTCCTGTAATTCCCTTTCTCTCAAAGCATTTTTAGATAATTATTTCTATGTTTTTTATTAATTTTGTTATATAAAATCCTTTTTAATTAATGAGAAATGCTTCACACTAATACTTAATTGTTAATGCCTTACAATTTGAAATTAGAACCTGAAACAAAAACATTAAATGTTTGTCAACAGTGTTTAATGACAAACAGTTCTCACATTTCCTCTATTTTTGTTGAGGTAATCATCCAGACACTTCCGAGTTTTGAGAAAAAAATTGTTACCGCTGCTAATGAAGCAAAAAGCAATACATACACCTTTCATGCCAGCAGTGTGGGGTAGTCTACATTTGCCTGGGAGAGTCATGCTCTACTCAAAATTCTCTTTAATATGGCAGACCTGTGAAAAAGAATCCATCCTGATGGAAGCACACCATTTTCATATTTTTTACATGCTAATCACAGGGCTCGAACCAACAACTTGTAACTCTTGTGTAAGTCCCAGAGTGATCGATAGCCCGGCCTCAAGCCACCTCAGATTGTTATTAATGTTCCATACAGCTGGTACTTGTGAGTGTTAGTTTGCCACCTCTCAGTGAGAACCAGACTTCTCTTATCATTCAGGGATACCACAGCTGCAGAAATGACAATTAAAGGTGCATTGCTATGTGTCAGCTCACACGCCAGACAAAGGCTTAGATCACACAGAAATAATGACTTTTTGAGCCCCCAGAAACACAGTTTTATGTATTTTTTAAATAGGTGAGTGGTCAAGAGACCCAGCAAAGTAATTTTTCTCTTTTCACACTTCATGCTGCTTCTTTTAGATCATTCCAATTCTTTTTTGGTGGCTAAGGGTATTCTGCTCTTTTTTAGAATTTATCAGGTTTTGATAATGGATAATTAATTTGCTCAGCTCTTTGCCCTGCTGTACTTTTGCAGATCACACTGTTTGTTTTTTTTTCTCCTGTGTAGAAGAATGACCTGAATTACTGGGTATCTTCAATCCCACAGTTTATGGGATGAACATGATATATTGTGTTGCATTTTGATGCTCTAGAATAGTGTATCTTGAGGTAATCTGCTGCTTAATGACAGAAATAGTTACACTGCCAGAGAGAAACAGATGAAAATGTCCTGCGGCACGTCAGTACCTATGGCAGGAATATTCCTGGCAGGAGCAAGCAGTTGTGCTCTGTCTGCACATGCCCACTCAATACCATTTATGAAGATACCATGTATCATCTGATGCATTTTAAAATTTTCTTAAACTCTCCCAAAACCAAGGAAATTAGGCTGCAAGGAGATTATATAAAGTTAAACATTCAGAAGTTTGGAAAAACTTTTCTCAAGCTTTCCCAAACCCAAGGAACTTAGGTAGCAGGGAGATTATATAAATATTCAGAAGTTTGGAAAAACTACAATTTCAAGTATGCAATCACCAGACAATAAGTAGAGGGACACAAAGAAGGAAAAAGCATTTGTTTATGTGTTAGGAACTGGTTTAAGAATCATAATTGTCTAGGTATCTAGAGAGAACAACTATGGTTGCAAAACAGTTCCATGCATCAATAAGACAGGCAAAAATTAAGACTGGACACTCTGATTTAACACTTTTTTTTTTTTTTTTAAGAGGGCTTTTTTATGCAATTATATTATAGCTTTATATATTTTTAATTTATGCTCCCAGATCCACAGGAATGAAAAAGAAGCTTAAAAGGAGAGAAAGGCAGAACTAGAAACCCATATTCAAATGAGAAAGTAATCTATAGAAAACAAAAAGCCCTATAGAAATTAATCTGAAATCTGGGAAAGAGACAGGATTAACATACAAAATATACAGATTTCCCAAATTAGAGAACTAGACTTCTGTATCCTACCTCTGAAAGACTACACTGGAGCTACTACAAAGAAGTGTAAGAACTGTGTCTTCCTTGTGGTTTAATTTGTATGTCTTCTGAAGTAGAATATGAAACTGCTCATGAATCTCTTGCACTGCTGCCTCCTCTCATTTTTTTGTAGTGGAAAGCTTCCAGAGAAGTTAATCATTTTGGGGTGACTTCTGTTCATATGAAATGGAAATACCTTATGACTATTGCCCCAGTCTTCATTTTTGCAGTATTTTAAGTAACGATCATAGCAAAAATGATCTCCTAATCAAAGCAAAGCAAAATCAAGAAACTTGGGTACCAGCTGGCAAGTTTTTCACATAGTGCCAATGAAAAACATGCTGTTAAGGGATCTTGTACTTTTGGAGGGGTAGCATTTTTAATTGGTTCTTATTCCATCTTTTTCAATATATTCTCCCCTTTGCGTTTCCTTTCTCCTTTCTGTGCCTCCCCAAATGCCTCTTTCTCTCCATTCTCTCCCTTTTCACCCTTTGACACATGGCTCACCTGCCCCTGACTCTATTCTACTTACAATCTGTCTCACTCTATACATTAAACATACAAAACATCGATAAAAAAATATCACTCATCATGTACACCAGGATATTAGAGAGATTAGCTAGTGATTTAAAGACTTAGAACTCCAAAGCACTTCTGCGGCCTGCAACAAAAAAATATTAGAAAGCAAGCAGAGGCAGGAGAGCAGCGTGACAGAATTCTTTTGTGTCTGGTTCAAATGGAAAACCATTTTTTTTGCCATAACACTGTAATTCAAAATTTGTCTGATATGAAAAAACATATTAATTCTAAAAAAACTGAGGTATATGTTAAGGATGCAGGCAGATGACTAGACCCCGGCCCAAGGTTAAGCTAACTGAAGAGGATGTGAGAAACTACTAGACACAACATGAGAAATTGCTGGATGTGACAGATAAGAGTGTGAGAAGCTGACGCCAGTCACAGGCAGTGCCATGAGGAATGGCTGGATTTCACATGGTTAAAGGGAGTTATGTGGGAAATGGCTGGACTTCGCAGATACTAGAACGGGACTGAGAGCTGTGAAGTGCAACACTACTAGATTCTGCTCTCCTACTGGAAGTGCTACTTTGTGGGGATGTTCTGCAAGGATTAGAATATGCTCAAAAAAATCCACTGCAGTTATGCAAGGGATAATTTATTTTTAATTCAAAGCCCTAGTAAAACAAACCCCACCACCACACCTAAAATCCTCATCCTCCAACTCACTCCCCACTGATTTGTAACTTGAAGCAATGATCTCCATGTTCTGAAGCATGCCTACTAGTGAGGCACACCAATGTTAAAAATGAGGTACACGGACAGCACAACAGCTCTGGCCCTCTAAGCACTGTGATGGACATGTTTCCATGCCCAGGCTTTAATGATATGAAGTGTAGTGTGTCTCTAGAGTAAACAGTGGTCACAGCTGATCACAGCAGTAAGCAGGATCTTCCTCCTAATCAAGTATTGTAACAATGAGATGCAGTGTAAAAGTCTGGGGAAAGTCTGTGAAGTGAAAGTTTGAGAACTACAGGTTTAGAGAAAAAAGATATCACATACCTAGTCTCTAAAGCATACAGGATAGTCTTAGTAAGTAAATTGCTGGTCTGAATCAGGTAAAATGCAGATCCTTGTCAGCTATAGCTAAAGCAAAATAAACCAGCAGCAGCTAACTTATTTCATTTAGCAGCTAACTCTTTCATTAGCAAAAGCTAACATCTTTCTAACAGATTTTGTTCAGATTTTAGCAAAAGAGTGACCAAGTCATATCCTCAATGTTACTGTGCTGTCCAAAGTTATTGAAGAAATCACCTTTTTTAAAGAATCAGCTGTTAACTACCAGTTATGCAAGTCATCAGAATCAACTTGCAAACTTTTAATTTTTTCAGTGCTCCTAGAAAAAAAAGAATAGTCTGAATCAGGATGCTGGAATTTAATGAGCATTTCACCTGTACAGGTCGGTTTCATCTGTTTTCCGTGGATAATGTTAGAAAAAATGGCTTAAAGTAAAACAAGCGTTTCTAGTGGTTTTGGTGAGAGTGAGAGGACAGCTGGTCACAGTTGCTGCCTGGTGTACAAAAAACCCCATACAGTGAGAACTGCAGAGTCCTGTTCCATTTGTGTCAGGAATGGGCTACTCTTGCTGCAGGAACTGAGCAGCATGCAGGCCTGCTGCCACTCAGCAGAAGCGTGTCGTGGATACCATCAGTGCTAAGGACTGTGGTTTGAGACAGAGAAGAACCTCTAGATTTAAATCTATTTGCTTCCACCTGGTGTTTCAAGAATTTGTTGAAGAAAAATCTAAAGAACACCTTGAAGAGATTTGTCAAGGGAAAATGGTGAGAAGTCCACTGGCTGTAGAGCCAGTGATGTCTGTGGCAGACGCGAAGATGTTCTCTTTCCTCTAACTATTGGGCAATGTAAATGGAAGACACATCTGGAAATCTCTTTTCCGTTCTGCTTCAGACACAAAAGTTCTCAGGGGTGATCTGAGGAGACTTCTCCTTCTCTTGTAATCAGAAGAAAAGCACCATGGAAACATTTCTACTAAGATATTCTAATGGAGACCGAAAACACGAAAAGCACATGAACCAAGCATGCATTCTAGGAGCACTGTATCCTAATTTAAGTGAATACCTTGAAATAAACTGGCTGAAAGATAAGTAACAGGTAAGAAAAAAGAACCATCTCTTTATAAATCAAAGATGATACACTAATCGTGTCTTGGGTAGTCTAAGACCAGCTACCTACAGTACACTCTGTTATGTACAGTAATGCACAATACTTACCCTGTCATGTAGTGTCCAACCAACATATTTTAAATAACTATCATTCAGGAAGGCATCGCTGTACATTTTCATCCAGACACCGATTTCTTCAATACAGACAGCTCTAATCTCAGCAATAGCATCACTAATAAGGAAAAAAGAAAAAGAAAAGTATTAACCAGGTTACAGATACATACCATTTACTTCTCATGCCCATTGCCCTAGCTATAATCTTTTGCTTTTACTTTTGATGAACTTCACTATGTAGGGCCTGCCACTGTTCCCACTGCTGTGTCACAGATCTTCTGTTCCTTGATGTCCTTGAACTCACTAATCCATCTAATAATTTCAATATTTCTATATTCAGATATGATATTCCCATTATCTCAAAAAATTCTCACCCTGGTTTGTTTCTTAGTCTATTAGTCCATATTTACCTCCCTCTTTTCACACAGAATTATGCATCCAAGCTACAAACCTCCTCTAGACAATCATTTCTGAACATTGTCACTGACATTTGCTTAGCAGGCTTGACTCTTTCCAGCTAGAGGCGTAGAACAATTGCAAGGTGGAAAAAATTATTTGGTTTAACCAAAAGAGCCTGCCAGAGGGGCAGAACGGAATTTGGCACATAAACAGATCTTGTTTCACGCACTGCATGAAAGCCCCTATAACAAAACCCAGAAGAATGTCTACTTTTCAGTATTGGTTTCTTCCAGTTTTCTTGCTTTTTTCTACATTCTGACTGTGGCAAGTGATGGAAGAGGCAAAGATATATCTCAGGCAGACTCATCAGCTGCTTATTGAGGAGGGGCTGAAAGAAACTGTCTAGAGAGATCACCTAAAGAGATCAGGGATGGAAATTATTTCAATCTGATTGGCACTTTCCTGCCTGACTGACATAGAGCATGGCATATTTACTAATAATGAACGACGGCTAAACAACGGGAAAAGGGATTGCGGCCATCTGGCTCTTCAGTAATTTCATCTCCAAGACATCTGTTACCATGAGAAATCACTTGTGCCACTCCAGCTGGCACTGCTTCACAGTTCAAAATTTCAGCTGTAATAAAAGAGGAACATAAAAAGCCACTGTGCAGAAGAAGGGAATGTGTGGTGCTTTGCAAACATTGGCCTTGCTTATAACTGAGACTCTTGTTCTGTATTTTTATGAAAAAATATTTTTGAAAAAGTAATAAGCATCAATTTAATTCTAAATGAGCACCAACAGAGCCAAGAAATTAAATCTAATTTATTAAAAAAAAAAAAAAAAATTTCCAAGCTTCAAGCAAGAGAATAACTGCAAAATAAGAGAAACTGTATTTTTCGTGAAATCTTCAATTTTACAAAATACAATTAAAATGCACTCATGCTTATGTTCAAGATACCTACTGCATGAGTTCATACACACAAAGCAGTACAACAAAACCATGGTTACTCCATACTGAAGCTCCTATGTACTTTCAACCTTCAGACTGTTGCACCTCAGCAGGTGCCACTGCCCTGTTTATGATCTTCCAGACGCCACGGTGAAAACCACAGCTCCTACATGGACACGGCAATCAATGGCAGTATCACACGCTCCTAGATAGGAAACTTCCACAGTCAAGTCTCTGTTTTTCTCATTCAATTTCAAATTATAGGGAGGAAACTGTACTGATGTAGCAGCATAAAACATGCATTTAAAGCTGGTGCATGAATGTGAGGGGGAAATTTGTAGGAATGCCATCAAACCACCACCATTGTCTCTCTCCGCCTACATGAAACACGATGTTTCTATCAACTTCCAAACACAGTCATTAAATCTGGTCTGTCAAACTCCCTGAAGGCTATAACGTCAAACACAAGGTAACTGTCAATGCACAATGTAGACAAGCCACATTCCAAACAGAGTAAGACATTAAATAAACTCCTCCTACCAGGGATTTCTCAAACAGATTTTAGATACTGTAAGGAGGAATATGCTAAAATACTACGTTCACGGGTTTGCACTATAAAAACTGCATTCATTATGGGGAATGCAGCCACAGTGAAGACAAGTTTTAATGAAAACTATTAATATATTCATATATATGTGTGTGTCTAATTGTTACTGCACACTAAACTAGATTAGCAATTCTGTTACACGGAATTACTTTTAAACTTTTTAAAACAAAATATAGGTGGAAGGAATCTGAATGCAAGACTTAAAAGAACAATCTAAAAGACCGGTAATTATGAAACAAGAAATAAAAGGGGAGCCACATATGCAGCAACACAAAGTAGCCATGAAGACATTTCCACTAGGGGATGACAGCCTGAACCCTCACATCCAAGTAGGTTATTTCACCACCTTATAAATTTACTAACTGTGAAGCATTTTGGAAGAATTTCATGGCAATCCCAAAAAGAACGCAAATGTCAACAGCTAGTTAATCACACAGCACAGCCAGCCAAAAATCTTGAAAATTTATCTTTTCTGTAAGAATGCATTCAAGCTTCCCTAGGCAGACAGTGAAAAACTGATATTTGATTCAAAAGCTTCTGAGGGATCCCTAGGCACTATGGACAAACACTCCCTCCAACCTGCTATTAATAATGAAAAAAAAAAGAAAAAAAAAAAGAAAAAAAAAAGAAAAAAAAAAAGAACGAACAAATAAAAACTAAAGAATAAAGCTATTCAACTAATTACAAGATTTAGTGTAATAAAATTTAGCATCTTCAGTATAACTGAAAATAGGAAAGAATCATGCACAAGGCATGTGAGACTAGCAAACAGATTCAAGTTGATGGAGAGGCAGGAGAATTTGAGAGACGCCCATTTCCCACTCCACCACCATCTTCCAGGTAACCTATAATTCACCTTCTTGCAAGAATCACCAACACAGATTCCATGCCCATACGATGCTGTATGAAATATGGTACAGCCAAAAAGCCTTTCTACCTTTGTCATGCATGTGAGTAATTTCTTATTATCAAACCAGAATTATTTTCTTATAATTTTTACACACTCAAATATATTTTAGCTTCTTGTCATAGTCACTATGAATTTTTTAGTGGATGACACAAGAACATAGAAATACTAGTCATACCAGCATACCAGTACTTTTGGAATAATTAATGCACTATTAATTATCATAATTATAAATTAGTGACATACGTTTGTATTACTTGCCAAATGTTTCTAGAAAGGAACAGACTCTAGTCCAGCACAGAAACCAAAACTAATGATGGATCTACAAATATTAGATATAAAATGTAATTAAACCTCTCACCAGCACAAACTGCAAAGTAATGTCTATGCAGCGAACGGGAAACACTTAGCAAACTATTCACAGCAAAATTCACAATGCGTGTTCCTACTCTTAGTAAAGAGGCCCTCTGATGCAACTTCATAAAAAGAGATTTGACAAAAGGGGATCACGTAAGAAATTCACTGGTTTATTTTAAAATTTTGGGTTGACAAGGCAAGCCCATAAAACTTAGGACAAACCATAACAAATGGTGTCATGAAATAGGCTTTAACAGTTTAACATCAGAAGTGCCATGTTAGCATATATTTCATGCTAAATTACACTCAAGTATATTGATTAAGGCCAAAAGTATTTAGGACCTTGAGACACAGGGCCTACAATGGATAATTGGGATATGTCAGGTGGAGACCAGTATGATCCTCAGGGTCTTGCTGGAGAACTTGCTAGTTGCAAATCCTGAGTTCTCTCAGTCTGATCACAAACTTGTTTAGGTTAATCAAGACCAAAACTGAAAGCAATTCAAGTTAACCTGGCTGATCTGCACTGAAATGGATGCTTAAATTCTTGAAGCTTTACCAGTGTTGAGGGAAAACACCCAAGGGAAGAGATGAAGATGACTAGCAGAGCAGTAACTGCTTCAAGAATTCCTGGAAGCTCCTAAAAGATGTCCAACTACACTTATTGCATATTTGCTTCCTTAATATAACATTTAGAGTTGTTACTTCTCACACCTTGCTCTTAAGACACAGAGGACTACAGATAACCTTCATAAGAACATGGTATCACTCAACATGCAAACTGGACATGAACAGAAAAAAAACATGTTTCAGTCAAGGGGTTGGGATGAGTTAGTCTATGAGAAAACTTTCTAGCAAAGACAGAAATGAGGGTCACTCACCTGCCTTTGGTGTTCTTTGGGATAGAATCTCAAATTCCCAGTTGAGGGACATGAAATGGTGCAGCTCTACAATAACATACCATTGCCAATTGGACCAAACTACGCCTGTCTCTTGGGCTGCTTGACAGTTTCTAAACATTATGAAGATGTAGTTATAAGGAGAACTGGACAAAATGTCTTTTCTACTTTTTTCTATGTCTCTCTCATCTCTGGATCTGAATTACAACCTCACAAAGGAAAAAGGGTAAGAAAAATAAGGCTGCAGAGTCCACTTCCAAAAATTCTGGTGACTGTTCACTGCATATCACACTCCTGAGAGGGATTGGTAAGCAGCGCTTCCATTTCTAAGTAATTCTCACAAAGTGCTACTTAAATAGCTTTTAATAATATGTTACTAAGCTGATTATCCAATGTTCTTGCCAGACCAAGGAATTGTATTGTTTGAAGGCATGACTTGAATTTCCAGATGTAGCTCTACGTATCTCTAAAACCGGTGTTTCTCAAAGACTTACCATACTAACACCTTTGCTTGTATGAAGCATGATATGTAGCTTTGTAGGAAAGGGAGCAGTTTTAATATTAAGGTCAAACTCATTTAAGTATAAAGATTTAACTTTTTGCCTTTTTTTTCTATGCCTGTAAGTGACAAAACTGTCTTGGTAGTTTCTACCCTTCATTCAACATACACAGAAACACAACGCATTTTCTTGTCACCTAAAAATATATGTTTCACCTCCTTTAGCAGTGAAGGAAAAGGATTTTTCTGTGGTTTTGTTTGGATTTCCATCTCCCTGTGCCAACTGGTTTTTGCTTGTCTCAATCTCTTACCTGTTTCCCTCACCAGACTTCCATCCAATATCCCCTCTCCCTCTTTTACACGCAACACTCTTATTTCTCAGAGTGGAACTCACAAGTAAGTTGTCACCATCATCCTATTTACTCAGTAGGAGGGAAAAGAGCACCTTGGAAGAAGACAGAAGCATCTTCTCTGTAAAGATGTCATCTACATTTGGCAAATTGCACCTTAATTATCAGTACTGCCAAAATACTACCTCAGAACAGGCTAACTGTGTTGCATAAATTCACAAAACCATCATGTCCATCAGTTTGAGGATCCCCGTTTGGGCCTGCCAGAAGTTAAAATTGTAATAGTTCCGTTTTGCTCGACATTCACATCCAGAAGAATAGCTCTTTGAGCATTCAAAGCAAAAAGATATTATGAAGTAGAACTCAAATAAGAATTCTCTGAATCTTACTCTCTGAAAGGGAAATGTGTTGGGACACATGTTGCTAAGTCAAAACAGGGAAGTGGCAAAACCAGCATTTTGACATCTCAAATAATGGTAGAGAGTGAGGAACATTTCATAATGCTTATCATTGCTACATCTGAGAAGCTATGTGGCAATAATCTCAGATTCGAAGTAATCTCTGATATGCAGATGCAACTGAAATGAAGAAATAGGCCTCCCCTTTTTTTTTTAAATATACATGTACGCTGCAAGCAGTTTTCAGCTTGTTTAACTTCAGACCAAAAAAAAAGATCCCTGACCTACCAGTGTATAGTATCTCATTGCTACATACCAAAGGTGTTTACTCACACAGATGTAAAACTGGCCATTTTGAGATTAGTACCTCTGAACATCACCATATCCAAGTCCCTACATGTGCCTTGAACAATCAATTTTGGAGTGTTTCCAAGGACTGATATTCTACAGCCTCTCTGGACAGCCTGTTCCAGAGTCCAATTACCCTCACAGCCCTGCAGTTCTATTTACCACAGTCAACATCTCCGCGGGTTTTATACTCACCAACAGGAGCTCAGCAACTTGACTGTAACTGATTTTACTCTTATGTCTCACCTTTGACGCTAACTCTCAGTTTTAGAGAGGATAAAAAAAAATAATAAATGGACAACCAAATATATCATAAAGCAACACAAAAACAGTCAGAAAAAGTGATTTGGGAAAGAGGTAAGGAAATATGCAGTGAGATAAGTACATCTCCTGGATGCCTATTAGAATATCTCAATTTTTGACCAAATCTGCTGTTAACACTAGGCTAACATTACACCTAGAAAATTGTTTAGATATTTCTGCATTTTTTTTTTAGATGTGAGAAGTGAGCATTGAAGTCTTCCAGTAAATTGGAAGCCAACCTACAGAAAGAAGTAACCCCACTGCAACACTATCTTACTGGTAGGAAAACAGCTACATTCTGAATGAAACAGTTTGGGGGGGCTTTTTGTTTAGATCACGGACTTGTTATTTAAGTTATAAAGGTCACTAAGCATGAATCACTGTGGCAGAGTCTGAATCATATTATGGAAAGGGATTTATTCTCTGGGAATAATTAAAATAGCGTTCTTTTGAAATCATTACCACTCCTGCACGGTCTAAGGACTGTAAAAGGATGTCAAGTTTATAAATCATTTGAACTACTGGAGAGAAGGAATGTTTAAGAAACATTATGGAAGCAGATAATAGTTTGAAATCCTTGCCTTTTTTTTCCGTCCTGGTTTTCTCTTCAATTAGCTAGTTTTAACAGAGATATTTTTCCCCAGTATGTTCTTGCACAGCTGTGACTGCAGAAATTTGAACATGCATTCTCTGTTGTCCACCAATTACTCATATTCAGGTGGATGTTGTAACAGACTCTCTTAGAAGCTTCACAGAAGTTAAGGAAGTCAGAGGGATGCTGACTCCCCATAAAAGTGGCTCTTGAGGACAGACTTGGAAGAAGTTACTTCTTCTGACCCTCTAAACAGTAGCAGAAGCGATGCCACCCCCCCTGCTCAGAGCACATCACTACGTGTCTGATTTCAGCAAATTCTTCAGCAGACTAATAGTGTAAGCCTGGGCATCTTTTTTTCAGGGCACAGATAAGCAGAGTTCATTTATTTGGCCTCTCTTTTGTTACAGCAATATCAGTAAAATCAGGCCGTTACTAAAGGTGGCAGGAGACATGAAAAGAAATCTCGGTTACAAAAGGAGGATTTAAAAAGGAAGAAAGGAAAAAAAGAAACAGCATGCAGATAATGAAAAGGTAGAGTCTTTTTCCAACCCCACACAAGCATGAGCTACTAGGAAACTATTTTAAAGCAACTTCTTGCTTGATACAATACACTAAATTCCAAAGGGATAAAACCGGAAATACTCTTTGCATTTAATTTCTTCAACTTTATTACCTACACGCCATAAAAGCTGCTTTCATAACAAACAGTGCGAGTGCTATACTGAGCTAATACCCGAATTTACCAGTTGGCTCTGTACACCCATCCTTCTGTTGCCAAGTAGCTCAAGACTTACTGACCATAAACTTTCTTTCAGGCATCATGGTTGGGTACCCAAGATACATGCTCCAACTCCACTGTGTTGTTCACACTCACATATTTCTTAGCACAAGCCCCTTCTAGGTTTCCTGGACAATCTTCTCCAAAATTACAATAATCTCTCTGCCCAACTGAACTATGGGTTCCTCTTCACCTTCTAACACTCTTCTCATATGCCCTTTCTTGTTTTTTGCCATTAGTCTAAAAGATTTCATAAATAATAAAGTTTTAAACCAGAATTTAAATCTGAAAGGTTAATTGCATAGTTTAGTATCCTCAAATTTTATCTTTTAACTCTGGTAAGTCAATTAACATTTAAAGAGCTGGTTACACCGAGACGCTGTAGATGCTTTAAGGTATCTTGTGATGCAGAACAACTCTAAATCTGTTTGAAAAGACTATTGCTACCTGATAAACCACATTCCAATATAGGATGCACCAGTCCAAATCTACAGGTTTTTGCAATTCTAAAATAAATACAAGTGCACGCACATGCACATTCGCACATACACATGATTATATATAAACTGCTGTGGTTTTGTAAGCACAAGACATAGCATATTAACTATTAAAAAACCCCTTTGTGATGTGTTAAGACCACAATTCCTATTTAATGTTCTTGCTACAAACATCCAAAACAATTAACAAACAAAAAATACATGTTAACTAGAATTAAGGCTTTTACTTGCCTTTATGGAATTTGAGGAGGAAAAAAGCCTAAAGTAAAGTTGTAGCTGTGGCTAAAGAATATATGGTGGAAACATCAGAAATTTGCTGTTTACACCTAAGACATACAAAAGGAAATACAGACTAGAAGTACTCAGTAACCAAAACCGCTCTCTTAAGATATGTAGTGATCATTTATTCTTAAGGTATGTCATGTTTGTGCTCCCACCTTGGACAACTTTCCTTTTCAAAACACAGTGATTCAAAATCCATGTCTCCCACAACTCTTTAAAGCTGTTTCACTGATTTAAATAAAGTTGTGTGGATGGCTCTACTGTGTAATTAATAGGGGTTACACTTGTATTTTCTTCCATAACTTCAGTGGTTTTGATACTGTTTTTATGGGATCTAGAGTACTACATCAGGAGAAAAGTCAACATAGAAACTGCCCTTCACATTATTTATGATTATACTTTGCTAGCAGAGTCTCCTGTAGCATGCATTTTCTTACCGGTATCTATGAACAAATATACCCTTAAAAATAGAGTTCATCATATTTTCGATTTCATCTTGATTTTCTTGTAGCTGAAAAAAAAACAAAACAAAAATAAATAAAAGATCATTGCTTATTATAAGTTGATATTCTACAGTTCCTTATTGGGAAGCACTAGAAGACCATGGAAGAGCATTTAATTAAAGGTATTAGTAGATTCACCATTTTGAACTTTTCCAGCACATGCCTATATTCTGTGCATATATTTACATATATATACACATATATATATGCAATGCCTCAATGCAAGAAAGTTAACATTCTCTACAAACAGCAATTAATTTAGTTTCAAATTAGTCCTTTGAAGTGGTCATCACCATTTTTTTGCTACTAAAATTTAGACAAGTAGAGACATGTGTTCAGTAATGTCAGCAGTCCTATATTCATAGTTAAACACACAGAACTTTGAGTGAATGACACCTGCAGAAATGAAGCTGGTTACAGACCAGGAATCCCCTCAGAAAAATTCAATGTCCTATTTAAGGGAAGTACTTAAAGATGTCCTCAATCTGAAGTATGCGTGTCGGCTGCTTTAACATCAGCGCCCATGACAAATGAGTTTCTGAGCCAGGAAGCTTTCCCGAATCAGAGTATGGGTGCTTCACATTGCAGCACACCTGACATTCAGACCTTAGATTGCAAAAAACCAAAACAAATGCAAACATAAAACAAGCCCAAATGCAAAAGGTATTATGAGTCTGTTTTTATAAATAAGAGTGTTAAAAAAAAAAAAAAATATTTCCTGTGTAATATGAGCACATTTTGTAAGTACTATGGAAAGTTTACTCTGTGTCAATGAGTATGTTAACACATCCTAAAGGAACAACTTGGAATCAATTAAAGTATTCTCATACTGTCAGCTTTTGTATGAAACTAAGTATGACTTAAGCACACCAAAATGAAGCTTTGTTAAATAACATAACATCAATTTTATACAATCAGCTTTTGCAGCAGAACTGCTACTACACTCAAAGCCATCAATCTTCCATCAAGGTGTTCCTTAATATAAAAGCAGAATACCACAACATGTGTGAAGGTTTATTTTTTTTCCACATTTTCAGTATGAAAACCACAACAGAGCCTTGCTAGTACAGAGTGCGTATATGCATAAAAGAATAAAACCTGTATAATTATGGATGTATATATTTAACAGATAAAACATCTTAAAGCCAGAGGCAGAATGGTGATTGGCTGTTTTGACTTCCTGCACAGCGTGAGTTCATAAGCACTTTCACCTATGGGTTTATATTTTTCAAGCTACGTTTATAAATATTTCTACAGTATCTTCCAGGTAAGATCTAAAGGAGCTTGTAAAACTCAGTAATTGAAGTCTCCCAGATTCCTAAATGTAAGGAGGTGCTGTCGCCATTTTGCATACGGGGAAACCGAGGCACTGAGGGTTCTTGACTAAATTGTCAAACACCTGCCAAATAAATTAATTTCACAGTAAAAGGGATTATGTACCAAGGGAAAAGTTGGGTGTACACCAACTCTGTGTTTACCAAAGGGCTGATACACAAAACAAGCATATTTAGATATGGCTTCTGGGAGAACCACTCTTTTCAGAATCAGCTCAATCTAAATATGTACAGACTAAACGCTTGTTAAAGAAAGCAAAGGAAGCTCCTGGAGAATTTTAGGTGTGAATCGATAATATAAAAATGCACCACAGAAGAGAGGTAGGAGAGACTGAACTTTATGAGCCAAGAGAAGGTTAAGATACTGAAGAAAAGTGTATTTTGACATTTCTTTGAATGAGAAGTTGTGTGGCACCATACGAAACTAAGTGACAGAGATGAGGGGGTGGCATGGACAGTTTCCTCCCCCTTTTGTGCCTTTTCTGCAGGGAATTTACTGTTTGCTACAAACACGGTAAGTTATCAGCTGTATAACTGATACGGGGAGCCAGGGGCTGGGGCAGAGCTGGTGTAGCAGAATTAGAGATTCAGTAGGCCCATGTGAGATCCCTTGTACTTCTGTGTGCTAACATTTAAATGATACAATTCTCCAATGTATCTTAGTTTCAGTAATTAATTAACAATTCTTTGAAAAATATTAATTTTCTCCAAAACTTTAATTGCTTTTTCTACATTCAGCTTTTCTAGATCAGGTACTTGAATGTGAGTGCTTAACCTCAGACATCTTCAGGGACCATTTGTGTCTTGGGATTCCTGCTCTTACCAAGGCAAAAGTGATTTAACACCCCCCCACACCCCCCCTTAAACGTAAGTAAAAATAAGGGAAACATTTTCTTCTTGACTCTTCAAGCATTTTGAGAAGCTCAGAAAGACGTGTATGACAAACACAAAATTTGAATTACTACTGGCAGCAACTAAAACACAACTTCCTCTATTTTGTGGCAGATTGTTATGTAAATCACCCAGTTCAGCTGAAAATCTCATTGACGAGAACAGACCTTCATACACGGCTCTCACATTAGGTATGTAGAAGATGACATGAGAATGAAACACTTCAGAGAGAGAGTTGCATCTCTTTTACTTCAGATCAGTTTGCCACACTTAGCTAGCAAACTGTCCCCATATAACTTCATGAAGATAAACACATGCCCGTGTGTGTGCCTGTGAGGGTTTATTATGATAGCACTACACCAAAAGAATCAACTAAGGAGGTGCCAGCACAGAATGCTATTGTAAATTCAGCATATTTAAACATGGGAAATATACAGCATTATGTTAGGAATTCTTACGCAGAGCCATTATGCCATCTAAACCTAATAAATCTCTCTATACAGGGCCCTCGACGATGCTTAACACCATGTATCTGAGGGCATACTCACTCACCACCGCTCCTCTCTGGCTGACACCTATGCAATGTTTGGATTAGTTTTAGTCAGTAGTGATATGAGAGAGACTGAACATACATATCAAAAGTTAAGGTCTGTCAAATGCTCATTCTTCTTTCAGGGTTTCACAGCCCCGTGCTAGCCTGGGTATCGTTGCTGCAGAGTCTCCCCAGGGCAATTATATACTGCATCTCCAAAAGACACTGAAAGGAACAGCTGAAGGAATGAGTACAGAGGATGTCCATAGAAAGAGATACACTAAACCGAGTTTATCAATGTAATTTGTGACTTTGTCCTTCTCTGGAAATTCAAAGCAACGGTCAACAAATCCGCAACAGAAACTGCCCCAGCTATTTTGTCAAAGCAATTCTGCTTTTTAAAATGCTTTAGGGCTGACATTGAATTTAATATTTAATTTAAAATGTTTCCCTTGCAGTTTGAGCAGGAGAGATTGTTCTTGCTTTGTACCTTAATGGATGATTTTTAAGAATTATGAAAGCCAAATAAAATTCTGTTATGGATTGTAGGAGTAAAATAAAAATAAAAATACATACTTGTAATTATCCCCAGACAAAGACTATAAAGTCAAGCAATTTTGAGTCAAAGTTATACCTAAAAGAATCCAAGGTGCATACAGGTGAAGCACCCAGAGATCCTTAATTTGCCATGGAGTAGAACAGTGGTGGAGGAAATATATTTGAAACTAATATATTAAGAATAATAAATATATATCTAAGTCATATACACTTAAATTTTTCAAGCAATCTTATGAGTTTTACATGGCATCTTTACGGATTACGGCTGTTTGGGTATATACCCATTAATTTTCTACTTGTCATCTTTAAATTTCTTTTAAGTACAACTCTAAAACTGAATTTCCTGGGATATAACACTTTATTAGGGATGATTACAATAACCTTCTAATGATTTTGCTCACCTAATGCCAGACTGGTACTTACTAAAAGCGACTTTAATGTCTCCCTAGCTTCTTCTCCCTGAGACCAGGTGCTATAGCCCCCACTCCAGTGTTTCTTGAAAGTAGCTACAAAAAGAAGTACTAATGAGACACTATGTAATCATTGCAGTGATCAAAGGGAGAAATGGGCAGTGCAGTGAGGGGACTACATGTGATCTTTTCAAAATCTTTCTGCATAAACAAAACAGTTATAACTTGAGAATCATTTTTTTGCTGCCTGGTCATATACACAATCCTGAGAACAGAAATTATCCTGTGCGTGCAGAACAGCACACAAACTCAACTGAATATGTTAATACAAGATTTTAAAATGTAGCCCAAGTAATACGCTTGAGATCACACAAAACAGGACTGCAGAAGTAACCTCTTGTTTCTCACTACTGTACTCGAGTCACAAACCACCCTGGATTTTCTGTTGGAGGGAATGCACATGAACCAGGAAAAAAAAAATTAATCTTTTCACTTGCCTCTTTTCTTTTCTGAAGGAGCAGCTCCAATCTTTCATTAGCTCTTTTGCCAATCATTTTGTTTCTCTCAGCTTCGTACTGCCTCTGTGTATTATCCTGATGAATGCTCAGGTTTAAGGCAACATTCACAAGAGCAGTCATAAGCTTCATAGCTGCAAAGGCAGAAGACAGAATATGACTCGTTACCTGTAGTCAGAGGTAAAAAATACTGCCTCAGCAGATCCATACTCACAGAAAACAACCAACTCGACCCTGACACAATGCCATCTGGAAAGGCACTTCCCACCCAAGCAGTACTCAGCTCACCTGGCTGATCTAAAGATCAGAAAAGAGTGTATATATACTGCTTTGAGCTCCAGGTAATGTTCTTTGCCATCTTCTCCAGAAAATTATCAACGTTCTGAGTGCGTAAGTTCAGTGAGCAAGCGTGTGAATCTGCAGGATCAGTGCACACCAGGAAGCCAGCTACTGTGGAGTTACATACATATCTCTACTAAGAATCATTAAGTATCATTATAGATGCTCCCATACTAAAGGTAACTCTTAACCAATAGCTACTGAGGATTATTCAATTTACAAGAGACCACAGCACTGTTTCTCTGAATGTAAATCAGACATTGCTCTAAAGTCAAATGTATAGTTGTATAAAAATATGATTAGAACTTTATGTATCCCTTAACACATCCCTTTGTGCATTTTCACATATGTTGGATACAGTATTTTTCATATATATTTTTCTGTCTTAATTTACGTTTACACAACATTAATAAGGGTCTTTCCCATGTTCTGTGTGGTTACGTGGCATATTACATTTTACAATACCGAAAACCCAGCAAAATCATGTAGCAAACTATCCCATCCTCTCTGGCTAAAGATGCAGCATTGTCTTCAAGGAAGAAAAGCAATTATAGAAATGGAGAAGGGAAGTTACTGTTATGGTAACTGTCTTATCTTGCTATTCACTCAAAGCTGGTAACTCTAGAAGCACCCATATGTGTTTCTTGCTATATTGAATCATTTCTCATTCAAACTGGCTAGCACAGAGGAAAACTGAAAACAAAGACCTCAAAAACACTCCTTCGAGAATAAATGAATTTCTAAAAGTAGATTTTCATAAACTTTATCAAGACTGAGCTCCATGGCATCATGCTGACCTCTGCTCTGCAGGATAACAACATAATTAAATGTGCAAAGAGTAGCTTGAAGGAAATTTGCAGAATCAAAACAAAGCTCTCAAGCTTGTTCAAACAAACAAATAACTAAATAAATGGCATGTATCATCACTGGAAAATGCCAAAGATCTTTGGCACCTCCTATTCCTAATGTAACCACTAGATACATGTATACCTAACAGAAGAAGCCAGCAATGGCTTAAGAAACCAAAGCTAGTTGTGATGAACCTTGGCTTTAGCATTTGCTTATCCCTGCTTGTAGTTTCTAGCTATATAATCTATTCCAAATGACGGTAACTATTTCTTCCACATAGCACAGGTCTTGCATAATACCTCTAATGTATGGTGCTGTTTCCTGTCTTTTCAATCAAGCCTCTCATACCTTCCAAACGTCTGTCCCACACAAGGATGATCTGATCAATAAAAGAGACCAGTGTGCATACCTCACTCCATCATCTCTCTCCTATGAAACAATCAACCACAACCTAAGCAAATACCAAATCAAAATCACTTGGAATTAAAGACAGTATCAGCTGGAAAGAAATACAGTTTCCATCTCAGTTTAAATAACAGGCACAGATATCCAGCAGGTTATCTGCAGCTCAAATAGTGTTCACCTTTGAATACCGAACATGTAGAGGCAAACTCTAAACCTGGAAACTTACACCTGCATAATTCATGTTTTTACCATCCTGTTACTGAGTAAGGGCAAGAATGCAAGGGGATAGGTTTCTGAAACAGTTTAGTCACTGTGAATTGAAGGTTTGGGTTTTCAATTTTAAAATCAAACTCCAATCAAGTCTAGAGTTATTTTTTCAGTATAATTGGAAATCTTTCTCTTACTTAGACTCATAGCAAGAGATCAAATTTTAAACAAATTCTGATTGAATTTGTTGGACACTGGGTATTACACTTGAAAATCTGAACAAAATTGTAAGAGGATGATTGTGGAAAGACTAATTAAAATCAGTAACAAATATTGGCAATAGAAATATTCAGACTATGACAAATGTCTCCTATAAAGGCTTCACATATTTGGCATGATCTATCAAGATCCTAGGCAGAGGAATCTTCCTATAAGATGTATTCCAGCACACGGGATGAGCAGAAAGCTATCACCTGACATAACCAGCTTTGGACACCTACATCCAAGCTAGCCACCCTAGTACTGCTTTGTAATTGGAGAAAAATAGTTACTTCTAGAGAGCAATTAATCCACCTTACGGGAGACATCTCATACAGGTCTGATGAAATACATTCTAGAAAGGCCTGTTTCCATCTAATGATGTACCCAGTGCTTTCTTTAGCTGTAGGCAGGTGTGTCAAAAGGTACAGTGTGGCTGGAGGTAGAAAACAGTGAGACCTACAACTATGGCCCAGTGCTCCCACGCTTAGCGCTTCTCAAGAATGAAGGCACATACTTTATTTTTCAGTGGACTGAAATACTTTGATAATGCAGTTTTCTTGACGCTTATTTAGAATACATTTGTACTCTAAAATACAAAATTATGAAGATATTCTATTCAACAAATGGTCCACTAATAACAAAATACAAGACATAAGCATGTCACTTGATTCACAGGAGACCCCTGGGTATGACAGGAATCTCTGAAATTAAATGCCTCCGAATGCTCCTTTCCAAACAAAATCAGTGTATTTTAGGTAATTATACCATATATGGTACTTGGATTTAATCAAGCTTTCCAGAGCTCTCAGTGTTGGCCAAATTCCACCTCAATCAAAATTAGAAGTAATTCTCTAAGTGACTAAATAGTAACAACCCCTTTAAAAGAACTCTCCTCTGCACTAGCTTACTTACCAGCTAATGTACTGGTATGCCTGAAAGCCCGGACCTGGGAATCTGACAAACCAGTCAGAAGAGAGATCACCGTGTCCATCATGTATTCATCATAAATGATGCTATACTGACACTGTCGAATGAGCACTCCAATGAACTCGCAGAAGTTGGATCGAAACTTCTTCCACTGTGGCCCAGGCATGGTAAGTGGATAATCACCACTGTCCTGAAGAAAAAGAAAATGAAAATATTAAGTATTAAAAGTTTTCCCATTTAATTTACTTTGATGATGATGTAGCCATCATGATCTAAGTTTTTAAGCAAAACACTATATTTTTCTTTCAAGCCAATGGAGAGTAACAAATAAAAACAACACATTACTCTTCAATAAACAGAAAAGCCTGTTGGCATGAAAACACTTTTTCAAAGACTTCATTATAACTGTTCTAGACTTGCAATATTAGCTCTGTATAGTTCAAAATACGCAACAGGACCCAGTTCTTTTCCTTGTGTCCTGGGTTAGGAAGTGGGGGAAAGGATGACAAAGCAATGTTTCAAAGTATTTAAGGTCAAAACCTAAAGAAAGTCTTGTGTGATGGAAGGTTTGTGTCATTCTTCATCCCCACTTCAACTCCATGTTAATATTCTAATCAATTGAACGCCCCTCCCCACGAACTTTGCTTTATTCAAGTTTACAATTGAGATCTTATCAGAAAGTCAGTACTTCCCTTTTTAAAATCTTATAAACTTACCCTTTTTCTACTGGTAAAACCTGCCTTCTGATAGAAGTAATGGGGATTTTACTACAGATTCCTAAACTCCACACAGTTTCATACGTCCTATCTTCCAAAGATTATTGTAAGATTGGAGTAGGCATGTGAACACTCAGTTCTTTTAAGTTTAACTCCTCTCCAAGTCTGCTCTTACTACTCTCACTTCAAGTAATATTGCATTTCAGTGAGACTGCACCCCCCATAATTAGAAAATGCTTTTTCCCCCCCCTCAGTGGAAAAGATTACATTTCATCTCCCTGGTCACCTGATTTGTAAGCCAATTCTGATTATCCAAAGCATCAAGGCAACGATACTCCAGCTTCAATCTCTCCAAGATAAGAAGTCAGTAGTATCAAAGTTAAATCCGTTTGCACATATTTATTCTGCGTTTTTGTGAAGAACAAGCACTCCTACTCTCTCTGGACTTCTCTTATTGCCCAGACTGAACCATGTAAAGCCAGCAATGTAAGTGCAGAGGAGCTGTAATCAAATAACCTCATACCTAAACTTAACAAACTATATTCCCCTGAGGCAAAGAACACTGTCTATGAAATTTAACCAAATCATACACGTTTCAGTCATACTAAAATAAAGATTAGAATTGCAAAGACAAGTGCTCAAATGTTAGAAAAAGACAAAATAAGGCACTCTTAATGACCTTACTGTCTCATTCATTACAATGCTGAATGACACAATCTTAACAAGAAATATTTTTACGTCTAACTTTGAATAGCCAATCCAAGAGAAATAGTTTTGTTTTAAATAAATAATTCAAAGAGTTGTAAAGCTCCTGACACATAGACATCTCCTAGCATGTTCAATTGTAGCTGTGAGTCATCAGAATTTCTGTGACTTAGATCAAAGTATTTATTAGTAGAAACCCAGATAAACACAGTCTAAAATACGTAGCAGTATCATTAGAAGCGCCACGTGTTTTGAAGTATTCTTTGTCAGCTGATGCCTAATGCTCTTGTTAGCGAATTTCCGCAAGGTACAGTGTCTTGCCATGTAAATACGAGTCCTGCATTAGTCTCATAATTTATTTAAATTTAGGACTGAAATGAAAATGCTAAAGCTTTATCCTCAATGCTTTCCTGACAGTAATTCCATATGAACACCCCAGATTCCGTTTCTTTTCCCTCCTTAAACCTTATCTTCATAAATTGCCTCCAGACTAAGTCCATGCACAGTCCGTGCCCCTCCACAGCACCTGTGGGAACTCTGCGTGTGAACTTACATACATAATATATGCTTTCTAGAGGTACGTATATAAAACTTTTGGAACAGATCCTCAGAATCTCGAGTGCTGCATGTAACTACTCACATTTATATGATGCATTTTTAACCTACAATTACAAATTAGACAGTCCTTTCAAAGAGCATGTGAGGACTGCACCAAGAACAGCTCATCTGGTCGAAGTGGGAAGAATAAACCTCCAATAAACCCACTTTATTGGATCTTTTCTTCGTGAATACCAATAAAAATGTGATACATCACTGATGCTGATATGTGGTACTTGATGGTCCTATCGTTAGAAAACTCAAACCAAAACAAGTTTTTGTTTACCTGCTTACTCTAGCACAAGAATTATAAGGGAATTCATCTACAAAATGCCCATACTCGAAAGCCAAGCACCCAAATAGTGCAGCAGATGGATGTCCATGGAATTCCCCATTTTAAACTGAACCTGGGATAGCAATGAACAAAATTATTTCCATCATCTAGGTCCCACACAAGTGTTCCTCCACTCAAGATCAGGAAGATCAATGCTTCAATCCCTGCCATAAATGCAGAAATTAGGACCAGCACCCAGCTGATGACTGCAGCACTGACAGAACAATGTAATGATCCTGAGAAAATAAATAACATAGAAAATCTGAACACTTTCAGCGGAGACTATATATTTCCTGGGCAGTATACTGTGCTAATGAATAGCTAATGCAAGATTTTATCCTAGTTAATGCTACACTTGTACTTTTATTTCCCTATTAGCTCCAGGCTTGTTGAAATGAAAACGGCAAGTCTAAAGATGACAACAAAGGTAGGCTGGGCTGGTAGACTGGCCTAATTATTTTGACAAAAGCCTCACTAACTCTCTCATTCTCCTTCACTCCCACAGTCAGATCATTCCCCTCTCATGGACTGTCACTGGATTTAGGGACATGAGAGGACAGCAGGGCAAGGAAAGTGTTCTGGTGGCAACAGCTCCGGGCAACTGCTTTGTCTCAGGATGACATGGAGGGGAAGCACATTGGGAGTCCTGGGGTACTGGAAGAGAGGTACTACAGGTGAAATGGCAACAGTGATATTCAGAATGAGAATCTGAGGGCTGTTCCTCAGCTGTGCAGGGAATGGTGGTGCTTTACTGAGGTAATGTATGACCACCTGGACCAGCCACCACTGTTGGTCTCCTGCTAGCTCCCTTTCTTTCATTGCTTACTACAGACTTACAAAAAAAAAAATATATATCCAGTGGCAGGATGGGCTCAAGGAAGCAGTCCAGTCAGTCTGCACAGAGTCAGGGAACACAGCCAACGGAACTGCTGAAAGGAGGCAAGGAGTAGATATGACTGGGTTCTCTTCTCCTTTCACCAGAAAGAAAATAAAGGTTGGGGAGGATCATGCAGATCTGGCAAATTTAGCTTGGGTTGCCTTTAGTCAAGGCACTGTCACTGGCAAATGGTGTCTGCTACCAACAGCTCTCCCAGAAACAAATGATTGTTCTGAGTCTTGAAGTGGTGGACACAAAGCAGAGGGCCAAGAAGTGTACTAATGCTACACCAGTTGCAATTGCAATTTTACAATCTGCTGAAGACTGAGAAATACTTTCTTTGTTTGTTTCATTATGTGTTTTACCCTGAACAGTAATGTAAGCTGCTCTTGTTCTAAAAGCTTGTATTTTTTGTGACTATGACATCCTTTTAAGCACAGACCAATCTGAAATATTATGACTAACAATAAGAACAAACAGATCATATAACAACTCTAAACTTACTATGCTGTGATCATCTGACATATGCACATCAGTTGAAAACTGCACTAAGTTCTAAAATGCTTTCCACTGCTAACAGGATATGAGTTTATACCAGATTTCAAAATATTCACTGGGTTGTGGTCTAAGACTAACAATTTCATGTTTTTATACCAAAACCACAATTTCTTTCACAAATCCATTCAAGTGTTAAGGCAGGAGCCAGAAAGGAAACTTTCTGTTAGGACTGCAGAGGTTCAGAAAAGTTTTGGCCAAGGGAGAAAGGAAGTTCATGTACTAGTAACTGTAGTTCTTTGAGGTATGTTGCTTATATGTTCATTCATACTGTGCATAAGGAACAGGGGTTTTTCTCCTTTGAGAAAAAAACTTTGACAGTTTTTGAAAAGGGTTTTTTGAGAAATACCTTCTTCTGTCAACTGTGAGACAATCCTCCCTTGGGCAGAAAAAGTGTTCCTTGGCTTTTGGACAGCCCCTTGGCCATCCTATTTTGTACAATGGGGCTAGACTAAAGACAGTATCTGATTCTGTTTTCAAATTACACGAGTAAAAAATCATTGCATCTTACTAGCTTTGGTTGGATGAAGTTTTAAACAGCAAAATTATTTCAGCTAGGAAGTAGCATGAATTGATACAAACTTTTCATTCATCATTGCACACCTAAACTTTAATCACTGTGCCCTATCCCACCTGTACACAACAGCCCTGAGTGAATACGTGAGTACAGCAGAAGGAGCATCCACCACATGGCTGCAGTTAAGTACGTACTTAAACATTCTGTTGTTCAAGGCCATAAATAAGATTGAAATCTTGCAGAATAAAATCCTGAAAAAGAGCAGTGTACACATTTATAGTTTTCCTGCTTCATTTTTTGAATCACAGCCTTGGCATTCCACTTAGAATCGGTCAGAAAAAGATACTGCTGTCCTACAGAAAATTCACATTTCAACATTTGTTTTCCTCACTATACAAAATGAACACTCAGAATATTTCATTTTTTTATACATGAAAAAATCAAAGAAATTACATTTTGAAGAATCTCAAAGCTAAAAAGCATTTACCATTAGGAACGTTTTTATTTTGACAGAAGACACCCAATCTGAATTGTAATACATTTGTTTCAAACAAAATGCTTAGAACTTTTGAAAGAGTATTTCTTTCTGTAACACTATTCCAAAATGGTAATTTTCACGTCAAGTTACCATTTGGTTTAAATTGCCATTTCAACTGAACAAAACATCAATTTTCACATAGAAAACAGAGCAGAATGCTGCAAATGCCAAGCTTGCAGTCCTGTCTCTGGAATCTGGAGTTCTTTGTTTTATGATGGCTGTTCCAAGGGGTAAACGTCAAAATCCAGAATACCACCACCAGTTCCAGTGGGATGAGAAAATTCTACAGTTCTTACTGCCTCCTCTTACTAACCTCTCTAACATCCAGGATGCGGACAGACAAGGATACTCCTAAAACCACACAAAGATATATGAGGGCCTACATGGATCCAGACCAGGGCTAACAGGGACCCAAGCTAGTTCCTGCAGACTCAGACCTGGCTAGGTTCTCCTACACCACCAGATGCGAGCTTGCTCCACACTTTTGTGTGACAGTACACATATGCCCTTAAACTGGCTAATTCACAAACTTTTCCATACCGGTACTTCAGCATCCAGAGCCTATTCAATCCACAACACTGACTTTTCAAGACGAGCAATTATAACTACATTTTCAGATTATTTTGTTACTTTTTGGTTGTCCATTATTATTCTTTCCTCAAGCTCATGCTGGCTTGTTATTCCTCATCCAATAGTTTAAATTGCTGTTTTGTTTGCCAATACAATTTCTCATATCAAGACATTCTTTATCCACTGGTTACCTGTCCATTGCATTTTTATTTTAAAACAATAGCATACTGTAGTATGTTTCATAATGTTTAAAGACCTATTTGTATACTATACCTCATCAAATTCTTCTGTCATTTTCCTTATGATTTCTGCATTTTGCATGTTCCTGAACATTTCAATTCTTACAGTACCTGTAACGTAATGAAAGAACAAAAGAAATTAACACAAACCATTTTTTGTTATGTCAACCTATCAATGTTTTTCTTCTACTAAACTTACAGCTCAGTAATACATATGAAAGAATATATAATGCAGTAATAACAGGAACACATTGAACAAAATGGTCTCTTGAAGAACTGGGTAGAAAAAAAAATCCTCTCTCCTGTAATGTGCTATTAGACTAGGAGTTAGTGAAATTGTCCATCTTTTACTCTTTACAACTGAGCAAGTGTGATACAGAAGTGACAGCAATGTAGGACTCAGGTCATGTCTGCAGTTGCCAAGTGTTTTTAATTTTGTGTACAAAATAAAACGAAGACCATCTTTCAGTTTCACAGCCACTACTAGTAATTCTCCACTTTTTATGTTGGGTCACCGAGATTACAGATATACCATGATCTCTATGCAGGGACACAAGAGTGGTTTTCAACCCACTTAGGCGGGACTGGAGCTACAGCACCTGCAGACCTGAGCTAGCACAACTGCATCAGATGGTGCTGCTGTCCACAAGTCTTTCCAAAACCAAAGGGCTCAGTCAAGATGTGAGCCAGATCAGGACCATAAGCAGCAATTGCATCTATGTTATTCCTTCATTTGGATTATGTCATTCCCCTCGTTACCTGAACAGTAAAGTTGATAGGGTTAGCTTTTCATTGTAAATTGAGCAAAGCTACCAAAATTGAAAATATAACACCACCACAGCAATAAATAAAAATTCCCGTGACTTGATCTAAAACCAGTCAGTATAAACAAATACATTATTTTTATACATTACTGCCTTTGCAACTAGACACTGTCTAAATATCCAACCATATAACACAAGACAACATAGAGAACATTTTTTTTTTTTTGCTAATGCACAATCTTCTTTTTGCCACTTCACAATCTTCTTTTGTTAGTGGAGGAAATGAAGAAAAATTAGGCGAACTGCAGAGCTAGAAAATCCATCCCAACGTCATTAACATTACAAAGAGTAAGTCTCCCTGCTTTTGCAAAAAGTTCAATTGGATTAATGATCCACCGCATGGCTCCAAATATTCAAACCATAACAGAAGCAGCTTAACAGCTAATAGTATTAGGCCCTGTACAAAGGACAAATAAAGATAATTTAAGTATACTAAATATTATGAGAATGTTTTCATTCTGGTATTTTATTTCCTGAAAAACAAGCATTAGAAACATGCATCTGAAAATATTACAGCACACCAGTCCTCTGTATCTTAGCAGGGGTACTGTCTTACAACAAAACTTCCGCAATGATTTCTTGAATTGGTCTTGCTTCTTCATGAATTAATATTTACTTGTTATCTATTTCCTGCTGGGTAACACTGTGAACCTCAGTTCTAACAATGGCAATTTAAGTTTGTGCATGGTAACTTCCGTAGTATTAATAAACAATTAGTAATGCAATATATCAATATAAAACAAGAAACACAAGAAAATATCACCATATGACAGCTGAAGACCTGTTTTGTCAGCCTTGAAATAATTTGTAAATGCACCTCTATTTTATTGTTTCCCCCAATATTGAAAGTTTTGAGTAAGTGAAACTGTTTCATGGTACATCTCCGAGTATTAAATAGGCGTCAGCTATTCTTAGAAATCCACCTCAACTGCATTAGTTCCTCTTTCTCTCAATGCATGCTGTCATCTGTTGCTCTTTTCATTGGTAATATAACCCTCATTGAAAAAGTAACCTATTGACCTTTATTTTATTTGTTATAGCCCTGAAATAGCTTCCATAAAATATATAACCACATTACTTTGTCAGAAAAAGTAAAAATACCATCACTAAAATTCCTTGTTAATGCACTTCACCTGATTAAAATCTCCCTTCAACTTTCTGTTGTGGTTCTCTCTGTCTTTTCTCCCTGAGGATACGGAATGCAATTATACTGTGGTCACTATTAATTAGTGTCTCAGATATTGTTACTACTTAAGTGACCTCCTACATGGTACTTCACAGGTCAAGTATAGTTTTTCCTTGAACAATTTCTCTGGAGGAATCTGTTTCAGGAGGTCTGCCACTTTAATTCAACAACTTTGCTGACGCGGCAGCAGTGCTCAGAGGAAGCTGGTGGCTCGTACTGGATGCACACACCCCCTCCGTGTTACTGTCGGGCAACAAGCTTTGCACTCTGTGCCACAGACACGTGGAACCTGCCCCCTGAACTGGCCAGGGACTACAGACCCCAGGCAGTTTGCCTGGAATCTGGAATTCCGTGACTAGACCAGACAGCATCGTTTACCTGCTGGGCACTGTAGGATTTCTACTGATCAGTGTGCAGAGGTGTTACAGGTAGATTCTACACGCATCTTTCAAACAAGCAATGGTGCAGCTCTTTGGGAGCAGCAGGCAGAGGATGGAAAACAAGCTCTTGACATCTCCTAGGGACGCCAGGGCGGACAACAGCTCAACACTGCCAAGGAAGTGTCAGCAAGCATTAAGAGGAGTGAAGATGAACAGCACTTACCAACTCACTGCCATGTCTCATTCTTTCCTCCATTTTTTACGACAAAGTTTACTGGAAGCCATGTCAAGCAAAATGAGCATTTCTACTTATCTGGCAGTAGGTAATAGCTTTGGCCTGACTGCTTTTCGACCACCACCTTTCCCCCACCTGACCAAAACACAATCCTGTCTGCTTTTCTGGGAAACTGATTTAACACACTGTAAATATGCTATGAAGACTCTGCTCACCACACATTTCATGGTGTCATCACAACATTTCAACACTGCAATGGTCAACATTGTTCAAATTCATGTTTTTTATGATTAGTGCAAAGCTAAACTCTCCCATTTTAAAGCGAATCTTTAAAATACAGCGGATTTTCTATATGGATGTATATTTCCTTAATGACAAAATTCCACTTTAACTTTCTGCTAAGACAAATATCAATTTAATTTGTCAATAATTAATCATGTCAGCTGACCTGGCTTTTAAAAGTCAAAAGAAAAAGCCAATACAGAAGACACAACATTATTTCAGCTAGAGGAGAGAAAGACTAAAGGGATCTATACAAAATTGGATGAAAACACTTTAAAAAAAAAAAAAAAACAACCAACAAAAAAATGTGTACAAGATATAACATTTCCAGGAGATATAACATACCGCAGACTCAGTGGCTTCAAAACATATATTTATAGTGAGACTAACCAGTTACAAAAGCAAACCCTGCAAAACAAAATTAACAACAAAAATCCCCAAGAGCTATGTAAGATGTGCAAGTTCTCAAGTTTGAGCAACAACCAACCTTCAGTCTGGGAGTTAGAGAGGGTACTCTTTGGATGCAGGTTGCCCCATGGCTGCCTTTCCTCCTCTGAAACAGAAGGCACTAACCACTGCTGGAAATCTGGGAACACCATCATATCAAACACTACAACTGCCTCCTGCATATGGCAATTCTGGTACTTCTATAGGAAAGGGAAGTTTATATGACAGAAACCATCCACTATGTAAGTGGTACTCCACCTGTAATAGCCCACAGGCATTTAAATACTACAAATGAAAACAAATTACTCAATAGTAAATGGACTCTTGAAATCTAAACTACTGACAGTTGGCAATAAATCATATATGATGAAGTATACTAACTATACTATATAGTCAGTTTTAATCTCTGGTACCTTTATTCATGGAAGCTACACAGCCAATGTTATCCTTTCTCTTTTGGACGACCTGAGTTTGGACAAACTGAGTAAGCTGCAAGAAAAGTGGTGGGAAAACTGCAGTTCAAGACTGAAGTCAATGGTTATAAAGTAAGCCCAGAGTCTTCTGCCAAAGAAGGATTAATTGTGGGACCTTAAATTCTCAGTGACTGATTAGTGTCTCTCAATCACACAAATTGGAAAAACAGTAACCAGAAGAAAGATTCATAAAGGCATCAAGATGAAGACACTACAAGTTTTGAACTGGAAGGTATCATATGAAAAAAGCAATGTACTGTTTTGCATTATCTGAAAGTCAATAGTTGAGATCAGAGCACCGGGAAGAATCTTGACTGCTGAAGTTGTCAAGAGAGGGCAAGTTTAATAAAGACCTTGCAAGGATATATGATGATTACAGAATTGCTGGATAGGCAATATTGCTTTCCCTTGATACCACTCGATGTGCACTTCCTATACCTTTCTCCCAATTACCATTCAGATCATAAGAAATAATCCACTCCCACAATGTCTGTAAGTGCAGTTTTCAGTCATCTCAGAAGTGTTAGTTACAAATCTCCAAATGAAAGATGATAAAAAAAGACTGAAGTCAAACCATAAGGAGCACATTAATTCTCACTGCTCAACTTGGGTTATGATATGCTTCTCTAACACTTCATTCACTGTTCCCAGAAAAGAGCTATCTGGAACTAACCAAAAATTACTCACGCCAGTAGAAAAGTTTATTTTCTGTGGCTTGCTCATGATTGCATCGGAACACTGAAGTAGATCTTACCTCATTGGAATCAATAAGCATTAAACATTAATCTAAATGGAAGCAGTATCAGGACAGCTGAAGCATATAGATGCTGAAACTCTTAAATCCTATCAGGGCTCCTAACTTTCTATTGATTTCTGTGCTTGAAAACTGAAACACTTTACTGAAACCAGAAGTCAAGACTGTAGAAAGAAGTTAGACTAAATACTTAGTTGAATTTCAGCTTTTGCAGCACGCACAGCAACAGAAGACCTTTTTATTGATTTATTTCCCAATTCTTCCTGCTGCATGGACTCTACATTCCCCAACTTCTGCCACCAATAAAGCAGTATTCAAAAGCCAGTATCTTCTTAAAAGACAAAGACCTAATTAATTCTCAAAATAGATTTAGAAGGTTGAACTCTTACTGAATGAATCAGTAAGAATCCCAATGAAAAAAAAAATTACAGCCTCATATAATTAAAACCTTATCAGAGAATCATAGGTAGCTGTTGAAAAGAATTCTAATAGTTCATCTAAGTCTACCCTCCTACAACAAAACCAAATGT